GCCGGTCGCATAGGAAAGCATTTGCAATGCTTTCCTATGGACGCTGGCGTGCTCTCACTGTGAAAATCACAGTGAGAAGCACTCAAGCGCCTCTAGTGGCTGTCAATGAGACAGCCACTAGAGGATTAGGGGGAAGGCTTAACCCATTAATAAACATAGCAGTTTCTCTGAAACTGCTATGTTTATTAAAAAATGGGTTAACCCTAGCTGGAAACTGCTATGGGGTTAACCCTAGCCCAGGCACCCAGACCACTTCATTAAGCTGAAGTGGTCTGGGTGCCTAGAGTGGTCCTTTAAAGTGTTTAGTGATAAAATAATTAATAAATCATTCAGCCTTATTACACTTGTGTACAATACTAAATTGAAGTATCCAAGAAGATTTCCATTATTTATATATATATAAAAAAAAAAAAAAAAAGTCCCAGGCCGTCCGATACAATGTAATGACTAAAAGAGTCAGTGGAGAGATTTATTAATCATCCATGTTTTTAACTTATCTGGGTGGTCAAAAGTCTCTGCCTGACCATCTGTATATGTGACCATCTTCGTAGGGAAAAGCCATTTAAATCTTATGTTGTGTCTCTTGAGGATGCTTATCTCTGGAGCAAAAATCCTTCTTTTACTTCTTGTGCCAAAAGATAGATCTGGCAGAGCAATTATCTTTGAATAAAAGCCATCCTTAAAAGACCACTATAGTGCCCTGAGGGTGCCCCCACCCTCAGGGTCCCACTCCCGCCAGGCTCTGGGGAGAGGAAAGGGGTTAAACTTACCTTTTTTCCAGCGCCGGGCAGGGAGCTCTCCTCCTCCTCTCCGATCCTCCTCTTCGACTGAATGCGCATGCGCGGAAGGAGCTGCGCGCGCATTCCGCCTGGTCTCATAGGAAAGCATTCATAATACTTTTCTATGGACGCTGGAGTCTTCTCACTGTGACTTTCACAGTGAGAAGCATGCAAATGCCTCTAGCGGCTGTCAATGAGACAGCCACTAGAGGCTTTGGAGGCTGGATTAACCCATTTATAAACATAGCAGTTTCTCTGAAACTGCTATGTTTATGAAAAAGGGGTTAATCCTAGAGGGACCTGGCACCCAGACCACTTCATTAAGCTGAAGTGGTCTGGGTGCCTAGAGTGGTCCTGTAATAATTTTATCTCTGCTAGCACTTAGTACTTTCTCTTTAAATTCCGATGAATAGAAGGAAGCAATTATGTCTCTTGGAATGTCAGAAGACAGATTTGCTGGCTTATGAATACAGTGACATCTGACTATTTTTTTTCATCAAATCCATTTAACTGGAGGCCCAAGGCTAAGAAATATTCCTTTAAAACTTCTTGCAAATTTTCTTGATTGTTAGTTTCCATAAAATTGCGAAATCTGAGATTGTTTCTTCGTGAGCGATCTTCTAGTTCTTCTATTTTATTCTCTTGGTTTTTAATTTTTGAATTTTTACAGCCATAGCTTTTACTTTATCATTTAGAGTTGCCATCTGAAAATCTGTGTTTAAGTCTGTCCTCCATAGCCTGAAATTTATCTGATAACTTATTTAGTTCACTTTTAATTTCAGCACGTATTGCTGCAGAGTTTGAGGAAATTTCCTTCTTTATTTCCTCTAATACTGCTTGAAGACTTGAGTTTAAGGTTTTAATAGTAATTTCTTCATCATCTTTATTTATATCTGTAACGGAAGATTCCAAAACAGATGTGGAAAAATTTAAGGATTCTCTCTTTTCTTTGGTTTGCTGAGAGAAGTACCCGTCCAGATTCTTATCCTGTTTTGGGTCCCTCCTATCTTTTTGTTGAGACATTTGAGACTAGAGCTGCTGTTTGGTAGCCATTTAGAAGGAAAAAAAAAAAAAAAGATGGCCTTTGTTTATAATGAAGGAGTTATTCACATGGGATTGTATTTTTAACAACATATCTTATATCGTATAAGTGACCCTTGTATTCCTTCTTTTCAACTTTTTTTTTTTTTTCCTCTTCTCCTCCTTTCTTTCCTTCCTTTAACTCTTGCTCTGCTCTCCTACCAATATGCAGTGTCATCCATTGCCAGATTATTTACTCCATAAAGGAGAGAGAAAAAAAATAAAAATTTTCTTTCTTTATAATGATGAAGTTAGTCAGATGGAATTATGTTTTTAACGAGATGATATATAAGTATCCCTTATATTACTTATGTTCAACTTGTGTGGTAATACCAAGCTTAGAAAAAGAAAAAGAGAAAAAATCTTATCTGGGTAGTTTATCCCAGAAGGGTGAATATATCTCCCGATGATTAGCATTCACTTCAGCAAAGCTGTCGTCTGTGCTTCATAGATCTCCTTACGTATAACACTTGTCTTCATAAAGATATCCGATAATAAGCCTGGCAAACCTTATAAAATTAGGTTGTAAATTGGAATTTGCAGTCAGACATGACAATGTAAGCGGCCTCCACCTCTCTCCTCCAACTAGACCCCTAAATAACAGCTCAGCTCATCGTCCGCCCAACGTGGATCAGGACAATCGCATACTGGCAAGTCCTTGCTTCCAGTATAGCACTGAAGCCTCGGTATGTAGTTTCGCTTTAGACGGCCCGGGCAAGGGAAATTTCACCACTCTCGGTGTGCTCCTTAGGGATTCATGGCATCAGACCCTCCTCATTAAGTGCGCGGCGTGTTACGTCCATCCCCGACCTTAATGTCTCTTATGTACTGGGTGTACCACCGTTGTACCCGGGGTTGAAACCACGATCACTTCAGATTAGTGCGTCACAGAGGGACATTCAGTGCATAAATGATTTGCTGCCGTAGCAAACCCGCATATAATTAGCTGGGGTGCGCCGTGACAATCAGAGGATACCCACGTTAACCATAGGCACAATATCCGGTAGACACGGATAGCTGGGGGGTCAGCCCAGGTGGCATGCCATGAAAAACGCCAGAGGACAGCCACAGTATTGTTTGTACTCTTGGTAGAGTATATATATTTAAATAACCCTGTGCAGGGTAACCGTATATATACACTCAGTCTCCTTGAGAAAAAAGGCCAGTTTTTGCACTCAGGCAGTATAATATATACACTCCGTTTCCTTAAGAAAAGGGTGATGGCACATTACAAGCATTGCATGCATATCTGGGGGTCACCCCAGGTGGTGTGCCATGAAAAAAATACCCAGAGGACACCTATGTTCAATACGTATACTAGGTACAGTGTGTGTGTGTGTGTATATGTATATATGTATATCCCTGTGAAGGGTACACTGCAATACACTCAGTTTCCTTAATGATTCTGCCTGCAAATCGTATTCAGCAAGTGGAGTGGTACTGTTGCTTTAATGTAAAACTGACAGGCAGTGTTTAAACATCCATATATGTATGTGGACATCAGTTTGAGCTGAGCTGATTTACTGTGGAGGTAATCCTGAGAAAGGAAAAACCAGTGCTAAGGTGCAGGACGGGTGGTGTGCCATGAAAAAAAAATACCCAGAGGGCACCCACGTTCAATATGTGCACTAGGTACAGTAAATATAAATGTCCCCCTGTGAAGGGTACTCTGCAATACACTCAGTTTCCTCAATGATTCTGCATGCAAAACATCTCCAGCATGTGGAGTGGTACTGTTACTTTAATGTAAAAAACTGACAGGCAGTGTTTAAACATGTATTATATGTATGTGGAGATCTAGTTGATCTGGGCTGTTTTACAGTGAATGTAATCCTGCTCGTCGCGGGCCAGCTGTTATGCGCGGAGTAAGCGTCCCGGCCTCCCTCCACTCTATCCCCACACAGTCCCAGCAAATGCAGCCAAAGGCACTACCACAAGGTCTGCGGTCCGGGCGCGGCACTGACAGCCGTGATGACCGAGGAGAGGGAAAAAACGCCTCAGGCAATGTACAATAATAACAAGGGGACAGTGGGAGTGAAAAACTACAAGACACCATAAATCCAGAAAGGGACAGGTATAGGAGAGCCAGGGACTATAGTAGTAGATGGTAGAATAGGAAAACAATTACAAGCAATCAGTTAAACGAAAGTAATCAGGAGAGGCAAAATACTCTGACCTGTGCAGGCTGGAGCAGCAAAGAAAGAGGAAATTATGTCACTGTCAGGGACTTTTATGTGCCATCTGACTTTTTCTGATTGGTTGTTACTCTTTCTGTGCTGCTGGAGATTTTCAATAAAGAGAGTTATGCAAATAGGAAGCCTCCTGTCATGTGGTAGAATTGACACCATTCTTTCTAGCCATACAGTTTAATACCTACAATGGGTGCTGTTAGGTGGAAATCTGTCAGTTGGCACTATTAGCCAATTACAGCTGCCATTGCTGCTCGGGCTAATACTTCCATGTTAGCCCATTGGCTGGACTCTTGTTGAGCATTACCGGAGCACGGTAGGCTCTATTAACACAATCTAATTAAATTGGTTATAGTTCACCCACTGAAGCTTTGGCTAAGGCAGAGATTGCACACTTCCTTGTAGCCATACTGGCATACCTGTAATGGCACTGTGATAGTCAGAGAGCTGTAAGTTAATACTCTCAGCCAATCACAGCTGCACCTTGCTGCTTATTAGCCCAAGCAGCACAGAGGGGATAGGTTGCTGGGGACTCTTGTTTAGCACTAAAACTTTAAAAACTAATGCTGAATGGAAGGGCAGATGGCTCCAGACACTATAACCACTTCAATGTGATGAAGCAGTTATTGTACCCACTGTGTAATTTGTAGGACTTTCTTTTTTCTTTTAGAATTAAATAAATTAAGGCTTTTAGTTGCAGAGATTTGAAGGACCACTATAGTGCCCTGAGGGTGCCCCTACTCCCGCCGGGCTCTAGGGAGTGGAAGGGGTTAAACTTACCTCTTTCTCCAGCGCCGTTTCTCTGAATCTGCTATGTTTACAGAAAAAAGGGTTAATCCTAGGTGGACTAGGCACCCAGACCACTTCATTAAGCTGAAGTGGTCTGGGTGCCTATAGTGGTCCTTTTAAGGTTTAATGGAAACTGGCATTTTTATATGCAATTATGTAGTTCCTAATTTAAATATTTATTGATAGTAGCTGTTCCAATTAAAATTTTAGACATTTGTTTTCATTTGTTTTTCCAGGTGCCATATGATTGGACACTGAGAAAATAGATATCAACGTTTTTTTTTAATCTGATTTGGAAACCACAAGCAAATTCAGGTATGTAGTAGCAGGTTGACAAACCTGGGGCTATTCTGGTGCTTGTAGGCACTCACTGGTTGACTAATGTAGATGCATTAGCCCATCCAATTCTTAGGCTGAGAGAGTTAGGCTAACCTGCTTATAATACTTAAAGGGACACTCCAGGCTTCATAACAACCTCATTGAAATGACATTGTTATGGTGCCAGGAGGTTCCTGGCATTGGCTCACCTTAATGGGTTGAACAGTTTAGCCTTAAAGTCTTTGTTCCAGCTTAGAATCTCTCTGCCTTTTTTTTTTCTTCTTAAAATCTCTTTACCGGATGGCTCTTGCAGAATCAGGCAGCGTCGCTGCTGATTGGCAGAGAGAGGTCAGCTGATGTCCTCAACCAATAAGTGAATCCCCATTTAAAAAAAAAAAAAAAAAAAAACTGTCTCGAAAAAGGAACATTTGTTTTCAAGAGTTTTTTTTGAATGGGGATTCACTGATTAGCTGAGAATGTCAGCTGACCCCTCTCAACCAACCGCTGTTGCCCGATTCTGCAAGTACTTTCCGGTTTGGAGCTTTTTAGAAAACTGAAGAGCAGGAAGATTAGTCACTGTAACAAAGACTTCGGGTTTAAACTGTTTGAGAACAGTTTATCCCTTAAAGGACCACTATAGTGCCAGGAAAACATACTCGTTTTACTGGCACTATAGTGCCCTGAGGGTGCCCCCACCCTCAGGGTCCCCCTCCCGCCCGGCTCTGGAAGGGGGAAAGGGGTAAAAACGTACCTTTTTCCAGCACTGGTCGGGGCTCTCCTCCTCCGTTCCTCCTCCTGGGCTGAATGCGCACGCGCGGCAAGAGCTGCGCGCGCATTCAGCCGGTTGCATAGGAAAGCGTTATCAATGCTTTCCTATGGACGCTTGCGTGCTCTCACTGTGAAAATCACAGTGAGAAGCACGCAAGCGCCTCTAGCGACTGTCAATGAGACAGCCGCTAGAGGCTTTGGGAGAAAGCTTAACCCATTCGTAAACATAGCAGTTTCTCTGAAACTGCTATGTTTATAAAATAATGGGTTAACCCTAGCTGGACCTGGCACCCAGACCACTTCATTAAGCTGAAAATGATGTGAGTGTGTACAATAATGTGTGTGTGTGTGTGTGTGTGTGTGTGTGTGTGTGTGTGTGTGTATTGATCAGTGTTGCGATGGCCTCTGCTGGACAGTGGAGGACCTGGAGGTGCATGGAGGCACGCAACGCCACGTCACATTCTGACGTGACGTCAACGTGCTCTACCTTCGCAGGTTTTCAAGGAGTAGAGGAGAATCCGTTTGGCACAGAATGCGGACGGCGCCATTTGGGGTATACCAGAGGCTGGACTCCAGAGTCGCATATTGGTAGCGGCAATGTGAGTGGAGTCTGCTTGTTGGCTAATATTGTATTTTTTTTTTTTAAACAAGGGCTGGGGTTTACTAGAGGGGGTGCTGGTATTTAGTATAGAGGGAGGCAGTGGTGTATTCTGGTTTTGTGCTGCCCTAGGCAGGACAAAACTCAGGCGCCCCCCAACCGCGCGCGACCCCCACCCATCCCTTCCCCCCCGCCCCCTAAATACACACACATATATACACACACACACACCTTTTGGGAGTGCTGGGGGTGGAAGGGGTTCTCTATCTCCCTGGGGGTCCAGTGGCTGCTGGGCGGGCGGCATTGACGGGCAGGCGGCTGGCGAGGGAGCACTTCAGAGTGAGACTGGGAGCCGGAATATGACGTCCTATTCTGGCTCCCAGCCTCACTCTGCGGCGCGTGAGGGAGCTGAGCAGACCGCTCAGAGGAAGAGCTCCTTCGCCAGCCGCCTGCCCGTCAACGCCGCCCGCCCAGCACAGCATGTTAGTTAGCCACAATGCTAACAAGGCATTTGTCCTGGGCATTTGGGGGACGGCTTATTTTGCCGCCCACTGGAAAATGCAGCCCAAGGCAAATGCCTTGTATGCCTCGCGGCTAAAACGTCCCTGGAGGGAGGGGGTGCTGGTATTTAGTATAGAGGGGGGACGACTGGGATTTAGTAGGGGGAATGCTGTTTATTTTGTATACTGTACTTTTCAAAACAAACCTGCGTTTCTATGAAAATGTAAGGTTTTGTATTTTTTTGCGACCCACATTAACCTAAACCTTGTTTATGTGGCCATGCTAGACTCTGGGTTTGACATGCTTGCCTTAAGGTGAGCCAGTCCCAGGCATCTCCTGGCACCATAACGACATCATTTCGATTAAATTGTTATAGTGTGCAGTGTCCCTTTGAAATGCTCCTTTAAAAATTTCCTTCACAATGTAATGTTAATTGTGTTACTTGCAAAGCTATGCAATATGAAGTTTAGCCCATCAAGTTCCAAATCAGTTTTGTTCAGCATTGTTTTTATGTACCAGTGATTCATTCCATGTCCCTGTATCGCCACACAGGGAGTATAAATGTTGCCGTTTCCCTTCTAAACACTAGACTTTAATTTATAAAAGTGCTACTTTCTATTGAAATCTGTACTTTTTGTAAATTGAAAAAGAGGATGCACTCTTTACACATTACGTTTTTACGTTTTTACGTTCCTGTAAAGGGATAAATAATATTAAATACCCAATGAGTGCAGGATGAATTACCATGGTACAGGAGTCAGCAGCATTCTATAGCATACATCCTGTTGTAGAGGAATCCATATTTTCCTGCTGGAGAAAGCGGACTGCATGTTTAAAAAAAAAAAATTAAAAAAAAATGACTTTTCAAAAGCAGACATGTAAACTCAACAGCACCTGTCCTCCCACCCCACTTTTGAACATTGATTATATGCTCTCAGGATGCGGTATGTCTCTCCTAGGCACTCTGGGTGTACAAGAGATGGTACAGCCTATGTGCCCCTGCTCTTAGGAACCTGCAGGCACACTGCTCAAAATCCAGCAGAGCCTCCACTGCACCCCATACTGTACTGACTTCATTGCTGCTGTGCACTCTATCTGACTGTCACAGGACAGCTTCAGGTCTCCACACTGGGTCTAGGGGCAAAGGTGAGATCCCATATGTGTGCAAGTAGTGAGTGGAGAGGTCCAAAGTAGTGACCAGCTGCAAACCTATTGTCCTGGTGCGCCCCTCTTCCCCAACCAAGGCCCAGTGTACATTATTTCCATGCCCAGGTTCAGTAAAGGTGGCTACGACACTCGCAGGGAAAGCATACCTACACTGCTCCCATGGGGCAGGTTGTTGACAATGCAGAGCCGCAGGTTGGGTAAACATAGTTAAAATTATTTACTCGAACAAGGATAACCTCCTCTCCCCCAGTCCAAAGGAGTGGGGCTTGTTCAAGGCAGAAAGAACCATTTGGCAAGTGCAGTGTTCAGAAGCCTGCATTCAGGGTCACATTTATTTTTAGGCTTGTCTCCAAAACTTTGAAATTGGCCCACAGATACATATCCGCAGCACTCCCAGTTCTTCTATGTACGATATTAGGCAGCTCATGGCATGGTGGGCATCAGGCCTAATAACTCTTGTTTTCCAGCAGTAATCTCCAAAATAATGGGTTTGTTGCATACCACAAGACTTGGTAAAATTAATACTGGCCAACAACATCCGAATGGGAGAAGCAGAAGATGGCATCTATTCAGCTTGATGGCCAAATCCTTCCCCTAAACGTTGCTATTTGTATGATTAAAGGACCACTATAGTCACCCAGACCACTTCAGCTCAATGAAGTGGTTTGGGTGTCAGGTCCCTCTAGTGTTAACCCTGCAGCTGAAAACAGCAGTTTGAGAGAAACTGTTATGTTTACACTGAGGGTTAATCCTGACAGCCACTCGAGGCCACTTCCGCGATTCTTACTGTGAAAACCACAGTGAGAAGACGCTGGACGTCCCTAGGAAAGCATTGAGTAATGCTTTCCTATAGGCGGTTTGAATGCGCATGCGGCTCTTGCTGCTCATGCGCATTCGGCACTGACGTCAGCAGGAGGAGGAGAGGTCACCAGCGCCGAGGAAGCCTGGCGCTGGATTAGGGTAAGTGGCTGAAGGTTTTTTTTACCAATTCAGCCCAGCGGGAGGGGGGCAGTGAGGGTTGTGGACACCTAATAACCCTATAGTGCCAGGAAAACGAGTTTGTTTTCCTGGCACTATAGTGGTCATTTAATGCTATGCACTAGATAAAATGACACTTCATTATTTTTGGAGAATGCTGCTCCAGAAGGTTTCTGTACTTGGTTACCCTGGTGATGCTGGGCTTAGCTCACTGGCTGAGCGCTCTTAACTGATTATTTGAGCCAGTGCTTAGTTTATAGGACCTAACATATCTCCATGCAGGAGCTTCCAGCTCTTCTGGAAGCTTGGACCGGTGCCTGGTAGAAGGCAGTTAAGTTGTCAAACCATTCTCTGTTTGACTACTTACCCTGGGAGGGTGTCAGGGCACTACTGGCACCATAAGCACTATAAAGTGCTTCAGTAGTTATGGTGCTTAGTGTTCCTTCGACATCTACTTTAAAAGCTTTTATTTGAAATGGCACACTGAGGCATGCTAAGATTATTATAATTTTTTTATTTACATTTTTTACAAAAGTCAAGTGATTTGCCTGTTAATGTGTTTGGTAAATCAAATCAAGTCAGCTTGATTTTCATATTGGCTGTTTTGACCTGATATTTGATCTTAATTCCAGAATTTTTTTTGTGACAGAGCTGATTTTAAAGTGCCATTGAACATAATGTTAATGCATAATATTTTCAAGTGGTCTGTCTCGAAATGTGGAGTGGATTATATTGTTCAGAAAATCACTTTCTACATGGTTGATTTTGCTGCTTAGAGAGATTACCTTTTGCATATATAATAGAAACCCATTTGAAAATAATGTTTTTGGTTTGAAGGGAAAGTGATGTATTCTTTTTGAGATGCATATGAACTGAACCCCAACCAAGGTGCCTGCATAGATTAGTCTAGTCTAAGCACAGTGTGTGCTTCATTCAATAAATCTTTCATCTCAAAAATCTCTTCACCAACGTACATCTTAAAATTCTGAAAAGGTCCATCACCAAAAGAAGATGACCCACTCTGTTGCTTGAGCGTTGGCACTGTTCTGAAATAGGACTTGCTGAAGTACAGAGCGTATAGCTACAGTTGCATATCATATTAGGATTGCTAATCTTTCTCTTTAGAGTCAGATTTTAATAAATAAAACACAAAAATATTTTCATTATTTTTTTTTTCTTTTAGTGGTATAGCTTACGCACTGCACTGGCTTGTTAAAATGCTGCTGTTTTAGAAACTTTTTACATAATTTTCTTTTATTATTTTTCAATAGATTAATATATATTTACATTTGAAGAGAAAGTCTCTTGCTTGCTGCGTTAAAGTAAATCCTCTCCCTGCTTTGCACGTTCTTCCTCTCATTTTACATATTGTTGTGCCTAGGTGAAGTTTTAAGTAACAGCCAAACTTACGCTATCTGGTTTAATTTCGGTTGTTGTCTTGTCATGCTGCCTGCACTATGTGATTTTTGCAACAGTATAAAGCATCATACTGTAAAACCCTTGCGCTATGTTATAATAAATTTATCTTGCGCTCATAACTAATTTTCCCTCTAGCGTTTTCTTTTTATTATTAATTTTGAATGTGACATACATCAGTATACGGGTTTTGCTATGTTATGAGGCTTGCGCAGAAGCCAGAGGTTGCATATTTAAAACAGAAGTTTGTGTTTACATCAGTTCGGCCTACGCAGAAGCCATTATCAGCTTGGTTGTACAATTACGTTTTATACACTATAAACAAGATCATATTCTGTCACTTTTTCATTTTTGTAACAACAGTAAATACAATAAGAGTAGATAGACAGAAGGGTAGAGAGGAAAGAGAGCAACCTAGGAGGGAAAGGCAATCCTCCCAATGTATACTATTAATGTTGGCAGTGGACCTTGTTTGCTGGCAGGATTGTATTTTTCACTGGGTTGCATCAATGGTCCACGTTTCCTGTGCGTCGCACTTGTATGTGTTCACACTCTCCAGATGTGCCATCAGTGTTTACTCTGTAGCCTCCAGGGCGTGTTTATTTAGGATGTGTTTTATTTAGCCATTTATAGCAGCTGCGTTCAGAGGGGGAGAATGGGTTTATAGTAAGGGGAGGAGTGGGAGGAGGCCTCGAGGGGGTGTAGGACCTACTGTTGGGAGGAGGGAAGGGTCTGTCAGGGTGGGTCAGCTGTAATTCCTCTAATGGGGATTAAGTCTGGGTTCAAGAGTCAATATAGTCTTCCCACGGTTCCCACACCTTGAGAAAGTTTGTATACGTATCACGCACCTGTGCCGTGAGTTTGTCCATGAGAAAGGCTTCTTTAATGTTGCCAATTACTCTGTCCATGTGCGGGGTATCTACTTTAAGCCATGTCTGCGCCAGGGCGCGTCTGGATGCCAAATTGATTTTGTTTAAGAGCTTTTGTTCCTTGTTGGGGAGATTGTCAATTGGTTTGGCTAGTAGGCAAGTCCAGGGGTCCGGTTGTATTGTTTTTTTCAGTATTTCTTTCAGAAGGTTAGTTATGTCGCTCCACAGTTAGCGTTTTCTGTCTTGTGGAAGCTAGTGCATGTTGGATTATATATGTACGTTGTTTGCTGGTTAATCAGAATCTAAATTTAGTTTAAAGGATCACTATAGTGTCAGGAAAACAAAGCAGTGGGTCCCCCTCCCATGGTGCGGAAGGCAGCTTACCTTATTCCAGCGCCGGGCTCCCTCTGCGCTGGTGACCTCTCCTCCGAATGCGCATATGTGGCAAGTGTCGTGCACGCATTCAATGTGTCCACAGGAAAGCATTTCTCAATGCTTTCCTATGGACGCTCTGCGCGATGGAGGCATAATATGCCTCTAGTGACTGTCCGGAAGATAACCACTAGAGGCTGGCTTAACTCCAAATGTAAACATAGCAGTTTCTCTGAAACTGCTATGTTTGCATCTGAAGGGCTTTAAGATGGGTAATGGTAGAACTGCACTTTAGTCAGGTGAGATTATATTATTTCTAGAATATTACTCGGTTGTGGTTACATAGTTTCCAACCCAAGTCTCGCCAGGGAATAAACACAGCAACCTGTTCCCTGTAGCATTCAGAAAATACTGTATCAGGAAGCATTTGAATATTTCTGTTTAAAGCTGTGTACAAGTTTGCATTGCATTCCTTTTCCATTTTTATTTATTTTCTATTAATAATCTTATAATTAAAGGAAAACTATTGCATTAAGAATACAATGCTCTATTCTTTTTTTTTTTTTTCAGTGCATGAATAAACAAAACAGGCCTGTAATGCCACAACAGCATGAGCAGACAACACAGTTAACAAATGTTAACATAAGTGGCATTCTAATGTAAATAACTAATTTTTTTATATGGTGTTGCTTTATGCAGTACCCACAAGTGTGTGGAGTCTGATGCAGTACATACAACGGTGCACTAGTAGGCATATTTGTAGGTATAGTTGTCTAGAAAGTGGGCCCGTGGGTTGTTTGCAACACATCATGCTGGGCAGCTTAGGTACCAGCCTTGTGCAGGTTTACTGAAGGGTTGGTGCTCTGCTGAGCCAGCTATTGGGAGTAGTGTCGGCTCTGTCATGAGCAATGTGGGACATTAATTGCTATTGTCTGGGTTGTGGCTAGAGGGACTAGTAAAGGGTTGGCTGGGCTGTTTAAGGAACCGCTTGGGATATATGGGCCAGTCGGCTGTGCAGTACTGTAAGGCTTCGGGGTGTAATTTAAAACCTCAAGTTGGTCTATCTTAACTTATTCACCAGTCTACCCTGCCTTTGATTCCTACCGCACTGTGTAACCAAAGAACATACGCTCTGGGGACCCCTAGCTCACCCTGTCTGAGGAAACCATGGTGACTATTTAATAAAAGATCCACAGGTGTGATTTAGCAGACTGCTGGGTGAGCCTTGTGTTCCAAAGAGGGGAATTGTGGTGGATAATACCTGAACCAAGTCTCAAGCTACAAATGACCAGTCTGTTTAAAAATTGGCTAACTTGGTTCATGATATGCTCTGAACTTTACTCTAGTTTTGGTGTCTGGCACGTAAGCACATTCTCTTTTTCTCTTGACATCCTCTGGCTTCTGAGGAGACGATTGCAGCTGTCACCCTCACCCCCCTGTAGTCAGTTGCACCTGTACACATAGTATTAAATAGGCATAAGTGAATTAAACATGCCCATTAACATAGGTAAACTTTGAACCAAGTGGAAATACACTCCCGTTGTATGGGGGTCTGCAAGCAGCAGGTAAGAGGGCTCTGGCCTCAGGTGCTGACTGTGGCATAAGTGTCAGAGAAGGCCCTCCGAGGTGTGAATGACTGGACGTTCGCTGGATCCCATTTGGGGGTTGCTGCAGTCCCAGGGTGGCCAGGTTGTGGCAAAGAGTCTCTGGTAGGCTCAAGGTGTTGGCTTTGTGCAGGCCCTGCACCATGTGGGGGGTTTCTCCTTGCTGGATCTGTAGGGACCATGGCGAGCGCCAATGGTATGGCAGGCTGTGAGCTCGGAGGAGAGCAGTGAAGGGCTGCAAAAACTTACGCCGTATTAGAGTTTCTCCAGAAAGATCCTGGTAGAATGCAAGTGTCATATTTTTCGAACATGAACGGAGCTTTACCCCTTAATGCAGCCTGGACCACCATCTTATTCGCCATGTTGTGGAATCGTACCACTAAGTCCCTACGCGCTGTTGCCGCAGCCCGTCGGGCTTTTGGGATTCGGAAGACCCCATTTAAAAAACAAATTTCACATCCCAATCCTGTTGCTTTCTGCACCTGGCGTAATCTACCCAAAAAGCAGGAACTTTTTGTAACTTTTTTTTTTTGTATACTTTTATTTGGAGTTTTTAAGATATTTAAAGAGGGAACGAGACATGAAATAGTCTACCACCATCAAAAAGTTAGATAACTTTATTTTTTTGAGATGTTTGAAGTATTTAATAATGTCAGGCCAAGTTTTATATTTCCTGGGCATATCTACTGTTCTTAAAACTAGTGTGGGAGTCGTTTCTGGTTTTGCTGAAGTCCCTACATTTCCTTTGTAGCCACCCCCACCCCCATCTAACTCCTCTACTTCATGAAGTGAACTGCCAGATCTGTAACACAGGTATATTTCATCAGAAAGCCTGTGCAGGGGATTGATAAAATATTTGAATATTGTCTATGAATGCTTTTAATTTACATTAATAAAATCTCTATACATCCTTATTTATTTTTTTTGGATGCTCTTTTTAGTATGGCCCTCCACACCTGATTTATACCTATTCCTATGAGTGCATGGAGCACCATTCCACAGCTGCTCTTTATTAAATGCTGTCCTTAATGGGAAACTCCACTGCCCGAATACACAAATAAATAAAAACCACGGTTTAGTAGATATACTCCAAATAAAAACATGCATTGATTTTGTTTTGTTTTTTTAAAGATATACTTAAAAGCCCTTTGCAAAAGCTGCAGTCCTTTTGTCTATCTTTGCAAGCTTTCCTTTTCTTTCCCAGCCCAGACTTTGTGCGGCTGTCATATCAGACTTCCCAGTGCAGTTCAATGAGAAGTCTTTGTAAGACAGGTGCTCTGGGAAATTGCTGCCAAACTGGGAAGTAATAAGACTGGTAGTCAACTTGATAGCTAATGGGTTTAACCAAGTTTAATTTATAAAAGTGGCAATATCTATCGGAAAAAAAAGGACCACCCATCACACATAAAGCATTCCTGCAAGCTAAAGTTCTTTAGGGGTCTGGAGTATACCTTTTTTTTTTTTTTTTATTTACCCCATTTACTGCTTCCAGAAGAAGAGCTGAACAGTGAGAATTGTACGGTCTGTCTCCCGAACATCTTAAATGGCATATTAATATATAGAGAGGAAATTAATTGATGAAAGGCAGTCACATGTATGTCTTTGTTCTGCTGAGTTTAGGGACCCCGCACTGCACATTATGATTTTTATTATATGGTGTGATAATACCCCTTTGGTACACAAATTAAAACATGAACTTCCTGTTGCCATATTGTACTAACAATTTAATAAACCTACAGGGTTATTCACTAAAGTTCACCTGGACTGCAAAATTTGGACATTGTTGAATTGTACTGACAATTTAATAAACCTACAGGGTTATTCACTAAAGTCCGTCTGGACTGCAAAATTTGGACATTGTTGAATTCCATCAACAGTCACTGGATTGTGTAAATCCGTTCCTAAATGGACCTGAACTTGTTCCAGATTTCAACGGTACCGAACGCAGCTGGACATCTGAAGTCCAGAAGGAATTAAAGGACCACTATAGTGCCAGGAAAACATACTCGTTTTCCTGGCACTATAGTGCCCTGAGGGTGCCCCCACCCTCAGGGTCCCCCTCCTGCCCGGCTCTGGAAAGGGGAAAGGGGTTAAAACTTACCTTTTTCAAGCACTGGGCGGAGAGTTCTCCTCCCCGTCGGCTGAATGCGCACGCGCGGCAAGAGCTGCCCGCGCATTCAGCCGGTCACATAGAAAAGCATTCATAATGCTTTCCTATGGACGCTGGCATGCTCTCACTGTGAAAATCACAGTGAGAAGCACGCAAGCGCCTCTAGCGGCTGTCAATGAGACAGCCGCTAGAGGGAATGGGGGAAGGCTTAACCCATTCATAAACATAGCAGTTTCTCTGAAACTGCTATGTTTATGAAAAAATGGGTTAACCCTAGCTGGACCAGGCACCCAGACCACTTCATTAAGCTGAAGTGGTCTGGGTGCCTAGAGTGGTCCCTTAATTAAATCCATGCCCAGTGGCTTCAGCTCCAAACCTGGATTTAAAAAAAATAAAACTGAACTATTTGCCTGCTGGCAGCATTTGCAGCCAGTCATGAAAATGGATATAAAAAACAAACAATCAAAAAACAAAACTCAGTGGCACAATGGTTAATTATGCGACGGCTGGCCAGTGCTTGCTAGGCAGCTGCCACACTAAATAAATTTAAATCCTGTAAGGTGTCATTACACTTATGGGTGTCAATATACTATCATGGAGGTGTTTTACTTCCACATGTCTCCTCTTATGTTTTTTTAACATTTTTAACTAGGGACTGACTGATATAATTTCTTCCAGAACCAATGCCAATACAGATTATTGGTCGCCTCTCGGGCCGATTGCCGATAACTGGTGACAATGTCCTGTATGTTTTAGAGTTCTGAAAAAGCTGCACAAATCTGGCATTAACTGAACATGCTGACCGCAATAACACTCCTATTACTCTGCCTGACAGCTAGCCCAGTACATTACAAGAGAATATTCACCATCAAGCTTTCCTCTAAATTCTGCAGCAGGGGACCCACAGGGAGGGTGACGTGAGGTGGCAAAATGGTGCCTTGCTAGCTGGCAGATGGAGTTTCCAGATGCGGAAGATGGTGTGCGGTGACTTGGAGAGGTGAGTAAGTTATAAGACCAATACCGATTATCTGCAGATTATTGGTTCTAATAATAGGCAGAAATTATATTCTGTCTATTCCTAGATTGAACATTTATTGTACAGAAGTTCAAGAATATTATAGTGGTAGGAATACAGGTTTGTATTCCTAATGAAATGCTGTTCTTTTAAAGCACGGTCACTTGCAGAGAGTTCTTAGTGTTAAAGAGCTTGTTCTCTTTCTCTTATTTTATAAAAGTGTTGATTTTAATAGAAATCCTCACTTTTATTATTGACCTACGTTGTATCTCGTAAGCCAGCTGACTTTTCTTCCTCAATTGCTGAGAGCATTTACATTTGTAGTGAGGACTTCTGCGGAAGCACTGGATTCAGTGGTTCTCTGTGAGACGCATTGGCTTGGCGTGGGAAATCTACTGCCTGAAGTATATAATCTGTTGATCCACCTTTTACAGTGTATCTGTGAAACAAACATTATTTCATTACAGATACAACTTGATTTACTTATGATTGATATTCTGCTGTGGTCCTACTTTGATTTAAGCAAATGGAACTTTCAAAAATTAAATACTGGGTGGGGGGTGGAGCTTGACCTCTGAGCTGCATGGACTCACTCCTGTAGAGCTCCCAAGACTTGGCGACTAAACCTGCTCAATCTGAGATCCCACAGGTTCATCCACGCCTGTGGCCACTTCTCATTTCACCCCCGTTCTGTAGACTACCAGCTGTTGCCTTTCCAAATCACACAAAAGGGGAAGAAAACACAGAGGGTCTTGGGCCTACCTCGATTTCCGAGCTTTGGAAGCTGCCACCCTGGTTCCGGGGCTGCCTGCCGACAAACAGCGCATTTCCCTAATAAGGCAAGGGAATTGTGCACACCCCACCAATGGGGGGCGACGGTCTTAGAAACCGCATCTCAGTGCGAGTTATGACTCCCCTCTGCTCCCAAAGTGGCGGCCAGAATAGACGCGGATGCGCAGCCCAGAGGCTTATGTTAGGACCAAAGTGAGACGCTGAAGTCCGCCATCCCTGTGTCACTCGTTGAACGGGAAGCAGAGCGAGATGCACTTGCACCAGCTACCAAGCAGGACATGCTAAACCTACTATGAGAAATGAGACAAACAACAAATGCAGACCTGGGATTTAATTGGGACAGAAGTCCAAACAGTGACCGAACAAACACGATATCATAGACATAAGGCAAGCGGTAACAGGTCCCTGCAATAAGTACAGTCCTCTCAGTCTGCACTAATTATGAGACTCTGCACCCGGACTCCATCTAATCGACCAAACTGACACATTATCTTCAACGTTTTCTTACTACCATCCTGCCACACTCTCATACCATAAAAACTGAGCTTGATGGCTTTTTTCGTATCCACAAACCCAAGTAAGCTCCCTCCTCTGCTTCCCAAAACGTAATTATGAGGTATGGCTCTGTATCGGATAAAAAATGCATTTTGAATGCAGTGAAGGGAAAAACCCTGCTGGATTTTGAGACATCTTGGCTCACCTTCTTTCAGGACTTAACCCGAAATACTCTGCAGTGGTGAAGGTCCTTTAGTGCAGTAACGAGCCAGCTACGAGACACAGGCGTGGACTATCGATGGTCCCCACTTAGAGCTATAATCACTATCCAGAATGGAACCACGCTGAGACTTACATTGCCGGCTGAGTCCCCTTCTTTCTTCCATGCATTGGGAATAATACTCCGGCTGTTTCTACCTGAGAGGCCTGGGATCCAGAACGAACAACACCTTCCATCCCCGTGGCAGTGATGGCACGAATGCTGGGATTTGAACTCCTGTAGCACCGCAAGCATATGTCTCTTTTTACTGTTTTCTTTTAATTGTGTTCATGTTTATTTTTCATTTCCATGTTGATATAACTGCCGGTGACTCCAATCTTATTAGCCTGTTGCTCCATAGCAGGGAATCTACCCAACCATGAAGGAGCCATACGTTCTCAAGTGAGATCCATTTACCCCCGTGACCCGCTAGGTTAGGGGATATAACTCTACTGAACCGCAAAGTATGCAATCTCCTGGTACCTTAAATGCCCTACAATAAATAAATATGACCCCTCACACTGGTTGCGAATACAGATTGTTTTCCACGGCTCTTAAAGGCCACGTCTTCTCCTAATAACGCTTCTCCTTTAATATGGGTATCTCGCCTAGCAATAGATTTATGCTCCAAATACTCCAGGATGCATGCTAGCCAAATGAATGTACTCGTACATCTTTTATATGACTTGTCTTACAAGAGTGAGACGCTTTTCACACAGTTTTGGTGTCTTATTCTACACTTGTTGTGTGGTTACTATAGCATTATATGTTACAGTAATATTGACACTCCTCATCTTGTAATTCTTGACATACCAAAGATGAAAAAAAGAGGTTTTTTGAATCTGATGGTTGATAACTAATAAAGCGATTTTACTGTATTTCGTTGTCAATGCAAATAATCTGTCACTTGTATATCTTTACCTCAATAATAAACAGACTGACAAAAAATTTAAAAAAAAAAAATTTAGATGCTGGGCAATATTTTCCAGCCTGTAGTTTGCCTATTTCACTATTTAGTGAATAAAACATCTCATCTGAAAGGCTATCACTAGGCTGTAATGTAAACACTGCATTTTCTCTGAAAAGACCGTGTTTACAGTAAAAAACCTGAAGGGAATTATTCTACTCATCAGAACAAATTCAATAAGCTGTAGTTGTTCTGGTGACGATAGTGTCCCTTTAAGTTTAATGCATCTAGTATATTATACTTGAATTTATTAACACTCCCCTCCCCACCCAATGCTTCGAGATGCAAGATGTATTACTGCATTTTGCAAGACCTAGGCTGTTTGGGAATCATGGCGATGATTTGAACTATGTCAGTGAGTTGTGGAAAACCAGACCATAATCTAAGGGGTGTAAACTAATTATGCACATCTGCCGGCAAGCTACGGGAAGAACGCCAGTCGTCAACAATGGCCCATAAAAACAAGTATGCAGTGTTTTTGAAGGGAAGGCTATGTTTTGTGTGTGTTTTCCTTCATATGACACTAGAAATGCATTGGCACTTAATAGTGAACAATATTTTTTTTTTCTGTATCTACCTTCAAAATACTTTGGGCATAATTATACTGACTCTGTATCAGAATTCCATGTGCTGCACACATACGTTCTGTATTTTATTAATTTTCTCTGAGCATCATAACCATCAGGGTTCGACCGATATTGATTTTATTTTAGAGCCGATAATGATCTGTGAACTTTCAGGCCGATAGCCGATAATTTACCGATATTCTGTACATTTACCGTTTTGAAAAAAGAAACTATTTCTACACAAATCTACTGTTTATTATTTTATTTTTTTTGCAAATCTTTTTTTATTAAGGTAAATGCACAAAGTATACATGCCAGTTAGAATTGTTTTATGGTTTTTAAGAATATATATGTGTGGTATGTGTACGTGTTTGTGTAGTGGGTGCAGTGTGTGTGTTTAAATATATGGGGAAGGAATCTGTGGATTTTCTTTATTTTATAAATAAAAATAATTTTATATAATTACATATAATTTTTTTATTTTATTCCCCCCCTCCCTGGCCACAGGTACATAGGGCATTACACTCCCTGGTGGGGAGTAAGGGGTGCCATGTGTGTGATGAGTGCAGTTTGTATGTATGAGGGGCATTGTGTGTGTGGTGGGGGGGGCATTGTTTGAATGAGGGGTGCAGCGTGTGTGTATATGGGGGGCAGTGTTTGTATGAGGGGGCAGTTGGTGTGTGTGGCTATATGTGTATGGGGGGGCCATGTGAGAATGTTTAGGGTGTTATTGTGTGTGTGGTAGGGAGGGAAGCAGATCAATGCAAATATAACTTTTCTTCTATGTTTAAAAAAAATTATATATATATATATATATATATATATATATATATATATATATATATATATATATATATATATATATAAAAAAAATATAAACAAGGTGCACTCACAGGTCTTCTTAAGTACGTGATAAATTTATTCCAGCGTGCAAATTATTTATGCCACAATTTAATGATGATCAACGTTTCGACCCATAAAGGGTCTTTTTCAAGATCTTGAAAAAGACCCTTTATGGGTCGAAACGTTGATCATCATTAAATTGTGGCATAAATAATTTGCACGCTGGAATAAATTTATCACGTACTTAAGAAGACCTGTGAGTGCACCTTGTTTATATTTTTTATATTTATCAACGCCAGAGGTGGGCACCCAGGCAAGAATATTTTGATTTTTTACAAAGGGTGAGTGCCAAGTTCACGTTTTCTTTTTATTTATATATATATATATATAGGCAAGAATATTTTGAAATTTTTTACAAAGGATTTGTGAGTGCCAAGTGTCATGTTTTCATCTTATCCTAAATTGTGTTCCAAGCAGTTGTATACTGCAAACACAAATTAAAAGGAATCCATGTTTAAAATGGAATGAGGCAAAAATGTGATTCTTTGTTAAACAAATTTGCATATGCCCACCCAGAATCCTTTGCGGTTGTAACATCACTGCTGATTTGGGATTTCTGTGGGAAAAGCAAGTCTTATGGCTTGACTGGTGTGCAGATTTTTGTTTAGCATTGTATTAACTATCCACAAACTTCAGGTGGAAGGGGTTTTTAATCACAATTTTTCCCCACCATAACCTATTTGAATTTTGCTTCCCAAGCACTACCAAGCCTCACTAAGCAAACCAGTAACCAACCTCATGCTGAAGAGTTGCATTAACAACGAAACAGTTGTCCATGAGTGGTTCACTGGTTTTGCATTTTATCCTAAATTGTGTTCTTGTACCTGCCACAAATTAAATATTTTTTATATTTATCAATGCCAGAGGTGGGCACCCAGGCAAGAATATTTTGATTTTTTACAAAGGGTGAGTGCCAAGTTCATGTTTTCTTTTTATTTATTTATATATATATATATATATATATATATATATAAAATATATATTTAATACAATGCTAAACAAAAATCTGCACACCAGTCAAGCCATAAGACTTGCTTTTCCCACAGAAATCCCAAATCAGCAGTGATGTTACAACCGCAAAGGATTCTGGGTGGGCATATGCAAATTAGTTTAACAAAGAATCACATTTTTGCAGATGCAACACACTTTTTGCATCTTATCCTAAATTGTGTTCCAAGCAGTTGTATACTGCAAACACAAATTAAAAGGAATCCATGTTTAAAATGGAATGAGGCAAAAATGTGATTCTTTGTTAAACTAATTTGCATATGCCCACCCAGAATCCTTTGCGGTTGTAACATCACTGCTGATTTGGGATTTCTGTGGGAAAAGCAAGTCTTATGGCTTGACTGGTGTGCAGATTTTTGTTTAGCATTGTATTAACTATCCACAAACTTCAGGTGGAAGGGGTTTTCAATCACAATTTTTCCCCACCATAACCTATTTGGATTTTGCTTCCCAAGCACTACCAAGCCTCACTAAGCAAACCAGTAACCAACCTCATGCTGAAGAGTTGCATTAACAACGAAACAGCTGTCCATGAGTGGTTCACTGGTTTTGCATCTTATCCTAAATTGTGTTCCAAGCAGTTGTATACTGCAAACACAAATTAAAAGGAATCCATGTTTAAAATGGAATGAGGCAAAAATGTGATTCTTTGTTAAACTAATTTGCATATGCCCACCCAGAATCCTTTGCGGTTGTAACATCACTGCTGATTTGGGATTTCTGTGGGAAAAGCAAGTCTTATGGCTTGACTGGTGTGCAGATTTTTGTTTAGCATTGTATTAACTATCCACAAACTTCAGGTGGAAGGGGTTTTCAATCACAATTTTTCCCCACCATAACCTTTTTATATATATATATATATATATATATATATATATATATATATATATATATATATATATATATTTTCAATAATCTCCCTTTTCCCTCCTTACCTTTGGCCTGGGAGAGGGAGACATTGCTTTCCATCCCTGGTGGTCCGGTGTGGATGCCCTGGTGGTCCCAGTGGTTAGAGTGAACTCTGCAGGTAAGGGCTCCCCCTGGTCCTCTCTCCCTCCCCTGCCAGCAGAGTAAGGAGATCACTGATAGGCCGATACCGATATTGCTGTAAATGCAGAATATCGTCCAGACCGATAATCAATCAATCCCTAATAATCATTACCATTATTGTATTTTGGGGGATCTGCCTGGCCATCAAGGCAGGTGTCACTGAGGTGTCATTGCAATCAGATGACCATTCATATTTTGCCAGAATTCATAACATCCCAGCAGAAATACCACAGAATTTAATTAGCAAGTCCAATATTTGACCCTGTACCTTTCTGAAACCCCATACATTTGTACATGGGTGGTACTGTTGTACTCTTGAGACACAACTGAAAACAAATGTGAGTGTTTTAGAGTAGTAATGATGATGCTTTAAGTGTTAAGAATTTGTGTAGGGGAAAAATGCAATAAAAGATATGAACACAAGTAGGGATCGACCGATATTTATTTATTAAATTTGTTTAGTACCGATAATCTGTGAACTTTCAGGCCAATAGCTGATAACTTAACGATATTCTGTACATTTACCATTTTGAAAAAATAAACTATTTCTAAAGGTAAATGCACAAAATATACATGCCACGTGTAGTGAATGCAGTGTGTTTAGACAGGGGAGCTGTGTGTTTGTGTAGTATGTGTGTATATAATGAATGCAGAGAGTGTGTGTGTAGTGTGCATATAGTGAATGCAGTGTGTTTGTATACTGAATGCAGAGCATGTGTAGGCATTTAAGTTGGGGGCAATTTTATTTTATTTTTAATTTAAAAAGAAAAAGTTTTATTTCCCCCCTCGCTCCTTGTTATCTGGCCAGGTATAGCATTCCCTGGTGGTCTGGTACAGTGGGGGCCCAGCAAGCTCTTACTTACCTTCCCTTCAGTTCCCCTGTGTAAATCTCCAGTGTGCTGCACGGATCGTTGCCATGGTAACCCGTGGCAACGCGCTGGCGGCCGCAGGACTCACAAGATTTACACAGGGGAGCTGCTGGGAAGGTAAGTGAGAGCTTGCTGCGGGCCCCCCCAGGACCGCCGGGCTTGTAATGGGCCCAGCGGTCCTGGTATGTATTATCGGCAATATCGGTATCTCTATAGGCCGATACAGATATTCCCGAAAAAACTAATATCGGCCGATCCCTAAACACAAAATTTGGCCTGGAATTGTAAATAAGTGGACCTAACCCGTTTTAAATAGCCTGGGTTTTCAACTTTTGCAAATGTATGCCATGGTTGGTGTCATTTTCATTCCTGGGCTGCTCAAAGGCCTCATAGGCCCAGCAAACTACTCTGGCATATTTGTCCATACAACTTTCCAAAACCCCATGAAACCTGGATATGGGGTGGGCATGTTTGTACTGCCAAGCATAACTTGGAAAATAAATCAGTGTGTTAATCTGCAGTGTATCTCTTGCTCTGTTGAAAGCCGAGTGCAACAATGATCAATTAACACAGTAGGAAATCATCTAAAGTTAACACACTTTCCTGTAAGAGCGGATTGATCATGAACAAATATATAATTATAGGAAAAGCTCAACTGAAAGTGGGTGATAAGTAATGTGCCCTTTAAGGAAAAAAAAACAGTTCCTACACCGGATATATACATATAATAGAATTAATAACTACAGGAGAATGAAGTTGACAAAATTGTTAAAAGTCAAAAGGGAAAATAATTCTAATTCATAACGGCTATTTATAGACTTTTCAACCAGATGGTACACTCCATGTCCCCTGCAGCACATCATATAAGCATTGTGTATATGCATATATAACCTAAACATAGAATCTATGCAATCTAGACCAGATTACCCAAGAATATAGGCAAGCTCTAATATACACAATACCCCACATTATAATAGATCCATAGTACACAGTGTTAGTCAATATGACACGTAACATGGTTTCAGAAAATTGCAGGTTATACATACATTATTCCATAGTTAAAGGGAAACTCCAGTGCCAGGAAAACAATCTATTTTCTTGGCACTGCAGGTCCCCTCTCCCACCTACCCCCCAATCCTCTGTTGCTGAATGAAGGCGTGAGAATCCCTTCAGTTACTTACTAGAGGCAGCGACATGTCCCACGTCGCTGCTTCTTCCTCGGCCGCCGCTCCTCCTCTGTATTACGTCGGCTAGTGGGAGAGACTGATCCCGCCGGCCGGCTGGGTAAACCTAATGCGCATGCGCGGCATTCATTAGAGCTCCCCATAGGAAAGCATTGAAAATGCTTTTCAATGGTTTCCTATGGGGAAATTAACGACGCTGGAGGTCCTGACACAGCGTGAGGATGTCCAGCGACGCTCTAGCACAGGTTTTCTGTGTTATGATGCAGGAAATGCCCTCTAGTGGCTGTCTAGTAGACAGCCACTAAAGGGGCAGTTAACCCTGCAAGGTAACAATTGCAGTTCATAAAAAAACTGCAATAATTAGACTTGCAGGGTTAAGAGTAGTGGGAGTTGGCACCCAGACCACTCCAATAGGCAGAAGTGGTCTGGGTGCCTGGAGTGTCCCTTTAACCATTTTAGGAAATAGTGGAATAAACAATGTTAGCATGTAGTCATATATAAATAATAAACATATTATACATAATGAACATATGGGGCCCCATATAACACACAAAAAAATAAAAAAAGAGTGTGTGATACCAGACCCATAGGTCCCGGGAAAAATCCCAGCGATTCATAGATGTGTGTATCAACACCCTCAAAAATAGAAAAAAGATAGATAAAATATGATATTGATGTAAACCAATCCATGAACTCAGGGCAAGAAATAACCAATCCTAGTTCATGGTATGGGTACATCAAAAAGTAATAATAAATATATTCACACACACATACATAAAGAGCAAAAAATAAACTAAACAAATTGTCGTGTCCACTGTGAGTCTATCTCTTTATGGACTGAACTTGAGAAACTCCCTATAATTTCAGATCTTGCTGATCACTGTCACCCTTCTCGTGTGTGAAGAACTATAAAAATTATATATAAAAAAAGTAAGTAAGAACTAGAACAAAAAAAGACAGATTTTCCAGCAAAGAATTTTAAAAAGACTGACTATATTATCTAAAGCAGGCAAAATCCCTTTCATCATTCATGCCATTTGGGAACAGTGTACCCAATACATCTCCCTTTGGCTTAAAAGTTTGAACCTGTTACACCTTTTGGATGGGATTTTAACCTGTTCTATGCCCAAAAATTGTAATTGTGAAACCCGATGTCCAGCTTCATTAAAATGTCGGGCCACTGATTAGGTAACCACTCGATTTCTAATCACACTTTTGTGTTCCCCTATTCTCACAGTTAGATGCCTAGTAGTTTGGCCAACGTAACCTTTGCCACAGGGGCATTTAATCAAATAGACAATGAAGTCCGACTGACAATTGATATTAGTTCTTATATCCATATTGTAGCCCAAACTAGGGTGTGCAAATGAGGCTGATTTTATGACGTTATTACAATTTACACACCTACCGCATCTATACATCCCTTTTGTCTAACCATGTGTCTCTTTGTATTGTCAGAATTTGCTCTGGCATGTATTAAATCCTGCCTGAGGTTCCTCGAGTTCTTAAAAGCCATAATTGGAACTCAGGTCCGGATCTTCACTTAGCACATGCCAATGTTTTTTTATAATTTGTGTAACATGGCGGGACTTAGTGGAATATGTGTGTACAAATGGAATCCGTTTTGGTTTTATCTAAACTTCAGTCCTCGTTTTTTCCTGACTATTCTACTCCAAAACCCTCTCCTTAGCCATCCTTAATGTTTCTAAGGGATACCCTCAATCCTTAAATCTCTTCATCATTCCATCCGCCCTTTGTTCAAAGACCTGATAATCAGAGATAATCCTCCTCAGACGCAATAACTGTGAATAGGGCAACCCCACTTTCAGCTGTAGGAAGTTCCTGTCTGTCGGTTTGGAAAATATATCAAAATGAAAACCATCCAGCATTTTCTTGACATTGACATCCAGGAAATGAACCTCTGTTGGGCTATACTCAATGCTGGACTTTATGATGGGTAGCACCGGATTGATAATGAAACCATGTTTTTCCTGTTGTCTGTGTGAGTCACAGTCAAAGGAGGTGTGGCTAGGGCTGCAAATATACAGAAACGAAAGTAATTATATCCCTAAATGGAGCGGTGAGACTACAGGGCATGACGCCAAAATTGCTTCCATAACCCCTTTAGGACAGCAGGCGTGCCGTCCTCGGGGACCCTGTTCTAAACGCCAGCAGGCGGCATAGTATATCCCCGCCGTCCAGGGGACCTACCTGCTCGCTGGCGATCCCCCGCTGGCGATCGCTATGGGGGGGACAGGGATTTGCCTGTCATCCCAGGCAGTCCTTTTGCGTCTGATTCGGCCCTCCTGGGCCATGTAATTGCAAGGTCCTTGCGAGTAGGGATCGACCGACTATCGGTCTGGCCGATATTTGGTATTTTCGGCAATATCGGTATCTGCCAATAAAGATACCGATATTACATACCAGGACCAGCAGCAAGCGCTTACTTACTCAGCAAAGCTCTGCGCTGGCTGCGAGATTTACACAGAGGAGCTGAAGGGAGCTGCTGCGAAGGTAAGTAAGCGCTTGCTGCGGGCCCCCCACTGTACTTTCTATGCCACTGGACCACCAGGGAATGCTAAATCCCCATTCCCTGGCCAAGTAACAAGCAGGGAGACGGACTAAAAAAAAAATAAATATATATATATATATATATATATATAATAATAAAATCCCCCTCCCCCAAATTGCATAATATACACACACTACACACACACTGCATTATATAAACACACACACTTTGCATTTAGTATATACACAGTGCATTACTTTACGCACACTACACACACTGCATTCACTTTACATACACTACACAAACACACACTCTGCATTCATTGTATTCACTATATACACTACACAAACACACTTTGCATTCATTATATACACACTGCATCCACTACACAAACACATAGCTCCCCTGTCTAAACACACTGCATCCACTACATGTGGCATGTATATTTTGTGCATTTACCTTTAGAAATAGTTTATTTTTTTTCAAAATGGTAAATGTACAGAATATCGGTAAGTTATCAGCTATCGGCCTGAAAGTTCAGAGTATCGGTATCGGCTGTGTGTAAAAAAGATTTTAAAAAAATTCAATATCGGTCGATCCCTACTTGTGAATAGCTGTCCATAGCAGTGCCAGCAGGAGTGGTGCCTGGAATGACAGTCCCTCTCCTGCCTGTAATAAAGTAAAATTATATATAGATCTAAGTGTGTGTGTGTGTATATTTTTTTTTTTTTACTTTACACATACATACACTGTCGAAATGTATTTTTATATATATAAAAATCAAAATACACGTAGAATATTAATTAAATATATAATTATAATTTTTTATTGATGTATAATATAAATATATAAATACGTTAAAAATGAGAAAAATTAAATGTGTTCTTTCGTTCAAACTGTATTTATATATGTATGTATTTATGTGTGTGTGTGTATATATGTGTGTGTGTATATATGTGTGTGTGTATATATATATATATATATATATATATATATATATATATATATAGTTACATAGCTGAAAAGAGACTTGCGTCCATCAAGTTCAGCCTTCCTCACATTTGTTGTTTGCTGTTGCTCCAAAAGAAGGCAAAAAAAAAACCGTCTGAAGCACAATTTTGCAACAAGCTAGGAAAAAAATTCCTTCTTGACCCCAGAATGGCAATCAGATTTATCCTTGGATCAAGCAGTTATTACCCTACATTGAAAGATTATTTCCTTGAATATTCTGTTTTTGCAAGTATGCATCTAGTAGCTGTTTAAACATCTGTATGGACTCTGATAAAACCACTTCTTCAGGCAGAGAATTCCACATCCGGATTGTTCTTACAGTAAAAAAACCTTTCCTTTGCCATAGACGAAATCTTCTTTCTTCCAGTCTAAACGCATGGCCTCGTGTCCTATGTAAAGTCCGGTTTGTAAATAGATTTCCACACAATGGTTTGTATTGGCCCCGAATAGATTTGTATAATGTTATCCTATCTCCTCTCAGGCAACGTTTTTCTAAACTAAATAGGTTTAAATGTTAGCCTTTCTTCATAGCTATGTTCCATTCCTTTTATTAATTTTGTAGCCCACATCTGCACTTTTTCTAGTGCCATAATATCCTTCTTTAGAACAGGTGCCCAAAATTGCACAGCATATTCAATATGGGGTCTTACCAATGATTTATAAAGAGGCAAAATGATATTCTCGTCCCAAGAATGAATGCCCTTTTTCATGCATGACAATACCTTACTGGCCTTGGCCACTGCTGATTGACATTACACATTGTTGCATAGTTTGTTGTCTATAGCCATTCCCAAGTCATTTTCGTGTGTTGTTATCCCTAATTCACTTCCATTAAGGGCATATGTTGCTTGTGTATTCTTCCGAAGTGCATAACTTTGCATTTTTCAACATTAAATTTCATCTGCCATTTGAGTGCCCAGTCCCTCAGTCTATCTAAATCCCTCTGCAGCAAAGTAATATCTTGCTCACATTGTATTATTTTACAAAGTTTTGTGTCCTCTGCAAACACTGAAACATGACTTTCAATGCTGTCTTCAAGATCATTTATAAAAATGTTAAATAGAATGGGTCCCAGAACAGACCCCTGAGGGACACCACTTGCCACCTCTGTCCAGCTTGAAAATTTACCATTAATGACAACTCTTTGTACTCTGTTTTTAAGCCAGTGCTCTACCCAAGAACAAGCATTTTCATCTAGACAGATTTCCTTGAGTTTGAACACTAATCTATTGTGTGGAACTGTATCAAATGCCTTGGCAAAATCCAAATAGATCACATCCACGGCAACACCCTGATCTATACTTCTACTTACTTCTTCGTAGAACGCAATCAGGTTAGTTTCACCTGACCTGTGCTTCATAAAACCGTGCTGATTTTTGCCGATAGCCATGTTCTTCTCAAGGAATTCTTGAATATTACCCCTTAATAACCTTTCAAATATTTTACCAGCCACAGAAGTTAAGCTCACAGGTCTATAATTTCCAGACAAGGATTTTTAATCCTTTTTGAATATAGGAACCACATCTGCCTTCCTCCAATCCTCTGGAACACTTCCTGAAAGAAAATAATCTTGAAAGATTAAAAACAGAGATTCACTTATTTCTACACTTAGTTCCTTAAGTACACGTGAATGGATACCATCAGGCCCTGGAGCTTTGTTTATATTAACTTTCTTTAGCTGCTGCAGCACCTTGTCTTGAGTTAACCAATTACAATTATTCTGCCAGTTTTTAGTAGCAATCATTTGCACATCTATTGCCATGGGTTCTTCCTTAATATATACGCAGGAGAAATAGTTTATTTAAAATTCCTGCCTTTTCCTGGTTTTCATTAACTAACACCCCCGTTTCAGTTTTTAGTGTACCTACACTTTCATTTTTGGGTTTTTTAGAATTTATGTACTTAAAAAATGCTTTGGGGTTGGTTTTGCTCTCTTTAGCTATCATTTTTTCATTTTGAAGTTTAGCAAGTCTAATTGCCTTTTTACACAAGTATTAAACTATTATCTGGTACGTTAAGTCCAGCAACTCTAAGGCCTGGTAAGATGTTACCTTTAGTCCTAGGTATTACATAATTCTACATGCTGGATCAACTAGACACACACACGTCAGGATTACTAGTTGATCCAGCACGTAGCATTATGTCATACCTAGGACTAAAGGGAACGTCTTAACAGGCCTTAGAGTTCCTGGACTTAACGTACCAGAGAATAGTCAGAATACTTGCCAAGGTAAGAGACACAACGAAGAGGGAAAGCCAAGTCAGGGATACCAGAATACAAGGAAGTCAAATGAAGCCAAAGTCAATAACCAGAAATAAACGCTCAGGAACACACTCTCGGACAACCACGACAGGAGAATGAGAAAAAAGGCAAGAGGAGTTTAACCCCTTAAGGACCAAACTTCTGGATTAAAAGAGAATCCTGACATGTCACACATGTCATGTGTCCTTAAGGGGTTAATTAACCCTCCCTCAGATCCGATTGGCCGTACCCGGCCTTTAACCCCAGAACGTGCATGTGCATCATTTACGTGACGTCATACGTACGCCAACGTCAATACCGCGGGCGGACGGGGGGTTACAAATTGGTGTTGATCCGCCGTGGCCGCCGTCCACCAACATGGTGCAGGAGTTAGATACATTGACGCATGGCCACTGAACAGCACTTCCGCATTTGTTAGTAAGGCAATTACTGCAGATACCACAAGATGAGGATGAATATGATGCAATATATACCTATTTATAAATTAAAATAATTTAAAAAAATTATATATATATGTATATATTTATTTATTTTAATTCTACGTGTTAAGTCATTTTATTAATTATAATTTGCGGGACCTGCCTGATAACCCAGACAGAAAGTCCAGAGAATTTAATTTGCTAGCACTATATTTAACCCTGTAACTTTTCCAAAACCCCATAAAACGAGTACATGGTGGGGGGGAGGGGTACTGTTTTACTCGGGAGACTTTGCTGAACACAAATATTAGTGTTTCCAAACAGTAAAATGTATTACAACGATGATATCAGAATTTTTTTTTTCTTCCATTTTTCACATAGAAACTGCACTTACACTCACGATATATTTGATACGTTTTACGTTTAATTTTTTTTTTTTTTGCATGCAATAAACCTGTAGTTACAGATACATTTGCATTGCCCCAACGGCATATACTCATTGTTTGACAAAAATCGTTAAGTTGGAAGGCGTAGCATGAGGAAACTGTGCACATTTTTTTTTTTTTTTTATAATTACATGAAGGTTAGTCGAGTAGGTGTCGCTTGCATGAACATGGTGCTGTCAGGTATAGTAAGTCAGCGCTTTAAGTCAGTCACCCCCAGCCATCAAAAACAGGACCCCTGCGTGTGCATAGCATTAGATGATCGAGTAATGTGCTGTGTTGTGTGCCTGTGCAGGGCCTCGTGTAAGTAAAGTGTGGTTAGCATCTCTGAGTGTCTCTGAACCGGCCCAAGACATTTGGTATGTCGGTGCATACGGCTTCGCGGCCTTGGCTGGGCATGGGGGAGTCCTAATAAGTGGGCCGATGTGCTGCTCCAACATATGTATGTTCCGTGAGGTTGGTACGCAGGTAGTGTGTAGTCCTCGCTTGTTCAGTTTTGCGGTGGTATTGGCATATGTAGGTAAGGTTTGTCTGCTCATTGTCCCCTTGAGCTGCGTCTGTGGGGGTTTTCCTTGTCTTGCTGCATATCTGCGAACGTGGCGTGTCGCTTTACGCGCTGTTGCTGGGCAGGAGGTGCTGTTTGTTAAGTTGGAGGGGAAGCAGCGTTATGACTTGGGCTTCGGCTCTGTCAGAAGGTAGGTGGTTCGGTGCATGGCGCCGGTAGCGGTATCTGTGGTGCAACCTTTTGCTTTGCGTCTTCCCCGCCCCCTTCTGCCTTTGAGGATAAGTGTCTCTTAGGGGCCCCACAATGCTTACTTGCTGCTGGGTTCCTGGCATGTCTGTCCGGCGGGTATCAGCGGTCTGTTCCGGGCTCTGTAAGTGGGCCATCTTAGCTTTAGGCTTTGGGCCTTCGCTGCGGCCTGGTGTGTCATGGCCTCCGGGTGCGGCCGTGGGGTGAGGACCGGGATGACCCCCACCCCCTCCCCAGCTCAGAGGGCGGGGGCACCGGGGCCGCAAAGCTGTAGTTTGTCTGTCGGGCTCCGTTAATTACAGTCAAATATAAGGCTTGTGTTTCAGTTTTTCCACATTGAAATTCACCAGATGTAAAACTAGATAATGAGTTTTATTTAAATTTTATTTTTTTAAATTGTGCCTTACATGCACATAAGGGCTGCTGCCTTCTCTTGCATTATAGTGTGAATACTTGTCTTTTGCTGTTACTGAATATTTTTGTCAGTATTCCTGTATTTGGATGAGTGATTCAAGGTTTTTCTGTTTGGTGATGTTGCTTATTATAATCGCTGATCACTGGCAATGTAATGCTTTCAAAAGCAAAACGGCAAACCAGCAGCATTATTTATGACGTAAGTTCAACTTTCCCATTTAATTCCCTGTATTGTTATCACTCGCTTTAATTTTTTATTAAAGGGACACCATAGTCACCGAAACAACTACAGCTTAATGTAGATGTTCTGGTGAGTATAATAGCTCCATTCAGGCATTTTCATGTAAACACTGCCTTTTCAGAGAAAGTGTTTATATTGCCCCTAGGGACACCCCCAAGTGGCTATTACTTAGATGGCCACTGGAGGGGTTTCCTAGCTCAGGCTGCACAGTAAGCAGCCCTGCCGTTCAGCGTCTACACGCTCTGCATGGAGACGCTGAATTTTCCTCATAGAGATGCATTGATTCAGTGCATCTCTATGAGGAGGTCCTGATTGGCCAAAACGGCATTTGGCACAAAGGGGGCGAAGCCAACACCAGCGGACCCCCGCGGCGCTGGAAATAAGGTGAGTTTTAAACTTTTATAGGGGGACCAATGGGGTGCAAGCCACCTAAATGGTGGGTTAAACACTATAGGGTCAGGAATACATGTTTGTGTTCCTTACCCTATAGTGATCCTTTAATTCTTTATGAATTGGTATTCCAGAAGGCACATGTTCATAGCATTTGGTACAACGTGATTTATCACACAGTCCTCAGTTTGGTACATGTTAGGACACCATAACATACCGTCATTTCATTCCATAGAGTAGTACATCTTAGAAACGGTATAGTACATAAAGAACATTGCATATAATCATTACATTAGTGTTGTAGAGGGTGACCTAGTATACTCTTGTTTGAGCAGAGTAACATATAGCGTATGGAACTATGTCGAGGCGCCCCAACACCACACTCTGTCTTCCGCCAATTTTATTTTTATATGTTGGTGTAAAATAAAGAAATTTTAAACAGAGTGATAAAATGTAGAAAAAATAAGTATCTCACAGTGAGAATTGTTCTGATCTCTGAGTCTGTGTCCCCTGTTTGATCCAATTCCCCTCTGGTAGGGTGCCGCTACCCCACACTGAAGATTTGGGTTTGCTATGGCTGTGAATTATGTTCCCAGGACTGAGTAGTTAGAGTATTGTGTATTTTCTACTGTGCTCTGTCAGTGTGGCCCCTGCTCCCCCCCCCCCCTGCTAAACAGGGTAGCATTTTATGTGTCATACTGCCCCCAGAGATCCCATACCTTGTTGTACGTATTTAAGGAGTTCCTAAACTGTGCTGTCAGCTTATCCACAAAGTAGTTGTCTCTGAGTTTGTATAATACTAAGGCGATTTGTGGCACCTCAGGGCACACCCATTTTTGTGCCAATGCCCTGCAGGCCTGCTCAGGTTTGATCAGGCCTTCTATGGGTCTAGATAGCAGGCATGCCCATGGGCCTTGTTTTATTCTCCTCTGTAGGATCTGGGAACTCAGATCTGCCACTTTATGCCAGTATTCTGCTTTTATCCCCACATAGATGCCAGCATGCGCCTGAGGGATTTATTTTCATCTGATCTTGTTTTACTGGGGTCGTATACCATCTAAATAGTGTTTTGTGTGACTGCTCTTGGAGTGTTACACATATAGTAGTTTTTATACATGTCTCCCATATGTCCTGCCAATCCGTTCCTCCAGCTCCTCTCCCAGGTCGGCTTCCCATTGGTCTGTATAGCGCATTGTGCCTTTTGTCCTCTACTTCTGAGCTGAGGTGGTTATATAGTAACAGGATTAGTTTGGTTTGCGTGGTTTCGGTAAAGCACATTCGAAGAAAGTCATTTGGGATGCTACTGCCGTGTTTTTAGGTGTTTGTATGTGACTATTTCTTTAACGTAGGGGTGGGCATATCATTGGAGCCCTGTGTTCTCTATTCTCTTGTAGACTCTGGCCCTCATGCTTGGTGGGAAGGCCCTGTTTCTGAACACTGGTGTATCAGTGGTTTTTATTTCAATTTTTTTTTGGTCTAAAAAAAACATGCATTCATTTCTCACCTTTGCTGCTTGGTATATACTAATGCAGCGGTGGGCAACCTTCAGGACTGTGTCAATTCCTCAGGAAAGGTTAACTCTGACACACTTTGAGCCCCCAGTATGCTCTGATGTTGTCCAAATACTTGGATAATGAGGAAGTGAACTTCATCATTATGTCTGCAGTACATGGATAGCAAATCTGTTTTTATCAAGCTAATTGAAAATATTTGACTAGAACTATAGTGTAAGGAATACAATTTAGTATTCCTTACACTATAGAATCCCTTTCATTATTTAATTATGAAAAAAAAACAGTAATTTTTTACAATCGCAGACAGATGACAGCGAAAGATTTGTTATGCAATGATTATCTTGAACAAAAAAAATCACTTAAATATCAAATCTGCACAAATTTGTAGTCATTACCTCGCTTCTCTCTACCTCTAATATTTTTGTGTAAGGAAGAGAACAGAGAGGATAAAAGGGAGTACAGAGAGGGGAAGGGAAAACCATGTGCTGTTGCGCGTGACCCCCAGTTCACAACCCAAGTAACTTCCTACATCCTATTAGACATATAATCTCTCCACAGGTCCCAAACCTTGAAGGAAGATAACATACTTATTACTTCGTAGGTCAGCTCATACATATTGCAGCCTCACAGATTTCCTCACTCTGCTCCCTCTAGGGCAGGGGTACACAACCTGTGGCACTCAAGGTGTCTTTGCTCGGCACTCAAGGCTGGCCTATCAGGAGTCCCAGTGAAACTTCAGATATCTGCTAATACGAAAAGATGGTGAGAGACAATCCTCAATTTATGCATTGCAGCGCGTAGAGGAAGTGATTTTAGATCACATTCTCCCAGAACTTGTGAATGGGAATCCACCCTGTAGTAGAGCAGCCCACAGCTGCTGTTGCAGCTCCTGTCCTTGACCTGTACCTGGCCAGCCTGGTCCCCACTGGACCCCAGGGAAGCCACCCACACTGCAAGATATACACAGAAATGAATAAGCCCCCACCTCATACAAATATTAAATAGGACCGTCACGCTATGGGACATCACAATTTTATTTCGGCACAGTGCTTCTAAAAGGATGCCTTCCCCTTCTCTAGGGTCTTGCCAAGATCCGCCTTCCAATGCTCTGTATATCTCATTGGTTCCAAAACCTAGGGCTCTGCCCACACCTGTGTACATATGAGCAATATAACCTTTATTATAGATATTCTTCAACATTGCATAAATGCTGGAATGTTGTAGGAGGGCACATTGCTGCCTCCTTAATGCATGTAAAAAACAAATCTGTAGTATTTGATTGAATCTCTTGTAGGGATCGACCGATATTGATTTTTTTTAGAGCCGATACCGATATTCTGTGAACTTTCAGGCCGATTTAATTTGCCGATATTCTGTTCATTTACCATTTTGGAAAATAAAAACTATTTCTAAAGGTAAATGCACAAAATATACATGCCACATGTAGTGGATGCAGTGTGTTTAGACAGGGGAGCTGTGTGTGTTTGTGTAGTGGATGCAGTTTGTGTAGTGTGTGTGTGTAGTGGATGCAATGTGTGTTTGTATAGTGTGTGTGTGTTGTGGATTAGTGTAGTGTGTATATAATGAAAGCAAAGTGTTTGTGTAGTGTGTGTAAAGTGAATGCTGTATATACTAAATGCAAAGTGTGTGTGTTTGTGTAGTGTGTGAATGTAGTGTGTTTATATAATGCAGAGTGTGTTTTTATAGTGTGTATATAATGCAGTGTGTTTGTGTAGTGTGCATTATATAAACACACTATACAAACACACTGCATTATATAAACACACTATATAAACACACTATACAAACACACTGCATTATATAAACACATTACACAAACATACTGCATTATATACACAGTGTGTTTGTGTAGTATGTGTATATAATGGAGTGTGTGTGTGAGGGGGCATTTTTTAAATTAAATTATTTATTTTTTATATTTATTATTTATTTTTGTTGTCCCCCCTCCCTGCTTGTTGCCTGGTCAGGGAAAAATCAGTCGATCCCTAATCTCTTGTTGAAGTTACTCAAAACTTATAACTAATCCCCAACCCCCACGCTGATGTTGATATTGTTGAATCCTAGCCACTTCCAAATTCATAGTCATGTAGTGTCTTGCCTGGAGCAAACTGTCTATTGCGCAGTACTGGGGCGCAAGCGAATTCATATTTGACTTTAACACTATCCCAAATGTCCAGGGAATTTAAAATTGACAGGCACGTGGTGCGTAGTAGTGCTCGCAAGGGCTTGTCCAGCCACATATAAAATGATGGTAGTTCTGAGCTCATTAAGCCTGTTCTAGATCCACCCATCTCCGTTCCCCAGAAGGAGCATACCACATCACCAACTGAGAGTGTTGGGAAATTTAATTTATATAGAATTGGGTTTGACTAACCCAATCATCCTGTTCTTAGGTCAATATAGTACATTTCTGGCCAGTCTATGGTGGGTTGTTCTTTGCAATTCTCCTCTCGTTACCCGGATAGGCAAAACCTGAAATAAAATTAAAATGGTCACATATCCATCCGCACATGAAAATGTGGTTAATGGCATATACTGTCCTGACAGGAAAAGCTGTGCCGAGCAGCAATCATGCAAACCTGGTAATTGCCTTTGGGGTCAAAGGCCAGTTACAGCCAATCAGATCCCGAGGAGTGGTACTTAAACAGAATTCTCCTCTTGCTCATCGTGGTTTCATGTATATGGTTATGCGAAAGTGCGTTCCTGATCTTGATTTTCTGGTATTTGACTTTGGCTTTGTTTTGACTTCCCTGATATCTGGTATCCTTGTCTTTTGGCTTTCCCTCATCTTTGTGTCCGATTCTGTGTCCCAGACCTCGGCTAGTATTTTGACTATTCCTGGAGACGTTTAGTCCGGCCATTCTAAAGTCTGGTTATATGTTATCCTTAGTCTTCGGTGTGACACAGTACTGCGTGCTAGAATAATTTGTAATCCTGACAAAAAGTCTAGGCAAGGTATTCATTTTAATGCAATAGATCCTCCCACTCCAAAATATGGACCGCTCAAGGGATGCATAGCTAGCACATAAACATATAATAAAACAGCAATTTTGTGTACACTTATTCTTTTACAGACAAACTTAAAAATAAAAATTACGTCAATGCATGCAATTTTGTATTTTTCACCTATTCGTTCAGCTTTCATAAAATTTTTGTTATTCCCTCCTCAAGAGTCTAAAGCAAAGGTAAATAGTGGTCAGAATACAATTGAGACCTAGGCAATGAAAGGATGGTTTTGTTTAATTTTAATCCACATATATTGCACCTTATAATGTTTTTAATCATTGTTCTTTATGGATTCAGCAACTTTTTAAATGCATTCATCTTTGTTTGAGATAAAGAACCATGACTCTGTTTTTAATCATATTACTTTTTCTATTTACAGGGAACTTATTTGTAATTAGTTCCAGAACTCAGGGGATGCAACATGACCTCTGCTGCAGTGGATGGTGGTGGGTCGGTAGGGGAACTTGCCAGTAACGGGGTAGAAACTACAGAGCAGGTGAGTTGGAATTTGTAAGTTAAAAATAAATAAATATGTAAAACTGAGTACTGGGATAAAACTCTTTATCCCCTAAATAACACATTTTTTTAATTGAAAATACATTAGCATAACCCTTTGGTTTGAAATAAGGGATGCATATAGCTAGCACATAAACATATAATAAAACAGCAATTTTGTGTACACTTATTCTTTTACAGACAAACTTAAAAATAAAATACGTCAATGCATGCAGTTTTGTATTTTTCACCTATTCGTTTAGCTTTCATAACATTTTTGTGGGAACAAAAAAAGTACACTCTATAAAGTGTTCATGATCTTGCAGTATATCACACGGGGTCTAAAATCTGAGTATAAAAGCAATTTGTTTTTCTCTCGGTAGATGTGACAATTGATCAATAAAATTCATGAAAAACCTTTGTAAGGATCCTGAAGACATTGCAAGCAGTATTGATTACTAAAAATGTCAACAAAATGTAAAGATGTCTGCATTGGAGTATAATGTTAACTTACAATAACTAGTTAAACCATATTTTCCTAAAATAAAGGTTTTTAAAACTGCCTTTGCAATCTTTATCGATCTCTGAATTGGTAATTTATAGCCGACAGTAAACAAAAATTGGGATTGCACCTCTAAACCAGGGGACAGTTGATAATCATTCCTGCAGTGTGAGTGAGGACGAGTGAGATTTTATAGCGTGAATTTCATTCTGCAAAATACATGAACGTAGAAACTTGCATAGTCTTCTGGGAGTGAAGTGGTTAATCAGTTTTTCAAATGTATTACCTCATGACACACTGAGGGAGCCACTTGAAACAATTACTTTTTAATGAAATTGTATCTTTGTTAAAGGGAAAATCATTGCTTTATGTCTGTATAATGAAGTAAGTGGCAGCAATGTGTCAACTATCTACTAAACTCTGCCCTAATTTGGTATTTTAAATTGTGCAATCCCTGCAATAACAAGTTGGGGAGCTGTTGTCTTTAATAGATTGCTACCTCATTTGATTGTGTTACAATGGCAATCCCACATAAGTGTTCCAAATGATGGATAGCTATCTACTAAATATGGAATAATGGACTTTGTATGTTTCCAAAATTTTGGGATGAATTTAATTTATTTCCGAATTGATCATTTCTGAATATTGGCCAAATCTGTCATTGGAATTTCCGAATTAAAACAAAAATAACTTTTTATCCAAAGCACATGTCTAATTAAAATAAGTAAAAACAAACACTTTCCATTGAGTGCCCCAATAAAGTGCTAGAAGTAAATATATTTGGTCATAGGTCTATAACCTGTCCCTGCAGTGTAAACACTGCCTTTTCTGTGTAAGAGTTTATTTTTCTGCTTGGTAACACCTCTAGTGACAGTCACTCAGATGGCCACTAGGTAGATGCAGCTAGGTACCCTAATATTTGGTTAATGAAACAAAGTAATTTACATATGTAGATCTATAATTGATGTATAGAATTAGTAGAGGAGAAAGTTACAAAAATAAATAAAAAATTAGCAGCACAGATATGTGCTTGTTGTGTAGGTAATAAGAGTGAAGGAAACTAAATAAATAGGGGCTGATCCAGGAGCCCCGATGTGTACGGATTAGCTCCAGAAATGCCCAATGTCACTCTCCCTGTAGTAGGGAAATGACCATGAAAAATCTATATAAAATGTGGAGGACTAAAAGTCCTAAATGGGAGAGTAACAAAAAATAGGAAAGGGAGCCCTACCTTTTAATTCTAAGGATAAGCAGGTAACGTAAAAACTAAGGCAGAGACAAAAAAAAATATTTATGGGGTGGGCTCAGTATAGCTAGATCCCAGTATAGCTAGGTTGCTAGAAGCAAAGCCACTCAATAGATGGTAAATACAATCCAAACCTAAACTGAGAACTATCCCAGTAAATATACATAAAGCATATCCAGAGGTCAAGGATACATGAGTAAAGTGGAGGGGCCAAGCCCCAAAAATAACAACTCAGAGGAGTATAACCCTATATTACCTTGGCACCGTGGACTAGCCACTAATGCTTACATGAACCACTCTACCTTCCTAGTACAGAAAGAAAAAATAAACTTAAACTAAGCTAGTGCATATTACTGCTACCAAGGGAAGTGAGTGAAAACAACAAGTAGCTTGATGCGCATTTCCGCGTGTCAGCACGCCGTCCTCAGGAGCAATGTCTGTAAGCCGGCCAGCCTGTTCGATTATATATCCCTTAATTAACATTCAAACGTTAGCTGCTGTGTAAAAGGGGGTGTGTACATTGGGTGTGTTGATTCTAGCCACGTTCTGGTCAGGGGGGCATGTGAGGTGTACACCCTCTCCTGTTCCCATTGGGTTTTGCCTAGTCCCTGCTGGTCAATCAAGTGTGTGAGATGTTCATCCCCTTTGTCCTCATTGGATGTTACCCATGTGGGGCGGGAAGCATCTCCGAAACTATCGCATCGTAAGTCTGCCTGCGTCAGGTGGGTGGTGTCTATATTAAAACTCCTCCTCCAATGCTGGAAGACGTGCTTGATTCGTTACATTACTGCGGTATCCAGACGGGAACACAATCACGAAGGAATCATTCATATCATGTGTGTGTATAAGACAATCAGCACTCCCCCAATAGCCGTAGATTGGTCGATATTCACAGAGTAGGTTCGTATCTCCTCCCACTCTATGTAAACAATACATGTATAGAGATTACGGAGGGCTAATGCTTCTTAGATACTTTAGACTTTAAAAAGTCTAAAAATATATCCTAAGTGTATGGAGTTCTACCTTGGGTATGTAACTATCATGCCTCTCTTCTCAATATTTGTGAATCCCTTAATTCTCCCGTTAACCCCATAATTATAGGGACAGTTTGTTATTAAGATGTGCCGTAAGACCACAGTGCTGTCTATTTAAATAGTATCTGTGTCCCCTATGTCTCCTTGAATGAAATCAATATTCACAGATATAATCTGTGGATTTGGGGGTATGTATGCAGTAATAAAAAACTGCTGTTTACATATCTAATTGCAGCAGTGAATTAATGGCAACTAACTCTCTGAGATAAAAAAGTCTGTAGTTAACAGGCAAATACATATGATAAATGTAAAGGCTTGCATTAGTTCACTTCCCAGATATTTAGTATTCTGGCTGTTTAGATATATACGGTACCTCTGATTCTAACTTTATAATTATAAGCAGCTTAGGTCCAAAATAAATAAGATAAGGTAAGTAAACGTATAGCAGGCTAAAACTGCCAGTACTTAAGAGACAAATCGTGTAAGTGAAAAAAGTAAATATATACATCAATTAAAAATTACCACAGTCTTAAAAAGAAATAAGATTAGCGTAGGGGATATTCTTTCCAAGAACCTTATATCAGCAGCTATAGGAAGGCTAAGAAGGAGAATCTCTCATTCAATCCCTGTGGGGAAAGGGTTTTCAATTTGTTAATCCAATAGGATTTCCGCTGTATCAGCCTTCGATCCCAACCGCCTTTGCGTTGGGTTTGTGGAATATATTCTATTACCATAAACCATAGTTTGTTAGAGGAATTGGCATGGTGTATCTTTAGTTGGCATGAGACTAGTGTCTCTAGAGGTCTTCTCACGGAATAGACGTGCTCCCTAATCCTGAATTCAAAGGGGCGGAAGGTTTTCCCGTGTATTTAATTCCGCAAGCACAAGTTAGTAGATATATTACTCCTTCTGTGCGACAGTTGAAGGAACGAACCAGGAAAATTTCCTCCCCATTACTGTCTGTAAACTGTTTGGAGTCTTAAGATATGTGTGGATGTGTAGAGTACCTTTGGCTAGGTAGTGCTTGGAGGTTTTTTTTTCAGCGGTGCAAGATGACTTTGTACTAAAGTATCTCTTAGGTTTCTGCCTCTACGTGCAGTCACAAAGGGAAATGGCGTGATTACTTGTTTAATATGTGGGTCTGACATTAGAATTGGCCAATAGCGTCTAAGGGTACCCATCATATATGTCCAGCCTGCATCATAAGTGACTATGCAACAGATCGAATAGGCGTCCGATGTTTGTTGGTTCCGATCAGTAAGAAGTGTGTCTCTATCTAAACTGATTGCTCTAGAGTAGGCTCTCCTTAGAACCCTATTCGGATAGCCCTTCTCTTTGAAGGCTCTCTGAAGTTCCCATACCTTAGTTTTAAGGTTCTCTATGGTGGAACGATTCTGCCGTAGCCTTAGGTATTGCCCTATAGGTATACCCGCTTTTAATGGTTGAGGATGGTGGCTAGTCCAATTCAACAAACCATTGGTGGCAGTCTTTTTCCGATACAATGTGGCTGCCATTTTACCTCCAGGTTGTATCGCGATCGTTAGATCCAAGAAATTAAGCTGTTTGTTGCCCATTTCAAGAAGTTTAAAGGACCACTATAGTGCCAGGAAAACATACTCTTTTTCCTGGCACTATAGTGCCCTGAGGGTGCCCCCACCCTCAGGGACCCCCTCCGGCTCTGGAAGGGGGGAAAAGGGTTAAAACTTACCTTTTTCCAGCGCTGGGTGGGGAGCTCTCCTCCTCCGTTCCTCCCCGTCGGCTGAATTCCCCGTCGGCTGCGCGCGCATTCAGCCGGTCGCATAGGAAAGCATTATCAATGCTTTCCTATGGACGCTTGCATGCTCTCACTGTGAGTTTCACAGTGAGAATCACGCAAGCGTCTCTAGCGGCTGTCAGTGAGACAGCCACTAGAGGATTTGGGGTAGGCTTAACCCATTCATAAACATAGCAGTTTCTCTGAAACTATGTTTATAAAAGAATGGGTTAACCTAGAAGGACCTGGCACCCAGACCACTTCATTAAGCTGAAGTGGTCTGGGTGCCTAGAGTGGTCCTTTAACAAAATCCTCAAAGTCTGTTAGATCCTAACCAGATGACAAACACGTCATCTATATACCTTTTCCAGCAGTATATCAATCCTAAATCGGTTTGTAAGGTGGTATCTGCCATGATGTGCTTCTCCCATGCACCTTAATAAAGGTTTGCGTAGGAGGGCGCACAAGATGTTCTCATGGCAATCCCCCTTATTTGCTGTTATATGGCGCCGTTGAAAAATTTTTTTTTTTGTGAGAACAAGTCTGAGAAGTTCCGAGATAAAATCTATGTAAGAGGTTGGAGGCGTTAGTTCATGTTCTAAGGTAGTTCTAATATTAAATATCCCTAGCATGTGTGGTATGGAACTATATAATGACTCCACGTTTAGATTGCATGGTGAGGCTTGCTCGGGGACATGGATATCTCTCAGGAAGTTCAGCATTTATTTTGTATCCCTGATGTACGAGGGTAATTTGGAAACGATAGGGGACTAGACTTTATCGAGGAAAACACTCAGATTTTGTGTTGGTTTGCCACACCCAGACACTATGGGCCTCATTGATGGATTGTCTAAAGATTTATGTACCTTTTGGGAGTCTATAGAATGTGGATAATATAGGCTGTTTGATTAGCACAAAATCAAGTTCGTTTTTAGTAATTGGCTCGTCTGCAAGTGCTTGAGTAAGTTTTGATTTAATATTGGTAAAATACTGAGTCAGGATTTGATATGTATCCCTGTCATTCAGTAGCCGATATACCATCTTTATATATTTAGAATGGTCCACGAGTGCTATATTGCTGCCCTTATCAGACGGTTTTATTACTAACTCGTTATTAGCCTTTGGTTTAATGCCATTCTCTCAGCATTAAAGAGGTTACCACTAGGTTCAAAATCCAGAGTTTTTAAATCAGCCTTTTCAATATCCCTACACACCATGTCTAGATAAACCTCAATATTTTTATAGTCTTTTAGGGAAGGTGTGAATTTACTCTTTGTGCTGAGGTTAGTAATGGGAATAGTTTTTGATCTGGTGTCATCGCAAAAGTCGAGAAGTTCGACCAAAGAGTCGAGACAGTGTATATCTTTAATTGTGAGCCCCATACTTAATGCTTTCTGTTCCTTCTTGTGAGTATGGCATTTATGAAGAGCTAACTTACGGGTGAACAGATGTAAGTCTTTAGTCCAAATGTAATTTGTTGAACGGGGGAGTAGGTACAAAGGAAAGAACTTTTGATAAGGGTCTTAATTTGCATGTTCGAGAATTTAGTTGAGGACAGGTTAATGAGCTTTGGGTCATTGCTTTTTAGTGACGGTATTTCCGTTGGCCTCTGCCTCTCTGCGACTGTCTTGTCCTGGGGCCTTGGAGTTCGTCTGCCTGTCTCAATCCTAAAAAATCTACTCCATTATGCAAGATACTCTTAGGGGCTGTCTGAGTTGAGTTTATACTTGTATTAGGGGGTTCTCCTTCATTGACAGTAGATTTATATTCTGAAGTACTGAAATGATCAGAGTATATTATAACTTTTCTTTTTGTCTGACGATAAATCCTGCTGGTTTCAAAATCAGCTGTGTCCCTTATGAATGTATTATGATTTTTGATTTTTTTTTTGGTGCGAAAACCTGTCCAAATTAGTCATTAGTTTACCTTCAAGACTCTGGAATTGTGGGTCATCTTTAAATCTTTGTATATTCTCAATTTTAAGTGTCTAGTGTTCTTTGGATATTGGACAGGTGCTGGGTTTGATATTTACAAATAATTGACATTAAAGTTGAGTAACATTTAGCTGCTTCTTCCTCCCATTTTTGTCTAAATCCCTCAATCTCTATATTTCTAGATGGAGGGACTAGAACCCTCAGACCCCTTGGGATAATTTTCTTTGTATCCAAAGTTGTGATTTCCCAGCTGGTTTTGTTTTGTTTAAATGTTTTGGTTAATTTGTTAAAGCCAGTTTGTATATCTGGGGATGAGAGAGTTAGAATGGAGGAATTATTGGAGAATATGGTGTCAGAGTTTAGAGTCTATCTTATTTGATAGAAAACCAGGATTGTATTTACCATCTATTGAGTGGCAGTGGTTTTGGCTTTGCTTCTGGGCACTAGCTATACTGAGCCCTCATAAATATTTTTTTTTTTTTTTTTGTCTCTCCCTTAGTTTTTACGTTATCCGCTCATCCTTAGAATTATTAAAGGTAGGGCTCCCTTTCCTATTTTTTGTTACTCTACCATTTAGAACTTTGTCCTCTACATTTTATATTGCTGTGTAGGTATACTTTTGGTTTATGAAGTATGCATCTTGATGGAAGAGGATTCTTTCCTGCTTTGGAAATAAGACATTTCAATTTTGTTTTGTCTTGATGCAGAGCATGTAGATAAAAAGGAGCACTTGTCTGGTGAACTAGGCGATGAGCCAGTACATAACTTTAATGTTTGTGGATTCTGGTGTATGCTACTCTGCTTATAGCCATAATCTATTTAGAGTTGGAGGCTGTGCAGATTCCAGTTTTGTATTCGTCATCCTTTTGTACTGTGAAGCTATCACAACAGGTCTTATCATTTGGGAAGTTTGCACATTCTTACTTTTTTTTTAACCAGGAATTTGGATGTGTATCTTTTTTTTTTTTTTAATCCCTTTGAAAATACAAATGACTTGGGGAATGTACATGTGTCAACAGCAGGATGTATTTCTGCCAGAGAAGGTCTGTATCTTCTGGGATAGACATGTAGCAGTCCTAAACAAGAAATATAATAAATAGAAAATTAAAGTCTAGTCTGCTCTTTGCAGCTAAATTTGAACGTCAGATGGGCCTATTGATATCTATAAACTCTGTTTTATAAATTTATTTTTTTATATGTGTGTTTGTTTTGTTTTTTAAAGCTATTTTAAACATGTTTGTGATTTTTAAACTTTTTTTGCTTGTAGGAGGATGTTCAAATTGAGTACCCTGCAGTTATTGTGGAGCCAGTCCCTAGCGCCCGTGTGGAGCAAGGATATGCAGCTCAGATTCTCGTGTACGATGATGAGACCTTCATGATGCAGGACGTGGCAGAGGAACAAGAGGTGGAGACTGAAACAGTAGAAATAGGTGCGTGTTTCTTTTTCTCTTGATTTGCCCACTTATGCACACATACAAAGAACAGTCATATATGTTATGTGTTTTCCAGAAAAAATGTGGCTGACAAGGTTTGCTTTAGACACTTTAATACTAATTACTGAAGTCTAAATTGCTGACACTACTGTAGATTATATGTTTTGATAACCTAAGGTTAGCTACACTTAAAAAATGCTTGGTTCAGTCCCAGAATGTTGTTTAATGTACACTTCGTTATGATACCATGCAGATGCATGTATACCACTATAAGTACACCACTATAAACTATAATATTTTAGAAATACTGTATTACTGTAAACAAATGTGCATTCACATTACATGTATGAAATTATAACTTTTTTTTTTAAAATGGCATCATGTCGATTGTACTTAAGATACCCATATCCATATTTTTTTTTTTCTTCTAACAATGTAATGATTTAATCCCTGGAGGCTGATATTTATCCCAAGGTCATCTCAATACTGGATGTAACTATATTTACTGTATGTGAGCATTATTCTCAGATAGTCTTTTAGAAAGCTGACTTCTTGGTCCAAATTTGGATAGATAATGCTACCAACCCCGACTATATTTAAAGGAACACTATAGGGTCAAGAACACAAACGTATTCCTGACCCCATTGTTGTAAAACCACCATCTAGCCCCACCTGGCCACCTTACTCCTCTGAATATAGTAAAATCTTACTTGTATTCAAGTCTGCAGCTGCAGCCTCTGCCCCTGAACTCTCTGTGACCTGCCTGCTGTCATCATCAGAAGTGGGGGTCTGAGCCAATCACAATGCTTCCCCATAGTATTGGCTGAGACGGTCAAGGAGGCAGATCGGGGCAGAGACAGCACAAGTGAAACACAGCCCTGGCCCTATACAACCAAGCATTCTGCTAGCATTTCCTGCTGCTCTATTACATTGTCTGCCTACCTTTAAGTCATCAGAAATAATCACCCCTAAATCATTTTCCTCAGATGTTGAGGTTAGGACTCTATCAAATATTCTGTACTCTGCCCTTGGGTTTTTACGTCCAAGATGCATTATCTTGCACTTATCCACATTAAATGTCAGTTGCCACAATTCTGACCATTTTTCTAGTTTACCTAAATCATTTGCCATTTGGCTTATCCCTCCTGGAACATCAACCCTGTTACATATCTTAGTATCATCAGCAAAAAGACATACCTTACCATCAAGACCTTCTGCAATATCACTAATAAAAATATTAAAGAGAATGGGTCCAAGTACAGATCCCTGAGGTACCCCATTGGTGACAAGTCCAAGCTTCGAATATATATTCCATTAACTACAACCCTCTGTTGCCTGTCACTCAGCCACTGCCTTACCCATTCAACAATATTGGAATCCAAACTTAAAGATTGCGGTTTAGTGATAAGCCTTCTATGTGCAACAGTGTCAAAAGCCTTACTGAAATCTAGGTAAGCAATGTCTACTTTAAACTTACTTCCTCTGTACACTGCCACACTTTGTAGTTATAAGGAGCCCTTTTAGTGTATTCCTTCTTCTGAGTTCATTTCTTTGACCTAGTCATTTACCTGACCTTTCTAATTTAATATCCTGCAAGGTTATGTCTTATAGGTTATGTCCTCTCATCTAGCACTCCTTCCCTTATACTTGGGGATTTCAATATCCCAATCAATAACCCCAATTGCACTGATGCCTCTCGTCTGCTCTCTGTAACCTCCTCCTTTGGCCTTACGCAATGGTCCAATTTAGCAACCCATACAGCAGGAAACACTCTTGATCTTGCCTTCACCAACCTCTGTACTGCCTCTAATCTCTCCAATATTCCTTTTCCTCTATCTGACCACTATCTGCTGACTTTTGACATTGGCATACCTAAGACCCAATTGACACCACCGTCTGAACATCACTCTCACAGAAACCTCCAATGTCTTGACCTAGAGCATTTCTCCACTAATCTCCAAACTCTCCTTTTACCTATCTCAAACCTCACCTGTCCTAGTTCTGCAACCTCCTTCTACAATTCCACCCTCTCCTCTCAACTAGACATCATGGCACCTTGTACATTTAAATGCCTCAGGCCCCCTCCCCAACAACAACCTTGGCACACCAAGCTCACTCGATACCTCCAAAAAAGCTCCAGAACTGCTGAACGCTGTTGGAGAAAGTCTCACTGTGCATCTGACTTTTTCCACTATAAATTTATGCTGAGCTCAGACAGCTTGGCTCTTTCCTCTGCAAAAGGTAATTACTTCAATACCCTCATAACCACACTCTCCCGCGAACCCAAACGACTATTTCACACATTTAACTCTCTAATTCGCCTTACTGTTCCTCCTCCACCTACTAACTTGACCACCTCAGACTTTGCAACTCACTTCACTGACAAGATCTCTACAGTCAGAGAAGAGATCTCTCATCTTTCTTCTTCCCCTTACAATACTTCCCGTAACTTCACTCCCTCTGCTGTTCTATGTTCATTCGCACCCGCTACATTGGAAGAGGTTTCTGCTCTGCTACAGTCCTCCCGCCCCACCACCTGCTCCCTAGATCCAATTCCCTCGCATCTCATCCATACTGTCGTCTTCTTTCTCCACCTCTCACTAAAATTCTCACACTCTCTCTCCTCTGGTATATTTCCATTGCCCTTCAAGCATGCAACTGTAACCCCAATTCTAAAGAAGCCCAATCTTGACCCTAACTCCCCATCCAACTATCGTCCTATCTCGCTACTGCCTTTTGCATCCAAGATCCTTGAAAAATTGTGTATGCGAGATTGACAGACTTCCTCGAGTCCAACTCTCTGCTAGACCCGCTTCAGTCTGGTTTCCGCGCTAAGCACTCTGTGGAAACGGCACTGACCAAAGTATCCAATGATCTACTCGCTGCAAAATCTCGTGGTCACTACTCTATCCTAATTCTCCTTGACCTGTCTGCGGCTTTTGACACTGTTGATCATCAACAGCTTCTTCTCATCCTCCACAATATCGGTCTACAAGATATTGCTCTCTCCTGGTGCTCCTCCTACCTCTCCCAGCGCTCTTTCAGTGTTTCTTTCTCTGGCTCTGCTTCTTCTCCCCTACTCCTCTCTGTTGGTGTTCCCCAAGGGCACCTAAGTCTAACGAGCTAGGTGGGCGAAACGCGCGCTTCAGGGGCTTTACACATGCCGTCTTTTTATTAGATGATGACAGCAACTCTAATTGTCTTTTTTCTACACAGTTTACTTTCTAGCCGGGTTAGACTTAGATGCCCTCAAAGGCACGGGGGGTGTATCTGCAGCGATAGTGCAGCTAGCTATTTATAGCATTCTTTACATTTCAGTCTTCATTATCTTGACAGCATAGGCCAGTTACTACTTTAGTACCCTTGTAGGTACAGAGGCAAGCCTTTAGCGTGTTGCTTATTTCCACTAGCACCAGATTCTCGGTTCTAATATCCTCATATTATTGGCTACCAATCAAGTACTGTCTTATCTGTCCAACTCTTCTTTGGTGCTTTTTATTTACAGCACGCCATTAGATCATTCATTATCAGTGGTATAGATTAAGATCCGCTATTCTATCACTTCAGCGTTTTTCATAGTATTTGGCTTGGTTACAATTATACATTATTTACATGTTAATTACTATATATTGAAACTTCCAACAGTATACAGCATTCAAATGCTTACAGGCTCTATTGGTATATATGCACCTGCGATCTCCATCCCGATTAATCGCAGACAGCTCTTGAGCCAATTGCCTAGCATACTAGTCAAGTATAACCTCTATTTGTTATGCTCTTTGTCACTGCCTTTTATTAGAATTACAGCACGCCACTAGATCCTCTACTACCAGTGGCACAGATTTAGAGCCGCTACCATTATCACTGCAGCACTTTTTACAGTACCTGGCTTTACCATTATACATTACTTATATGTCAATTATCATACACGGAAACTTTTAATAGTATACAGCATCTATACACTTGCAGGCTCCATTATTTTATATGTAGAACTGTGTCTTTATCATTAGGCATTACACACATTATACCTATCTAACAGTCATATGTTAGGACCTGCGGTCTCCATCTTGACAATCGCAGACTGTTCTTTGAGCCATCTGTCCAGAATATTTTCTGCACTTAGACCACTCTTTTACATTCCATCACTCTCCCATAACTATGGCTATTATCAGCTAAACGTCTTTCCCAAGCAGCACAGACGTGTGCTGTCGCTCATTGCTCTTATACCATTCAAGACAGTGCGTCTTATGGTGTGGTGCGTCTTATGGAGCGAAAGATACGGTAGATGTAAAGATACATATGAATATCTAGATATATATCTTTCTCCTTTACTAAACACCACTTTGAAGTGCAGAGAATCTAAACACAAAATTTTTAAATAATTGAGATTGTTACAGTATATGATCATACATTGCATTAACCTGCCACAATGACATAGTACTCCATTTTTGGCAGGTCCCATTCTAAGAACATAATGTAGGGTCTTATGAGATTAACCCATTTACTCATTCTCATGGTGAAGTATCTCTAGTGGCTCTCAGGATGACTGCCACCAGAGGTGTGTTAACCTTGCCATCATAAAATTACTGAATATATTAAATGGTAATGGCAGTGTTTTAGATTGTGGAATAAAAACTGAAAGGGACATTGCACCTAGGCCACTAATTTGAGAAGAGTTAACTTTTTGTGGTTAACGTTCACTGCAGAAAGGCCCAGGGAGGTGGATTACCTAAGCACCTGGGTTAATTCCAATAATTTTTGCCTAAATCAGGTGTTTTTAAAAAAGGGGAAAACACAAAACAAGAAAACAAATACATTTAGAGACCTTAGAAGCTGTAGTTTAGTGCGTGAGCTTGATGGATTCTGTATAAGAAACAAACTAGCCGAATGAGTGGAGAAATGTTATCTCTTCTTCCAGCTTTAATAAATGTTAGTTTATCAGTCTCCTACATATGGCAGTTTACAAAGGACCAACTGGACATTTTACTACTCTAATGGTATGCTTCCCTTGTCTACCAGTTTATAACTGAATAATACTATATATAGTGAAATGGACTCTTTCTATTGCTTGAAATTACGGTAAGTGAAAAAGCTTTTGAATATTGCTTTTTGTATAATCTGTCAAATGTACAACTATTAATATTGCTCTTTTAATGGTGTTATTAATGGTCTCGTTTAAAACCAGTGGAATACGGGAGGAAACCTTTATATTATTGAAGGTTTGTAGAATTAAATCTTGTACTTTGCTTTTACTGTTTTGGATCCATAAAAGTGGAAAAAATTTGGGGCATATTGATACAAAGACCTGTGTATACCTGATATGTGACATGAACCTTACAAGGCACTGACTATTTTAAACTATCACTTAGGTAATAAAGCAGAGACAAGCAGAACTTGGTTATTATTATGTTAGCAATACCAGTACTCTGTTTTGTGAGTTCCCCTACTCCAAAGACTATGTCTATAGTAAAGAAATGAAAAAAAAAAAAAAAAAAATATATATATATATATATATATATATATATATATATATATATATATATATATATATATATATATATATATATATATATATATATATATATATACATACATACATAAATAAACACACAAAAATAATTTCAGGAGAATTTTATTAAAATAAGAAGCTGACCTTAAAATATTTTAAATTAAAGATGCAAATTCTTCTATATTCTAAAACTAAGCTGAAGATCACTTTTCTTATACACTGTTAATGAGCTGGAATTTGTACAAGCTCAATCTGTGTAAGAAGTTGTTGGGTTTTTCTCCCCCCTCCCCACCCCCACTTCTCTTTGCTGATCAACTGATCTGTCATAAAGTCCAGCATACAATACAAGCATAGATGTTTTAGAGAATATTAATAGATTATGCGCACACATTTTTGAAAGCGAGCATAACAGAACGAAAAGTGGGGAAGGTAGAGCCGTGATCTATGTTACATTCAGAAGAAATGCAAAAAGCAGGACTAAACGTTTTAGAACCGTCATGGTGGAAGAGGGTATAGTGACTGTAGGAAACCACCTCTTATTTCAAAAAGTAATCTACATAGTTACAAAGCTGAAGAGACTTGCATCCATCAAGTTCAGCCTTCCTCATATATGTTTTTTGCTCTTGATCCAAAAGAAGGTAAACAAACCCAGTTTGAAGCACTTCCAATTTTGCAACAAACTAGGAAAGAAAAATCCTCCTTGACCCCAGAATGGCAGTCAGATTAATCCTTGGATCAAGAAGCTATTGCCCTACATTGAAATATGGTATCCTTGAATATTCTGTTATTGCAAGTATGAATCTAGTTGCTGTTTGAACATCTGTGCAGACTCTGATAAAATCACTTCTTCAGGCAGAGAATTCCACATCCTTATAATTCTTACCGTAAAAAAACTTTCCTTTGCCTTAGACAAAATCTTCTTTCTTCCAGTCTAAACGCATGACCTCGTGTCCTATGTAAAGTCCGGTTTGTGAATAGATTTCCACACAATGGTTGCTCAAAGCTGGCCCGGCCTCTTTCCTCAGAGCCGGCCTCTTTCCTCGGTGCCGGCCCGGCCGCCTGCATTCCTCAGAGCCGGCCCGGCCACCTGCATTCCTCAGAGCCGGCCCGGCCGCCTGCATTCCTCAGAGCCGGCCCGGCCGCCTGCATTCCTCAGAGCCGCCTCCAGCCCGCCCCTTTAAGCAGAGCCGGCTGCCCACCCTTTTCCCTGCACGCTGGGAGGAAATAAGTACAGTTCCCTTCATTTCCTCCCGGCACACAGAGATCTGCATGGGCTGAGGAGACAGGAGGAGGGGGAGTCTTGAAAAGCAGCAGCTGCTCCCATCACCCGCAGCCAGCCCCCACTTACCTATTGTCATTTGCTCCTGCCCAGTGCCACTGGACCCTTGGGAAGCCACCCTCTGAGCCCAAAAGGTAGGAAACAAGAGGATGGCAAAAAAAAAAATCTATACACACCAGACCACTACAGTAAGCATTGTATTTTTGTCTTTTTCAAGCAATCACACGAAATTGGAAGTCTGTCTTGACTTACAATCTCGTGTGATTGGTGGTCTATCATAAACTGGTGTTTTATGCCTCTGGTGCTGTTTTATGCCTCTGGTGTTGTTTTCAGTCCCTTTGTAAGTATTGCTCACGTATTTTATATGCCTATCGATCTTGGAGGCTATGATGCTTGATAGGTCTTTCCACGTTGTGGGGGGGCAGGCGATTGGTCGATAATTAACCACTATTGATCTACCTTGAGGGTGTTTGTTGCTAGTACATGGTTTATTTGTGCTGCTAGGTGTTCACGCAGCATTTGTTTCGTTATCCAGTATGTGTGGATCGTGTCAGGTGCTTGCCAAACTTTCATGTGGGCTACTTATTGTTGTATATCACTGACTGTAATGCCGACTAGTTGCTCCTCTGGGTGCATGCAGAGGTCTACTTTCAGGAGTAGCCACAGGACGTTGGTGTTATGTGAATCTTTGATGTTCTTAAAGTACTGGTATGTCTTGGCTCTTGTTGATGCACAGCAGCAGTGCACACACCTTGGATGGCTCTTTGGTAAACAGGACATGTATTCTCTTAGCCTTTGCTTCTCTAGTGTAGCTGCTCATTGTTAAAGGACCACTATAGTGCCAGGAAAACAAACTTGTTGGGCAGAAGGGGGCTGAAAGGGGTTAAACACTTACCTTTCTTCAGTGCCGGGCTCCCTCAGCGCTGGACACTCTCCTTCCTCTTCTGATGTCATCCGCCGCATGCGCGGCAAGAGCCTTCAATCAGTCCACGGGAAAGCATTTCTTAATGCTTTCCTATGGACGGCAGCATCTTCTCACTATGAAAATCAGTCGGAAGCGCCTCTAGCGGCTGTCAATGAGACAGCCACTAGAGACTGGCATAACCCTAATGTAAACATGCACATACATACATAAGACAGAACAGTAAGATAATGCTGGGGGAGTGTTCATGTAAAATGTTGGTAGTGGGACAGGAAACCCAAATCAATATTTAGTGCTCTATTCTTTCTGTTAAGCAAAGTTTTTCTTTCTTGGGTATTATTAAAAACCCCTTTCAGTACTTTGATTTTTAGGTCCTTCATTGAGTGGCCAGACTGGGTAAAATGGTGTCCCACAAGAGTGCAGTAGGATTCTTCTTTGTGGTGTTTAATGGAGTGTCTGTGCATATTCATTCTGCCATTTAATTGCTGGGTGGTTTCCCCAATGTAGCATCCTAGGTGGCACGTGGTGCATTGAATGTATACCACATTGCTGGATGTGCAGGAGTATGATCCTTTAATGCTGTAGGTTTTATTGTTGTGTGTGGCTGTGTTGTCTGTGCATATGTGCTGGCACAGTTTGCAGCGAGGGTTTTTTGCATTGACTGGTCCCGTTTTCTTTATTCTTCCCATCAGTGGGCAGCTTCCTGTTGATTCATTTTTGTTGGAGGTTTGGTGGTTGTCTGAAAGCTAAAATGGGTGTTTCAGAGAAAACGTTTTTCAGATTCTCATCTTCTGTTAACATTGGTTGTAGGTCTTTAATGATTTTCCGTGTTTCCTCAAGAGTTGGGTTGTAGGTGACCACAGTTTCTCTCTGTACTGTAGCAAGTGCGTGCATGGCGTTTTTACAGCAGAGTTGAATTGTTTGGGAATAGTTTTTGGTTTGACATTACAGTCAGTGATATACAACAATCGTTTTTGGTTTGTAGCCTTTCTGTCTCATAGATTGAGAAAGTACAACCTACAACCCAACTCTTGATGGTGTAAAAACGCCATGCACGCGCTTGCTACAGTACAGCAGAGTTGAATTGTTTGGGAATAGTTTTTGGTTTGACATTACAGTCAGTGATATACAACAATAATCGTTTTTGGTTTGTAGCCTTTCTGTCTCATAGATTGAGAAAGTACAACCTACAACCCAACTCTTGAAGAAATAAGGAAAATAATTTTCTCCATTTGTGACATTGTTCATCTTCTGCTGTGAAGACGCATTGGCATATGAGACCATTGGGTATTTGATTGGTGCCGAAGGGAATAAAAACTCTCTTCTGACACTTACCTGATTTCCGTTCGAATGTACATTGGCGCTGGTTCAGGCTCCACCGACATTGTCAGGCATAGGTGTTCGCTTTAATTAGCACTAATTTGGGGTCCACAGAGATGTCCCCCACAGATGTGAAGCATTTTCTAGTGCCCTTATGAGCAGTATGTGCTCAAAGACAGCTGTTTTCATGGGAGTGGGTCCGGAGCTGGGGAACATGGCTGCCGCTCGGCATTTCTATCTTGTATTGTTCAAGTTGTTAAAATACTTCTGTGAACCAATGAAAAGTGTTATTTTGCATGCTAGATTTGGAACGTTTGGTTGATCTTTGCTAACTTGCAGCGAGTAGTGCTAAGTTTGTTACAGACACAAGAATGTAGCTTCCATTTTGTATCTTATAATACCAACCGTCAAAACTTTCTCAGTTCCTAAAATGTTTTTAAAAAGTTTTCGATGTAAATAGTGCAGTGCACATACATGCAAAAACAAACCAGTAGGGTGTACTTTTCTCTATAATGGGAGAAAATGGGGGAGAAGCTGATGTGGTTTTATGCTTGCTGTAGTTTGAGATTTTTTTTTTTTTTTGACACATTTTCAGACTTTTAATTTGTAGATGCCAAATGTAATTTCTCATTTATTACTCGAAGTTCTGCATGATGCAGTTTTGCTTCTTACATGAGCATGCTGCAGTGACTTTATTCACAATGTAGCAGTAAAGGCATACTCCTAGTACCATAACCATTACAGGAGTGCCCTTGATCCCTCTCAAAATAAGTAGTCATACTGTTTTTTTTTGTTTGTTTTTTAAGACTGGATGACTGCTTTACCTGGTTACCGCTAGACATCCACCTCGCCGGATGCTGGAAATTCCTGCAACATGCTTCTTTTAGTTCCACTAAGCTTTCTCTGCCATTTGGGACCCAGCTGATTAGCTGAGAGCATCAGCTGATTGTTGTCCGCCAGAAAGCACTGCTATGCACAGCCAGGCTTACCTGGAAGCAGGGAAAGTGGTGCTTTGACTACTTACTATGAGAAGGTGCAAAGGTCCTGATGGAACCATATCACTGCAGATGGCTATAGTGGTTATAGTAATCTTTTAAAATGTTGCATTGCCTATCACCATACCTGCATATGGTGTTTAGATTCCTTACCCTTAATATTTTCTAGCTTGCACCTGATCTTATTTTGTCTGAAAGGATACACATTTTCTATTTTGAATTATTCTGGATATTATAAGTCTTCTTCCATAATTTTCATCAGCATCCTAAATTTTGCAGTCAGACAGTGGCCACTGTGCACCCTTATCATAGTTGCTAACCACCAGTCGATTTACAAACCATCCTTAACAATAACTTTTTCATATGTCCACAAGGTCCATCAATTTTGTGACTCGTTAGTAAACTGTAGGTGTTGAATGCTGTTGCTAATTAAAGAAAAGCCTGTGGCTGCTCACTGTTTACTAGACATGCCCCTACTCGCGGTATAGCGAATAGGGGCAGAATTTACTAATACTAAGTAATCTTTACTTAATATTAGTAAAGTTGGCTGAAAGACTAATTTAGGTCTTTCAGCATTTTAGTAGATAACTCCCTGATACCGTGGGAATTAGGGAGTTATCTACTAAGCGGCTGCAAGATGCAGCCACAGCACGAATAGGATCGGACTTTCATTCATTCGAATGAAATTGCGATCCGAACAAAGTCCCGAATTGCATCCTAACTCGAATGGAGAAACTGTTCTTATTCTGTTAGGATGCAATTCGGCAGTTTTGTCGGCGTTCTGTCTAAGTGACCGGACGTTCGGCAATACTGACAGGAAGCATCATGGGAACAAGGAGGAAAGCTAAGGATCATGGCAAACTTTGCTCCTCCGCTGGTCAAAGCTGGTTAAGCGGAGGAAACCTCCATAAGGCAAAGAGTCCCTACTTTGTCTTATGATTTTAAAGAAAACTAAAGAAGACAGGAAGAAAAGAAGAACAGATCCTGAGAGAGGGGGAGAAGAGGAAGAGATTGAGGAAAGGTAAGTTCGGCATGACAGTGCCGCTTTAATTAAAATGTATTGGCAAACTGGCACTTCTGTATTAGTGCAAAAATAATCCCAAATTATTAGCAATACATTAAGAAACCTTTATTTTCTCCGCTATATTTTAAATACCAAGACATTCCTCGACTGGCAGATGTTTTAATGTGAAGTGACTACTTTGAGCATTAAAACATTTCCCTTTCTTAGAACTGTAAATGTAATTTTCAGAACATTACAAACATGCATACCTGCAAGACATCAATTTTCTTGGTGGAGATCCAGATGGAGACAAAAGCATCTGCAAAAGTATGCTCAAAACTGAGGCACTCTTCTTGTGTATAGGAAAAGAACTATACTCACAATAGGGATTATAGATAAACAGTTATGTTTAATGGGTTTATGGGTAATTGGGTTTTTTGTTTTTTTCTGGATCTTTTCTTATTTGCATCTATTTATTCCCATACTTACTCTAAACTACTTATTGCGCTTCTTGTTATTTTCCCCTATTTTATTTGGGTTCTTTTGATTTTTTTTTTTTCCGTGTGCTTTTTGACAAATGTGCTATGTCCATTGTATAAAACAGGAGATTCAAATCTGCACATCGTGCCAAATGTAAAATTTTCTGAGGCAGGTTAGCAGTTTTCACATTCTTTTTAATGTGCACTGCTCAAAAAAATAAAGGGAACACAAAAATAACACATCCTAGATCTGAATGAATTAAATATTCTCCTGAATAATTGTACGCCCTCCTGTCTTTCCTTACTTACCCGGTTGCCGGCAGTCCCACGCCGGCGGTCGCGGTGGGGGGGACTCCCAGGGAGCCTCCTCCTCCGGTGGCCCCAGGCCATGTGAGAGTGAGGTCCTTGCGAGGACCTCACAATCACATGGCCGGGTAGGCTGCCTCCTGCATTGCCAGCAGGGGGGCTGCCTGTAATGACAGGTGGTCCGCCTGCTGGCTGAAAATAAAAGTAAAATAAATTAAAAAGTGTAAAAAAAAATAAAAATAAAAAATGTATACTTAGATCATATAAATATTATATATATATATATATATATATATATATATATATATATATATATATGAATGATCTAAGTATATATATATATACACACACACACACACACACACAAATACATACACACTCTTACACTGTCTAGGTGTATTTTACTATTTATATATATATATATATATATATATATATAATCAAATTACACGTAGACTGATACTGATTAAATATATATATTTCGTTCTAACCGTATTGTGATATTAATATATATGTATTTATATCAAAATACACGTAGAACGAAATATATATCTACATACATAAATATATACGTATATATCACTATATATACCTATATATAAATAAAAATATTTTAAAAAATTATATATATATATACACACATATAGATTCTCAAACGTGTGTGTGTGTGTGTGTATATATATATATACATATATTAATTCTACATATATATTTATGTAATATTTTTACATAATTAGGTATCTTAATTAATTACAATTAGCAGGACCTGCCTGACAACCCATGCCGAAAGTAAAATGAATTTAATTTGCTAACACTATATTTAACCCTATAATTTTCCAATACACCATAAAACCTGTACATGGGGGGTACTGTTGTACTCGGGAGACTTCGCTGAACACAAATATTAGTGTTTCAAAACAGTAAAGTGTATTACAATGATGATATCGCCAGTAAAAGTGACGTTTTTTTGCCTTTTTCATGCACAAACAGCACTTACACGGACGATATTATTGCTGTGATACTTTTTACTGTTTTGAAACACAAATATTTGTGTTCAGCGAAGTCTCCCGAGTACAACAGTTCCCCTCATGTACAGGTTTTATGGTGTTTTCAAAAGTTACAGCGTCAAATATAAGGCTTGCGTTTCATTTTTTTCACATTAAAATTCGCCAGATTGGTTACGTTGCCTTTGAGACCCTATGGTAGCACAAGAATGAAAATTACCCCTATGATGGCATACCATTTGCAATAGTAGACAACCCAAGGTATTGCAAACAGGGTATGTCCAGTCTTTTTTAGTAGCCACTTAGTCACAAACACTGGCCAAAATTGGCGTTTTTTGCATTTTTCACACACAAACAAATACTAACGCTAACTTTGGCCAGTGTTTGTGACCAAATGGCTACTAAAAAAGACTGGACATACCCCATTTGCAATACCTTGGGTTGTCTACTATTGCAAATGGTATGCCATTATGGGTGTAAATTTAATTCCTGGGCTACTATACAGTCCCAAAGGCAACGTAACCAATCTGGCGAATTTCAATTTCAAATGTAACATGCTATATTTGACCCTGTAACTTCCCAAAATGCCATAAAACCTGTACATAGGGGGTACTGTTTTACACGTGAGACTTTGCTGAAAACAAATGTGTATTTTATTGCAGTAAAAGCAAACAGTATTATGACATTGACCGTTAAAATGTCATGTAGAACTAAAAAAAAAAAAACCTTATTTTCTCCAATTTTTTTTCATATTAAATTGTTACATAGCTAAATATTTGATATTAAATGCAAGCCCTGTTTCCCCTGAATAAAATGATATATAATAAGGGTGGGTGCATTTAATATGAAAGAGGTGAATTACGGTTGGACAAACTTGTAGCGCAAATGCCAGGTTTTGTTTACCTTTTGTTTCGTTCACAACGTGTACATTTGGCTCCGTCCTTAAGGGGTTAATCGATTTCTCTTCTCTCCCTCTGTCAGGATCTGTTCATTTCTTTCTGTCTGCTTTAGTTTTCTTTAAAACATAAGACAAAGTAGGGCGTACTTTGTCTTATGGAGGTTTCCTACACTTGACCAGCTTTGACCAGCGGAGGAGCAAAGTGTGCTTCGTTTCTGGTGATCAAAGCAATTTCCCACAATTCTCACCTTTGAACCGTGATCTCGCGATGCTTCCTGTCAGTATTTCCGAATGTCCTGTCACTTAGACAGAATGCCGGCAAAACTACCGAATTTCGTCCTAACAGAATGAGAACAGTTTGTTCATTCATGTTAGGGCGCAATTCGGGACTTTGTTCAGATCGGATTTTAATTTAAATGAATGAAACTCCGATCCGATTTGTGCCACAGCTGCAAGGTTTAGTAGATAACTCCCTAATTCCCATGGTATCAGGGAGCTATCTACCAAAAGGCTGAAATACATAAATTGGTCTTTAAGCCAAATGTGGGGGGAGAGGAGGGGGGCTATTTTCCTCCCACCCCTAAGCGGCGGGTGGGGGCACTAAATAACAATAAGGGGACGACAACCCATAAATATATATATATATATATATATATATATATATATATATATATATATATATATATATATATATTTATTTATTTATTACAGGCTGCAACTGACATTTAAGATGTTTTACAATTACAATTCATACTTTCATACAGGTTTCTAAAGGTACAAAACTCATTGTTAATATATTAATCACTTCACTCTAAGACCAAGAACTGCAGATCCCTCAAGGTCAGTTTAAGAGTGACATGACGACAGGCTTCCTGCATTCTCAGCTGCTTTTTCTGGGAGGGGATCTGATCGGGTTTGTGTATAATACCCTTCAACTTTTAAATTAGGGATTTCTCTCTGATTAAAGGCTTGGTCCAGCATTTTAACTCATGTTTAATTCCCCATTATTAGATGAAATATAAAATATACTAGTGCCAATATTTTGCTATACACTATAATTAATCCCACAGGGGTGTTTCCACAGCAGTCTCCTTCACACACGGCTGATTTGTATCCTGTTTCCCAGCAAATCAGCTTTTCCATAATATAATTAAAGAGAAACATTTGCTTAAATACTGTCTGAAGCACGTGTCAAACTGCATTTAGATTTGTGCTGTTGGATAGAGTAAATATCCACAATACTGTATACAAAGAGTTAGGTATTATGTTGTTATGGAGCTAACTAGTTAAATACATTTTTAATTCACTTGTACATTGTAGCTTTAATTTTTCCACTAAGTGGTGTGGATGTATTGTCCCTATCCTTTTAGCCCTGCAGGAAAAACCATGTTTACATTGCAGGGTTTAGCTGCCTCTAGTGGTTGCTTCTCTAACTGCCACTAGATGCACTTGCATCTAAGTAGCTAAGTGAAACCGTGGAAATGGCCTCCCAATGCTTTCCTATAGGAGATCATCAATCGTGGAATAGTTGAGACCGGCGCTGCCAGAGAGAAAACAGAAGTAAAACGTGTTTGTTTTTTTCCTGCTCTTTTACAAAAAAGGGGGCAGAGACACAGTCAATATGAGTATTTCATAAATATTCTATCTCTAAGAAAATCTTATGTTGCATGGGGTGACAGTGCAGCTTTAAAGGGGACTTTTTGCAGTCCATCTGTTTGCCAATAGCCTTATTGGCAAATGTATGTGGAATTCCACTGACTGTAAGAGCAAACAGAACATCAGCCAAACGGAAGTATATGAAATTTGGCTGAAACAATTTGCCTCATTTCGACTGTAGAAGGCTTTCAGCTGGAACAGATGACTTGGAACAACCTAATGACATTTGAGAAATGCTTAGAGTATAAGTCTGACTCTTTCATTGTCATTCTAGTGATGCAGTTGGCATTTGGTTTTTCTTCTGTCATTAACTTAAATAAATAAAAAAAATTAAAATGGTATCGGATGGCACAATAAGTCAAGTGAAAATGGGTAGCTATAGTGTCCCGATAGGTAAGCATATACATTTTTTGTCTTTTGCTTAGGTGATATTTATTGGGGATTATACCTAAACATTTTCACTTTATTTATAGTAATGTTTAGCCATGCTGCAAAGAATTGTTTTTTTGGTTTATAGTTTCACAGGTTTTGAGAGTTTGCCTGAGGTGTTGAAGGTTTACAAAAGGATTCTCGTTACGCATTTTATATATTTTTCTCTCCCTTATGTCCTCTCTTCTGCCCTTTCCCTTGCAATTCATTTCACTCTAATTGACCACTTTAGTCCATTACTTATCTTTCTTTACTCCCCCTACTAGCAATCGTAACATCTTTTTCACCAATCTTGAGTGCATGGAGCAGCATACCTATCAGGCACATCATGATGCAGTATCTTTACTTGCACTGTCATTATTTGCTTTTGAAGATAACAAAGTGTGGATAGATTTTTAAAAACAAGCTGATGATGAACAGCATTTTAGTTTTCTCTACAGCATTGACACAGAGAAACTCCTTTTTCTTTCACTAAATATAGTAGACAACACCCCTCATGCTTTCCACATGAGGTGTGCACAAATAAGAATCATTCCACAATCTCCATATCGGGTTTTTCAAAGTAGTCTTGGAGAGCTTGCAAGATCTAAGGTCTGATTTCCCAGTCGTCCTCTTTTGATTTTTTTTTTTTTTTTTTTGGGTATGCTAAATGTGCACACATTTATAAATCTCTCTTCAGGATTTGTCCATTGCTCTCTGTTTCTCACTCCGTGTCCATCCTATTTGTGGTTTTCTCTTTTCACCTTATTTCTAAGTTCTCCACCTTATTCTGCAGACTGAAATTACAATCTTTTTACTGCATAGTTGCACTGCAAACATGCTTATTTCTTCCAAAGATAGTGTCTTCTGCATTTGTTGACTTTCCAAGTGCAACAAGTATTCTACCAGGCATATAGTCATCTAGGGTAAAAAGCCATCCCTCATATGCAAGGCTGCTGTTTAATATTTGATACTTTCAGGTGTTTTAGCTACTTTTATGCATGAACTTTTTCTAGGTCATTCTTCCTGTTTAGACAGCTGAACTTGGCACATTCTGCTTGTTTGATTTATTATTGATATTTATATAGAGTCAAAATATTACAAAGCACTTTATAATTACGTTAAAGGGTGAGAGAGGCTCTGCTCAAACGAGCTTACAATCTATAGTAACCAGCTTAAAATGTTAAAATTTAGTTTCTTGTTCCTGTTTATTGGTTAACAATATTAAAGCAGCTCCCCCCCTTCCCACACACCAAAAAAAGATACAATCTTTATAAAATACTCACATCACTGTTAGAATTTCACTAAAATTCCAATGTAGTCAAAATAATAAGACTATGTAGGGTTTGCTTATTCTTATATATTTTTCCTCCACTTGACCAAAGGGGTAGCTGTGCTTTCAGGTTTCGCTAATACCTTTGGCCTTCACTAGTGACGTCGGTGGGATAAAAATTATTTCACTGATAAAAAAGATATCTTTATTGATACTATGTATTAGGGATCGACCGATTATTGGTCTGGCCGATATTCGGTATTTTCGGCAATCTCTGTATCGGCCAATAAAGATATAACGATATTGCCAATAATACATACCAGGACCGCAGCAAGCTCTTACTTACCTTCCCAGCAGCTCCCCAGTGTAAATCTTGAGTCCCGCGGCCTTCAGAGCCTTGCCACGGGTTACAATGGCAATGCTCCGCGCGGCACACTAGTCGCAAGATTTACACTGGGGAGGTAAGTAAGCGATTGCGGGGCCCCCACTGCACAGTCCATGCCACGGGATCACCAGGGAATGCCATAGCCCCCCTCCCTGGCCAGGTTACAAGCAGGGAGGGGGGAATTAAAAAAAAAAAAAATACAAATTCCTTCCCTTCCCCCTCCATTTTACACAAATTACATACCTACAGAAACACACACACTCTGCATTATATACACGCACTACACAAACACACACTCTGCATTCATTATATATACACACACATACTCTGCATTCATTATATACACACACACACACACACACACACACTCTGCATTCATTATATATACACACACACACACACTCTGCATTCATTATATATATACACACACACACACACACTCTGCATCCATTATATACACACACACACTCTCTGCATCCACTACATGTGGCATGTATATTTTCTGCATTTACCTTTAGAAATAGTTTTATTTTATTTTTATTTATTTTTTAATGGTAAATGTACAGAATATCGGTAAGTTATCTTGCCTGTACTACATTCCCAGGCAAAGCACACCAAGTTGCGATGTTAGAAATGGGTTACCATTTGCTTATTAACCTTGCCATTTCAACTACACAATCATTAATAAAGAGTTTATCCTACCTTTGCTGCTATAACAACCTCCATTTTTAGTAATGCTTTCCAATGCTGGTACATTTATGTAAAGATTTCCTTAAGTGGCACAGTCACTTATGATCCCCAGATGACATATCCAATTGTATCATGAGTGATGTGAGTAATTAAACTTACCTGGTGCTACCCTTCCTGAGAACTGCTCAGATACTTGAGACTATCACCAATGAGACCAGTGCTGTGAGGGAGAAAAGGTAAGTAACCTACCTTTTTAACCCTTGCAGCAGGGAACCCAGAAAATAAAAAGTGACTAGGGAACATTTTGTTCATAACACTATAGTATTCCTTATATATGATCACTATAGGGTCAGGAACACAAACATGCATTCCTAACCCTATAGTGTTAATACCACCATCTAGCCCCCTGGGCCCCTCATGCCTCCATAAATATAGTAAAATCTTACTGTATTCAAGCCAGAAGCTGTAGATCTGCATGCTGTTTGCCACACAAAAAAAACAAGCAGTCTGCTGACATCATCAGAAGTGGTAGCCTGATCCAATCACAATGCTTCCCCATAGGATTGGCTGAGACTGACAGAGCCAGATCAGGGGCAGAGCCAGCATGATTCAAACACAGCCCTGGCCAATCAGCATCTCATCATAGAGATTAATTGAATCAATGGATCTCTATGAGGAAAGCTCAGTGTCTGCATGCAGAGGGGGGAGACACTGAATGTTTGGATGCATTTTAGGCAGCCACGACCCAGGAAGGATCTGTAACAAGCATCTGAGGAGTGACCAGTGAAGTTATCACTAGGCTGTAATGTAAACACTGCATTTTCTGTGAAGAGACAGTGTTTACAGCAAAAATCCTGAAGGTAATGATTCTACTCACCAGAACAAATTCAATAAGCTGTAGTTGTTCTGCTGACTATAGTGTCCCTTTAAAGGACCACTCTAGGCACCCAGACCACTTCAGCTTAATGAAGTGGTCTGGGTGCCAGGTCCAGCTAGGGTTAACCCATTTTTTCATAAACATAGCAGTTTCAGAGAAACTGCTATGTTTTATGAATGGGTTAAGCCTTCCCCTATTTCCTCTAGCGGCTGTCTCATTGACAGCCGCTAGAGGCGCTTGCGTGCTTCTCACTGTGATTTTCACAGTGAGAGCACGCCAGCGTCCATAGGAAAGCATTATGAATGCTTTCCTATGTGACCGGCTGAATGCGCGCGCGCAGCCAGTCGACGGGGAGGAGAGAAGGAGGATCGGAGGAGGAGAGCTCTCCGCCCAGCGCTGGAAAAAGGTAAGTTTAAACCCCTTTCCAGAGCCGGGCGGGAGGGGGACCCTGAGGGTGGGGGCACCCTCAGGGCACTATAGTGCCAGGAAAACGAGTATGTTTTCCTGTCACTATAGTGGTCCTTTAAGTTAAAAATTAACAGGTTTTTTTTCCCCCACAGACAATTTAAATATCTGCATAGACTTTTTTTTTTTTTTTTTTAATTAAACATAACCACTTGGCAGTCTCATTTGAAATACCTGTGTGGCCTACAATTTTGTGGCTGAAGGTTTGCTGTTCCTAGAAAACTCAATTTCATAAGAGCAGCACTTTTAGATGAGCTGTCCAATTATACAAAGGTAAACATCTATATCTGTCTTCAAGGAAATTTGTTTTCTATTAAATTAAGTCAGAGCTCTGGCGTAAAGGTCTTTTTGTCTGTTGACATTGCATTGCTCTGCATGACTTATGCATTTTTCAGCAATGGGTATAGCTGAAATTAGGAAATCATTAATTAAAAGTTGTCTACTGGAGTTGTTTCAGTTTTCATAACTTGCTTTCAATTCGAATGCAGACTGTGCAGCTAATGCAGTGAGCTCTCACCCAACCTACACATCATTTAGTTAGCTATAATTATTAGTACATCTGGCTCACACATAATTCTTCTTAAGAAGAAATGGAAATGCCTGTCAGGTCACAGACTCTGGATAACCTTTGTTTTGTTTGCTATGGATCTAATATTATACACTTTGCTGTATATGAATTTTTAATTGAAGTAATAGCTTTCATAGTATAGTAAAATTGTAAGTGGCCAGGTTGTTCTCTGTATAACTTATGTACGTTTACTAATGAAATTATAAGAAAATGTCACATACATCCATATTTATCAAAGAAAACCAGGTGCTGATTTGGTGGCAAACTGCTATTTAGAGATTGCCATGGAAACCAAGAGAATAATTGGCACCATTTAGTACTTTGCCTTAGAATGTCTATTGTTTTTGCCTTGATAAACATGGCTTCTAGCCTAATAATTTACCTATGGTAAATTGTGATCTGCATTAAAGTATCCAAAAATTGATTGACGGTCCTGCCAGTTATGTGAGTGCAGGTTATGGCTTATGATGTGTTTGCTTTACATTAAGGGCCAGTTTACCTATGTGAGTGAGATCCAGCTTGGGGAAGGGCACAGTGAGATCTAGCAGTGAGGGGCATTGTTTGGGGGTGCTCATTCAGTGAGGGGCCAGGCTGGCAGTGTTTGGGGGTGCTCACTCAGTGAGGGGCCAGGCTGGCTGTGTTTGGGGGGTGCTCACTCAGTGAGGGGCCAGGCTGGCTGTGTTTGGGGGGTGCTCACTCAGTGAGGGGCCAGGCTGGCAGTGTTTGGAGGGTGCTCTCACAGTGAGGGGCCAGGCTGGCTGTGTTTGGGGGGTGCTCACTCAGTGAGGGGCCAGGCTGGCAGTGTTTGGGGGGTGCTCTCACAGTGAGGGGCCAGGCTGGCAGTGTTTGGGGGGTGCTCATTCAGTGAGGGGACAGGCTGGCTGTGTTTGGGGGGCTCACTCAGTGAGGGGCCAGACTGGCAGTGTTTGGGGGGCTCACTCAGTGAGGGGCCAGGCTGGCTGTGTTTGGGGGGGTGCTCTCACAGTGAGGGGCCAGGCTGGCAGTGTTTGGGGGGCTCACTCAGTGAGGGGCCAGACTGGCAGTGTTTGGGGGGCTCACTCAGTGAGGGGCCAGGCTGGCCGTGTTTGGGGCTCACTGCGAGGGGCCAGGCTGGCTGTGTTTGGGGGCTCACTCAGTGAGGGGCCAGACTGGCAGTGTTTGGGGGGCTCACTCCAGTGAGGGGCCAGGCTGGCTGTGTTTGGGGTGCTCACTCAGTGAGGGGCCAGGCTGGCTGTGTTTGGGGTGCTCACTAGTGAGGGGCCAGGCTGGCTGTGTTTGGGGGCTCACTCAGTGGGGGGCCAGGCTGGCTGTGTTTGGGGGGCTCACTCAGTGAGGGGCCAGGCTGGCTGTGTTTGGGGGGCTCACTCAGTGAGGGGCCAGGCTGGCATTGTGGGCACTTCCTGTGTGAGGCGGTGCGGAAGGATCCTGCTTCTCATACAGTGCAGTGAGCGTGCTGCTGCTCGGCGCTTCCTGTAGGCTGCGGAAGGATCTCGTGTTCCCCCGCCCCTTGCACACACACATACACACGCACTGTGTGCCTGGATCTCCGCTTCCTCCTCCTCTCCTGCTGCCGCCGCTCTGACTCAATGTGAAGCTGAACCTCCCGACAAAAATGGCGACCTCGCTGCACGAGAGACCCACCAACCAGCTCGATCTGCTCATCCGAGCCGGTAACGCATGCAGCGCGGAGACGGGGGGGGTATAATGAGCGTGCACGGCCGGCCCCGGCCCTCTGTGCACGGCGCTGGCTGGCTGCAGGGGGGAGGGATGCGGCTGCGCACGTTTCGCTCTCGGGGCGCTCTCCGGGGCCAATCAGGAAGTGATGGTGGTCGGGCTGGGCCCCCGGGGGCCACGCTCTGCCTGCAGGGAGCCAGCACACTGACTGCCCCAACCAGGAAGTGAGAGAGAGAGCGCGCCTGCTCTGCCACGCTGTGTGCGCTCCATCCCCGGGCTGCCAGCATTGTACCCGGGTCACATGGAGGCCGTGCCGGAGCTAATCTGCACAGAGCGGGCTGCCATGCTGGGTACCCGGCCGGGAGGACATACTGTGATACGGTTACTGTATGGGGAGATTTTATTTTTAATGCAACAAAAAAAAAGCCCGTTTATAGCGGAAGCGCTGAGATCAAACGGGCTGGGACAGCGTGTGAGTGACAGCGGCCATCGGCCAATAGTATTGGAGGGAATGTTCGAAATACAAAAACCGGCCAATAGGCTGACGGCGGAGAGGCTGGGCTACGGGCCAATAGGCGCACAGCGCCGCGGTGATTGGCAGTTAGCCGTGAGCTCACAATGCGGATGGAATTGGAGGGAAGAGTAGAGATGTAAACACGGAAGTGAGGGGCGGGGCTTACATTGGGCACCTGGGCTGATCTAGCTTGATAGACACGTGCAGCGCGCACTCAGCCTGTCCATAGGGGATAATACATTATCACACAGGGCCCCGGATACAGTGTTATTATTAATGGGAGACAAGGCATGATTACACAGGGCTCCATACAGTGTTAATATTAATGGGGGACAAGGCATGATTACACAGGCCTCCATACAGTGTTAATATTAATGGGGGACAAGGCATGATTACACAGGCCTCCATACAGTGTTATTATTAATGGGGGATAATACATTATTACACAGGGCCCCGGATACAGTGTTATTATTAATGGGGGATAATACATTATTACACAGGGCCCCGGATACAGTGTTATTATTAATGGGGGACAAGACTGATTACACAGGGCTCCATACAGTGTTATTATTAATGGGGGACAAGACATTATTACACAGGGCCCCGGATACAGTGTTATTATTAATGGGGGACAAAGCATGATTACACAGGGCTCCATACAGTGTTAATATTAATGGGGGACAAGGCATGATTACACAGGCCTCCATACAGTGTTAATATTAATGGGGGATAATACATTATTACACAGGGCCCCGGATACAGTGTTATTATTAATGGGGGATAATACATTACACAGGGCCCCGGATACAGTGTTATTAATGAGGGACAAGACTGATTACACAGGGCTCCATACAGTGTTATTATTAATGGGGGACAAAGCATGATTACACAGGGCCCCGGATACAGTGTTATTATTAATGGGAGACAAGACTGATTACACAGGGCCCCGGATACAGTGTTGTTATTAATGGGGGATAATACATTATTACACAGGGCTCCATACAGTGTTATAATTAATGGGAGACAAGACTGATTACACAGGGCCCCGGATAAAGTGTTGTTATTAATGGGGATAATACATTATTACGCAGGGCCCCGGATAAAGTGTTGTTATTAATGGGGGACAAGGCATGATTACACAGGGCCCCGGATACAGTGTTATTATTAATGGGGGACAAGGCATGATTACACAGGGTTCAGGATACAGTGTTATTAATGGGGGACAAGGCATGATTACACAGGGCTCCGGATACAGTGTTATTATTAATGGGGGACAAGACTGATTACACAGGGCCCCGATACAGTGTTGTTATTAATGGGGGACAAGACTGATTAAACAGGGGCCCCGGATACAGTGTTGTTATTAATGGGGGGACAAGGCATGATTACACAGGGCTCCATACAGTGTTGTTATTAATGGGGGACAAGGCATGATTACACAGGGCTCCATACAGTGTTGTTATTAATGGGGGACAAGGCATGATTACACAGGGCTCCATACAGTGTTGTTATTAATGGTGGGACAAGGCATGATTACACAGGCCTCCGGATACAGTGTTATTATTAATGGGGGACAAAGCATGATTACACAGGGCTCCGGATACAGTGTTGTTATTAATGGGGGACAAAGCATGATTACACAGGGTTCCGGATACAGTGTTATTATTAATGGGGGACAAAGCATGATTACACAGGGCTCCGGATACAGTATTATTAATGGGGGACAAAGCATGATTACACAGGGTTCCGGATACAGTGTTATTATTAATGGGGGACAAAGCATGATTACACAGGGTTCCGGATACAGTGTTATTATTAATGGGGGACAAAGCATGATTACACAGGGTTCCGGATACAGTGTTCTTAATGGGGGACAAAGCATGATTACACAGGGCTCCATACAGTGTTAATAATGGGGGACAAAGCATGATTACACAGGGCTCCATATAGTGTTATTATTGGGAGACAAGGCATGATTACACAAGGCCCCATACAGTGTTATTAATGGGAGACAAAGCATGACCACACAAAGCCCCATACAGTGTTGTTGTTAATGGGGGACAAGGCATAATTACACGGAGCATGTACAGTGTGATAATGGGGGGCAAGGCATGATTACACAGATCCCCATACAGTGGTATAATGGAGGGGACAAGGCATGATTACACAGAGCCCAGTACATAGTCACGATTACACACAGCTGTCCAGTTAGTGTTTCTGGGGCTCACTATTGAGCAGTGTGTTGGTGACACATGATCTGTCTTATTTCCGGATCAGATAATCAGCTTAGGTGTTAGTGTGTGTGGATTTATTGGCAGTGTTTAATTTAATTTTTTTTTTTTTACTATTACTGAATACATGAATGTGTGATCTAATCTATAAACTCTGAACAGTAGCTTGTATTTTTGCTGTCTGTTAAATATAAATATGCATGCACTTAGAAATGTTTCAGTAATAGGATTTTTTGGTGGGAGAGGCTTATTATTTACAGTAATTGTTGAAGTTTTATGGGTTTTACACACATAGGAATTTATTTGGTTAATCTGCCAGCGACTATTTGCATGTCAGGCTAGAAACTCTGGGATAGTTGACCACAAAACTCAAGAATTATGTTACCACAAGCAGCTATTTGAAGAAAAGAAAAAAATTAATGCCCAATGTTCAGTGTGTTTTAGAGACTTGTTTCAAACACTAGATTTGGTTATGCCACTAATAAACCTATGGTTTTTATACATATACTGGTTATAACCTATAAAGCATGTGTGCTGAATATCCTAGTACTTTATAACATCTCTGTGGAGTTGAGTGTTTGTACATTACACATATAATACACTTTGTGTACCACTGTTTTTATGTTTCTAAGAGCTTTTTATCTGGATCTGGACATATCTCACAGTTGTTTGGGATAAATAATTTGCGGTTGTTCGGTGCAGGGAAAAGTATGAAATTTACAAAAAGTTGTTACTTTTGCCATGCCAAACAAATGTCTGAAACTTTTTAGGATAGTTTAATATTTATAGCATTTTCCTGTTTTTTGAAAATTTTTATATTTTGTATAGGATATTATGAAAAGTAAAAAAAAAAAAGGCTTTATACCTATGCAAGAATTAAATGTGCGTTTAATTTTACATTGTCCACCATGTTTGTTTCTCCGTTTTATTTTCCAAAAAGATAAATATTCTGTGTTCACATGCAAACTCTCCATTTATTAATCTATTGTGTTAAAACTCAAAACACTTCCTTTACAATAATGGATGTAAAGTTCTGGCATGCTTGGAAGTTAATTGACCATCACAGCTCCAGGCTAGGGATATCCGGATTTTAGTGCACAACATAATGACCCCCAAGGCTACACAAATCCCAGTAGCTAGGTTGTCATTACACCTACAAGGTTGTGTTCCCCTTAAGGTCGCCTTTGTTCATTTGTAGACTAGCATAGTTTTCTGTAGGTTATTGGAGTTTTGCTTTTAACTCCTCTGATCTTGGTAAACAAACTCATGGGGATTTGGAAGCAGTCAGTTGTGAAGTTCAGGTGAAGCGGGGGGGGGGAGGGGGGTGATTTGTAAAAGTTACCCATCCACACATTGTAAAAGGTTTTTGGTTGTGATAGATATAGATATATATATATATATATTATATCATCTGTGCTTTGTGAATAACCCAGAGAATTTCTAAAAGCCAAAACAACAACAAACGTGGTTGGATGTGTAGCTGATTTGGGTAATTTTTCTAGTTCATCTGTTTTGAAATTCAGTAGAATTCCTGACATTTCTCACTTGTGACTAGCACTGTACGTTTAGGATGCTTTATGTATTGCATGTGAGCACTTGGTTTCAGGCCGCCTCATGAACACTGGTATTACATTTCTAATTGTAGTCAATATAGTGATCTAATTTCTTGATAGTAAACTGGTATGAATTTGCTGAACATTTGTATTATTTCTGGCTTATTGGGATTAGTGGGGTTATTGCCACATTTAAAACTTTGCTTCATGGCTTGAATTTTCTGTATCTTTAAATTGGTTTCTGATTTCATACTCTTTTAGTTAACTTGCTGCCTTAGTGGTGTATCATATTATCGAGATAGATGTGTGAAACCTAGCAGAAGCCAGAGAGGGCTGGACACCCAAAGAGAATTCATAAACACAGTTTGTGTAAACTAATATAGCACTTTATCAAGCTTGCTACTTGTTTTTAACTCATCATGTAATTGATATCCTTTGAAATGCATTAGATCATGGGTCCTCAAACTCCGGCCCCCCCAGATGTTGCTGAACTACAACTCCCATGATTATCTGGCTATCTATGTAATTCAAAGAATCATGGGAGTTGTAGTTAAGCAACATCTGGGGGGCTGGAGTTTGAGGACCCATGCATTACATGAAGGGTAGCCAAAAAAAAGGTAAAAATCTCTACTGTTGCAGAACAACATCTCTCATGTTGCTTTGTCAGCCTTGAATGCATTGTTCAATGAATGATAGTTTAACCATATATACACTGTACTACTCTCTCATCTTTTACTATTTGTATGTTATATGGAATTCAGCATACAGTGTAAAATGAATATATTTTTTGTTGCAGGTTATTATGATGCATTAAAGTGAGTGTTGTTAGAACCTTCATATCTCATCCCTTTCTCCCCAGTACGTTTTTGGAATAGTGATAACCATAGAAACTCCCACTAGTGACTGATTACCAAGAGGAAGCCTGCATGTTCTTGGCTGCCATCCAATTCTGGCCTCAGTTTGAAAAGGCCTTAACTGCTTATTGTCCCCAACAGAGACCTATTGGAAGTGGGTGAGATTCACAATGCAGTATTACAGTGTATCCTGGCTACCCACAGGGTCCAGCTGGAGCAGTGTAACCCCTTCACTTCCAAACTGGCATGAATGGCTTAATACTATCCACTGGTCTGTATTGTGTTGATCCTAATTATTGTTACAGTGACACGGATGTTGTTCAATGTATGTCACTATTTGAGTGTAGACCAATAATGTAAGTTCTTGTTTTATTTTTCCCCTCTCATTCCTATAAATCTTAAATGTATGATTTGAGTGTACAAAAGCTGTAAAGTTAAAGAAATTAAGATTTCAATGCTATGAAATTCAATTGAAGAAACTATAACCAATGTACACTGATGTTTTGAGTTTTTGTTGGAAGCCCATTATATTTGACTGCAGATTTCCTTTTCCCATGTTTATTTCTCATACTGCAGATAGTTATATATACCCACACATCTACACACATTCCCATGCACAGTTGTAGAATTTCACATTACATTTTTTTTTCTTTACTGTTCCCACATTTGACTCTCTAATTTTGCATATGAGTAAAAGGCTTGACATTTACAAATGTGCAAACTTAGGTAGATTATTTCCAAATATGACTCTCTGCTAACCTCCAGGTTTTTTTCTGCTGGTACTTTCTAGTGATATATATACCTTACAAATAAACTTGCTGACCAAATCACTAATGAGTTAAACAAATACTCTAACAAATCAGATGGCCAATCAGCAATTCCCCATTCACAAATCTGTCTTGGAAATGGTAAGTTTCTTTCCAAACCAGTTTTGTGAATGGGGAGTCACTGATTGGTTGAGTGTGTCAGCTGACTGCTCTGTCAATCAGCAGCACAGCGCTCCCTGACTATGAAAATTCAGAAGCTGGATGCTCCCACGTGGGGAGTGGACATCTCCCCTTTAGGCGACTTAGGGGTTAAAGAGGAACACTATAGTGACAGGAGTACAAACCTGCATATGCAGAGCATGGAGACACTGAATGTGCAGCACTGATCCAGTAAGCACTTTTAGTGGCGGTCTAAGTGACTGTCTCTAGGCAGCAATGTAAACACAATAAAGGGCATGCAGAGACATGCTATACACATCTACATTAAGCTGTTGGTGTTCTGGTGATTTTAGTCTCCCTTTCAATGCATGATATATAGTGGAGTTTTAATTTCTTGCTTTCCTGTTTTTTTCCTGTTAAATTGACATAAAATGTAAATCTTACACATTGTCAGCAAACAAAGTTTACTTAAAAAGTTAGAGTAATAATACGACCTCCTCTAGGATGCTTGAGTATTGAGTAAACCGTAAATATGCTCTCTGGGTTCAGAATAGTGAGCAATGTTGTTGCAAACACTAGTTTATTCTTCATATAAACGCTCCTGTTACTTTAAGCTTGTCACCTAGAAAGGGTTGTAAGGGGTCAGAGCTACAACACTGGTTTTCTGAATGTTCTGATAAGCATCTTCAAACAGGAAAAGCTTTTCTCTTTGAATTGCCAACCATTCACAGTAAAAGGAATAACCTTGTCTTGATTGAATTACTCTATATTGGTAAATTTGTACTTAATTACATAATTTTATTTATGTGAATTTAAGAGTATGTTTTTTTTTTTGTTTTTTTTTTTATATCTATCCTTGGAAAAAGTTGGAAAATTAACTACAGATGCTGGCTGCATGCTTAGAGTTGATGGGTGGTGCAGTCCCCTTCAGCTTCATTGTAGGAGAGGTCATTTTCAGCTCTAAATGTGCTGTTGTTCAAATGTTTAAAAATATTTTTTTGTTTGTTTTACATGTGTTTTTGGTTTTGGACTATATAAATGGTTATTACAGTGGTTGGCTATATTATGCCAATTTATTTAGATTAGCAGAGAGTATTAGTGGTGTAGTGTGTTACGATAGTGCGGGGGCAGCACTGAAACATACATATTCTAGTGCTGTTTGAGAAGTTGAGTGACACTCCTATATGGCAGATTTTTCAGCTGCTGTCATCAACATAGCGGCAGGGGACGCTTAGGAGTGTAATTCCCACTAATGTCAGGTGAGCCAGTACTAAATTTCCTGGTTGTCGTTGTGATTAGGACCCGAAAAAAAGAAGCTGTGCATTATCCCCCTTTCATAATGTGGGATTATTGCATGGAGTTATTCATAGCATTATTTACCTTTTTTTATTTCAAGCACCAAGGCATCCTCTGCACTGCTTACCTTTCTGCATTCTACAAAAGAGAGGAGCTTTGGATACCTGATGCGCGTGCACTGTGTGCACATAAAACGTTTCCCATACAAAGACAATGAATCAATGCTTTCCTTATGAGGGCTTCCATGTCACATGACAGGTTTACCTCCTAGAGGAGGATTTAACTTTGTTTTACATTACAAGGTTAAAAGGACAGAACCACTGCACCGAGGCTGGTTCATCTCAGTAAAGTGGCCTGGGTGACTTAAGTGATCCTTTAATGGCTTTCTACTTTTTTTTTTTTTTGCTGTCATAGGTGATGTAGAAATCATTTATAACTTGATGCACTGCATCAAAGGGACACTGTAGGCACTTCATCTCATTGATTAGATTATAGTGCCTAAACTCTACTGGCACTGTCCCTCCATGCAGTTTTTTAAAAAAAATTCAAGCAATTTAACACCGAATAATGGTTCCAGGTTACTCACAGACACTCCCCTACTGGATGTATGGTTAAAGGACCACTATAGGCACCCAGACCACTTCAGCTTAATGAAGTGGTCTGGGTGCCAGGTCCATCTAGGATTAACCCTGCCTGCTGTAAACTGCTATGTTTACAAATGGGTTAATCCAGCATCTAGTGGTTGTCTCATTGACAGGCGCTTCTCACTGTGATTTTCACCGTGAGAAGACGCCAGCGTCCATAGGAAAGCATTGAGAATGCTTACCTATGGACTGGCTAAATGCGTCCGCGCATTCAGCCGATGACGACCAAAGGAGGAGAGTCCCCAGCGCCAAGGTGAGTGTTTAACCCTTCAGCCTGGCGGGAGTGGGACCCTGAGGGTGGGGACACCCTCAGGGCACTATAGTGCCAGGAAAATTAGTTTTTCCTGGCACTATAGTGGTCCTTTAAGGCAGAGGTAGATTACACAATTTCTTGTAGTCCTACAGATTCATGTCAGCAGTGGGCACTTCAGTAGGCTAAAAGCAGTCAGCTGACACTCTCATGCTAATGTTTATTCAATATCCAAAACTGCACAGAGGGGATTGGTTTGCTGGAGAGTCTTGTTTAGAAACAAATTGATGCTGAACGCAAGAACAGTGCTAGACTCTAGACACTATAACCACTTAAATGAGATTAAACGGTTCGTATGTACAATGCCCTTTTAAACACATTCATTCATAGTCTCTCAACCTCAATGAGCTGTTTGTAATTGTGGGGTGAGGGGTGGAGACAAAACATATTTACTTTCAATTTTACCGATTAAAAAGTTGTAATAAGATTTGCATTATGATGTGTTTGGGTGGTCTGCTTCGCTCTGTTGCTGTTCTTGAATTCCCCTTTGCAGGACACATAGGCAAGGGTCACCTAAAGATAGATAAAAGCAGGCACTGCACGCTGCTTCTTTGGAAAGGCTCTGCTATGAGCACATTTCCATAAATGGCCAGAGCAACTGGAGATGGCACCTTGCAGGGATAGTGGATGGGGAACAGCAGGTGCTGCCTGGCGCTCAGTCATATAACACTAGCAAACTCTTCTCTTGTGTACTGCATGTCTTTTCCAGTGCTGCATGGTCCAACAGGGAATTAATCTGCTTTTGCAAGGTGCTGTGCTCAATATATTGATTCAGCTTTTTGGGGATTTTCAGGGTTTTATTATATGTATATTAGTAACAGCATGCATTCACCATATTTACTTAACTATGTTTGAATAAAACCAAACTTTCATCGCAATTGTAAATTTTTATTTGGAAGCAATGAGAATTTGTGCCTGTGTAGTGGGAGTTATTTGCCAATTTCTAATCATGCCATCACTAATCATTCATTGTTTTCCCATTGCAATAACCACAACTTCTAAAATATCAACTTTGCTAGGTATATTGCAAGTCCTTGAAAAATGTACTCATGGCTTAACAATTGAAGGGAGACATGGTTTCTGAAAATGTTACTGCTGGTACCAGTTTACATTACCTTTTTCAGTATACTCCTTTCTAGAAAAATCAGGTCGACTCACACAACCCACAAGAGTGATTTCTGGAATAACTCCTATCTAGTTAAGACAACAAAATATGCTTTGAGGCCTGCTTAAATCGAAGGGGTTAAAAGCTCTAGACTTGGCAGGAGGTGATTTTCCTTATCATAACTTCACTTGCCAAACTTTGTCCCATATCTCTGGAACTCCACACAACTTCCAGCATTCTCCCTCTGTTTTCATCAAGTCTTTCTCAAAATAAATCTGTTTCTACAGATAATACTCAACCTTTTGCTGTTTCAACCTTTATACTGGACTAGTTCTGTCATCTATATTCAACACCACAATATTATTTCACATTCTACCTCTACCTTTTAGATTGTAACCATGAAGAACCATCACTGAATTCATACAATTTTCATTAAAACTCTGAATTTTTGCAAATTAAATCTGAAATGGTAAATTTGAAGATAGATTTGGCAAACTGTGACTAATGCAGAATTACCCAGAGCTATTTTTGCCTTGGCTTTATAATTCAGATTTAATTCAGTTAACCCCTGCATGTTGGCAAGGGGATAGATGCTTGACTTTAAATTTTAAAGGGTTACTCCAACCATAATGATCACTTCAGTGATTTAAAGTTGTCCTAGTGATAGGAGTTGGCATGTGCAGCGTTTCAGCTTGGAACACTGCACATACTAAAATGTTTTAATTCTGTGCCAGGGACAAGTTGCACCCCCAGCATACGTGACATTGGCATCCCAGAACATATATTGCACAGAGCGGTGTGTCATCAAGAGAAAGATGGCTTCTCCATCCCTCCCACTGTGCACTCTCCGTCGTTAGGGGGAGGAGCGAGTGTCTATACATACATATATACATTTTTTTTTTTAAAATACCACTTCCCTCTCCAGAGCACATTCGTGTTCTCTGGGCCGATAAATTGGACCAATCGGAGGCTTCTCTATGAGAAGCTGGTGATTGGACCATGGAAGACTCCAGTGACATCAGAGGAAGCGCAGAAGTCAGTCATGGGGCTTCACCAAGCACTGGATTCCAGTTAAATAAACTTTTTATTTTGTCGGTTATGCTTCAGGAGTGGGGTGCCATGGGTGCTTCTCCATATTTTGCACAATTCAAACCCCCCTCACATATTTCACATGATCCGTTACCATTTAAGGTCACAACCGCTAAATTTAAAAAAATTCTCCAAGTCAGCTATGTTTTTCCATTTTGACTATTTTGGTCTAAGATGTGAAATTCAATTTAAATTCTCACAAAGGATACTCCAGCCACTGATTGTGTGTAATTATGTAAAAAATGTATTTGCAAGATGTTATTTATGTGAGATTTAGAAAGCACTCAAAGTTCATTTGATGTCTGTTTGGTCTACTGTATTCCTTTAATGCATTGGTTTGAAATTGGGTACTCAAGGTTCAGACAAGTACATCATTTTCATTCCTCAACAGTTTGTTGTTTTGTGGATTTGCCCAGTTAATGAAGACACTGTTAAGGATCTGATTAACTGGTTAACACAGCGGTTCCCAAACTGTGTGCCGCAACGTGCACACAGGGGTGCAGCGGAATGTTTCCCCGGTGCTATGATTATAGCACCGGGGAAACATTACTGCTGAACAGGGGTCCGGTTAGGTGCCGTGGTCCTTTAAGACCGCGACCGGACCCCTGCAATGTCTGACAACTGGGAGGAAATGACAGCCTGTCACTACCTCCCAGCGTCATGCAGAGAGACAGCACAGGAGGAGGCAGCCGCAGCGTGACAGGAGCACGAAGAGCTCCAGACCCCTCCCACCAGCAGCAGGACTCCAAGCCACCCCCCTGGCACATAAAGTAAGCTGACAGGAGGGGGACTGGAGATATTTTAAAAAAATAAGTGTGTGTGTGTATGTGTGTATATGTATATGTGTGTATATATATAATGCCAGTGTGCTTCTGTGTCTGCACACACATCTGTGTGTGTGTGTGTGTGTGTGTGTGTGTATCTGTGTCATGGTGTGGGCATGTATCAATGTTTGTGTGTATCTATGTGCGTGTGTCGGTGTCTATATGAATTTGTGTGTGTGTCCGTGTATTTATATGCAGCTGTGTGTTAATGTGCATGAATATCTGTGTGTATGTATGTGCATATATCCAAGCAAACACCAGCACAACATACAAGCACACTCCTGCAGTCAAACTCAAATATTACAAACACACACCTCTGCATTCAAACAAAAAAAATATACAAAAACACCCCTTCACTCAAACACAAATACTTCACACAAATGTACATCCACATTTAAAAGTGAACATTCCATTCAGACACAGCTCTGCAATCAAACATTACATACAAACACACCCCTGTGTTAAAACCCAATAACTATATACAAGCACTCCTTCAAACACCAACACTGTACATTACACTATAGCGCCAGTAAATGCCACAGCACTGTACAGATATACAACCTAGAAATTTTAACTTGGGGTTCCTTGGGAAAATACTGAAATATTAAGGACGTTTTGAACCTAAAAGGTTTGGAACCACTGGGTTAACAATTTATTTTATTTGTATAGCAAATACATATTTAGTAATGTTTCCAAGTTTTTTTCAAATTCTAAACCCACAATTAAGAGATAAGTGTTGCCAGCCTAAAGAGGGGGATGTGGTGTCACATTTTAGAATGCAGGTTCTGTCACTGATCTAAATTGCAGTTTTGAAAAGGGAATCGCCAAGCCAACATTATGAATATAATTTGGTTGTCTGTGTAAAAGATTAAGAATGGCTGCTTTAGTAAGCCGGAAAGCAAAGTGATATAAACCCATTCTTTGAACATAAATAACATTTAAAAAAAAGCAGATTTATTATTAAAAGTGGTTATGCTTGATATTTTGATACGGGTAGAATCATATAAAATTGCATGTATAATGTCACTGAAGTTCCAGCTCTTTCTACAAATATAAAGAATTTGTAGCTCTTCAGGATATAAAATTGCAGTGTCAATCTGATATTTTTGTTATCATTGTTGAGTTCACACGCAGTGCTTATAGTAGTACACTGTTGTTTGAAAGGTGCATAGATTTATGGATGAGTGTTATTTATTCAATTCCTTCAAATTCAGTATTATGTAAGATTGCTTTCGACCGAAAAACAATGTTAGTGCATAATGAGAACATGCAATCACTGAAAACTGTTGACTCATTGGTCTCCTATCTAAAGAATTAGGTAGTTTATTCAGTAAAGTGAATTTTTTTTCTTTCCCCTCTGCCCCCTCTTCTCAACATATTACTTAGGAAACCTGACTCTCACCTTTTACGTAATGATCCATTGTATTGTGATACATTCTAAATATATATTTTATATTTATATACCTAACACAACAGATGACTACCGTCTCTAGACATGAGCACTGCGTTATTTTATTTTTTTACTTCTAATATAGTGGCTGGGCTTTAATCAGGAACCTTTTCAGGTCCCAGAGGAGAAAATTGAATTTTACCATAGTATAAGTCTCTCCTTGTTATCAGCTGAGTAGCAAAGGGGAACATATGCTGCTTCCAACCTGGAGTATTTTCTCACATGCATTATTTTGCAAACACAACTGCACCCATTTTTTGGCTATTTTTTTTTTCTTTGTCATTAATTGAAATGACCTTTTTGTATTTCTAATCATTCTCGTCACCATCATACAACATTTCTGTTTAAAGTGAACTCTTAACGGGTTACGCCAAGCATTGTGACCACCGCATTGATTTGAAGTGTTCCTGGAGTCTGTACATGCAGTGTTTCACTATGAAACTAAGCACATACTGCTGCCGGTGGTGTATATACTTTTCAGGCTGTGTCATTGGGGTTCCCTGTGAATATCTTCTCGCCCTCCCTGGTCTCCCTCCACTGAATTGTTGGTCGAAACAAATTAACGTTGATAACAATATTAATAATTTTCCTGCTGCTGGCAGATATAAAAAAGATGTGGATTGCTGATGAATAACGGTTCTATAATAAAGGGGTTTTGTGTAGTGGGGACATAATGTGTTATAGCAGAAATCAGAGCAGCTTTTCTCACATGCACATTCCTCTGTATTTTGATGGATTTATTGTTGACTCTGTACTAAACTAAAACTTTTTTTTGTTTTGTTTTTTTGTTAGTGGAGGCATCTGTCCAGGGCAGCAATGTTCACTGCACAGACAAGACAATCGAGGCGGCAGAGGCATTGCTCCATATGGAGTCCCCTACCATACTGCATGACTCTCGAAGTCCAGGTAACAGTGCTCACAATTGTATGCATAACTCACAATCAACTGGAATTAGATAAATTTTAAAGCCATGGGTTGTATGTTTTGTCTCAAAGAATGAAAAGTGTGTGTGTGATATGTATGTATGTGTGTATATAAATTTTATATGTATATATCTAAATAAAGTGTTTAACACTAGTTAATAAGCAGCTCATTTATGATTTGTACATCTAATAGTAAAATCAAGCACATCTTAGATAAGCAATACATAAGCAACATCCAAAGGTAAAAACAATGAAACACCCAAATAACCAAAGCAGAGAGGCAATTGACTACCTGCACACATCCAGACTGAAATTGAAATGAACGTAGGTATCCAGATAAGGTCTCACTATAGGCACCCAGACCACTTCAGCTCAATGAAGAAGTCTGGGTGCCAGGTCCATCTAGTGTTAACCCTGCAACTGTAAACATAGCAGTTTCAGAGAAACTGCTATGTTTACATTAAGGTTAATCCAGCCTCTAGTGGGTGTCTCATTGACAGACGCTAGAGGCGCTTCTCACTGTGATTTTCATCCAGCGGCGGATGATGTCGGAAGAGGTAGGAGAGTCCCTGGCGCTGTTGAAAGGTATGAATTTATCCCCTTCCTCCCCCTTCAGCCCAGTGGGAGGGGGGCCCAAAGACCCTATAGTGCCAGGAAAACAAGTTTGTTTTCCTGACACTTTAGTGGTCCTTTAAGTAAAACTGACTCTTACCAGTTCTTGCTCAATACAAGGAATAAAGCATCTATAGCTGTGACTAAATCCAATATTCAATCTGGGAATGTAGAAAACTCTGCCTTCCGCGTTTACACATTTTATTCAGTTCCATGAACTTTCTCAAGACACATGCACAGTCAATCGGGGACATGCACAGTCAATCAGAGAAACTGCTATGTTTACATTTGGGGTTAATCCAGCCTCTAGTGGCTGTCTTCCGGACAGCCGCTGGAGGCGAATTTCGGCTCCAGTGACGTTGGCGGGGGAGGAGAGGTCACCAGCGCCGAGGGAGACTACTTACAAACCTATCCATATTAACCCTTTAGTTCCCCCCCCCCAGTTTCACCAATGAAAATTAATGGCAATTGACATTACAAAAATAGCATGTTATTGAATTCCTGTACTTGCTAAATCTGATCTTTAAATTCCTAGTTTGGGGTAGGTTTAATACTTATTTAACACGGGGTCCGCTGGGCACCAGTCACTTCCACCATTGAGAGTTGGAAACCTGTAGCTTCTATTAGATTCACTTATTAAGACCTGCCATAGAAGACCAACTTATTATTGGTGCCCTGCACAGCTTTACTTGGCTCATTGCTTAGCGCTTCCAGCTCTTATAGTGTAGGTGATAGATGCCCAGCGCACCCTAGGTAAATTGTGAAACCATTAGTGAGTGGTGCTTGGAATGTTCCTTTAACAAACTCAAACTCAGCCCATTACCTCAACATTCATGTGATTCCGATTTTTGATTCTTTTTATTTTTTTTTCCCCACTACCTTATTTGTTGCAAATAGGTGACAGTCCATACCGCTCCTTTTAAAAAAAAAAAAAAAGTATGAGTTCCAAGTTGTTAGGAAAATACCGCCTTAGATGGAAGCTTTTTCTGAATGTGTGATTTAACACCGCTTTTCTCGGTAACTGCGACCTGACAAAAAGATCTTTTGGAAAGATGAAAAGTAGCCAGTTATCTTATTCTCCTCCTGTGGGAAACCACAGAAGGGGAAAAAATGTGTGGTAGACAATAACCCATATAGTAAATTATAGAACATTGCTGAAAAGCTTACTCTTATATTTATATAAGTACAAAGTATAATTCTATAGTTTAAAACACTCAGCTAAAATTCAGATTCATTAAGATTTATTTAATGTCATGTAAAGCAATATAGCTTTGTTTATAAACTGCTTGAGTTTCTGTGCTGATTATTCGTTGTCACTAGTAGATTGTGTCAGTGGCATAAGGTTGCAATGGTACTGGGAATGTTGCCAAGACATTTTAGGCAGGTGATGTTTGACATGTTGGTAATCAATAGCAATGCCTTGGCAAGAGGTCATGGTCACCAACAAACAGCTGATTGTCTGCACAGCATTTCCAAATGTTTCTGTACTGGGGATGGGGTTAGCAGCTGGTAAATCTTGACCTTACTAGTCACGTAAGCTACAGTTTTTTTTTTGTTTTTTTTTTGTGGAAGGTAAATTGGTCTCTTATTTGATGGATCATATTATGATCTAAACGTTACAAAATTTTATCTATGAATTTTAAATGTTACTGCCATGTTTCATATCAAAGTTGTTTCCTCTCAAGTGATGTAAAATGCTTGTGTATGAAGGCTTTTGGTCCTCTTACAGAGAAAAATATATCCTACTTTAGACTCTGCAGTTTAATTTTCAAGTGAAGAAATAGGAGGTGCAGTTATCCGTTGGGTTTAGAATGAATTTAATGCGTCTGGTGATTGCAGTGGACTTGCTCATTGAGTTTTGAATGCATTTCTAACTGTCCCTTCTCTATTCTTTCTCTATAGTGGACATTTATACATCTACATGTGTCTCTACACCAGAGTTCATTCACGCCGCCATGAGGCCTGATGTAATCACTGAAACAGTGGTTGAAGTTTCCACGGAGGATTCTGAACCAATGGATGCCTCTCCGATCCCTGTGACTATCGAACTTGGAGAACCAATGAAAAAGAAAAAAGGTACATTCCATTAGTTTTAAGCTCGCTATCTGGTTTTGTGTATAAATTTGGTATGACAATCAATTAGCCATGAAACACATTCCATGATTTAAAGACCGATATTCTACATTATCTTTACGTTTTTGTAAGGTGACCGCAAACACTACTATTTGAAAGGTGCATATTTATATTGTTTTCACTGTTTGTGGGTATTTGTGTGCATTGCACCCAGTCCACTTTGTGTTAGTTTGTGGTCTGGTGCCCTTTAGTGTCCCTTTAATAGTTTAAAGTGCTGATTGAATGTTACCAACACAATAATGCGCTCTACAAGAAATGAACAATACACCGTAACATGTTGCTGTTTACTTGGTCAACATTGTTCAGTTTTTGGGTCAGCGTTACTGTCAAGTATATATATCAGATTTGATTTATCTCCAACCTTTTCAATTCTACAGCTGGTAGGAAACCAAAGATTCAGCAATCTTTTCCCAATGGGTCTCCGGATTTGGGAATAAAGAAAAAACCAAGGGAAGGAAAAGGTAAAGTTTCAAACATTTTATCCACTGTATTTGATTCATATCTAATAAAAGTAACACTCCATACTGGCAGTGAACCTACCAACAAACGTGTATATAAAAGTCCCAGGATTTTTGCTGCAAACTGACAATCCATTCAGTGGAACCCAGTTGATATGCATCACCGCCTCCCATAGGGAAAAAAATGTTTAAAAGAACCATGAAGTGGCATATCACCGGTTTCAAAATTTCCACTCACCTTTTAACAAGTTTAAGTTGCGACCTGGCTAGTAGAAATTCACCCAGTTTGATTGTGCCATGATAACTCCAGGCGTGCAGTGACAAGTAACATTTGTAGGACTTTCTAGTAGTGTACAACTTAGAGTTCTGATCTAGCCTATAATCAGGGTGAAGTACTATTGTGCATTTGTGTACACAACAATGACAATAATAAACAAGATAACATGACAGGAGTTCTAAGCAAAGAACATTGGTAGCTATGTTGCTTGTAATTGTCCTTTTAATTTGTATGTCCTCCATCCATTCAGCCTATTATTTGTATTTTGATAACCATGTGTTGCTGTTTTGATTTTTAGGGAGCACAACATATTTGTGGGAGTTCCTATTAGACCTGCTTCAGGATAAGAACACATGTCCTCGATACATCAAGTGGACTCAGAGAGAGAAAGGGATCTTCAAGCTAGTGGACTCTAAGGCTGTCTCCAGACTTTGGGGGAAGCATAAGAACAAGCCAGATATGAACTATGAGACAATGGGACGCGCTTTAAGGTAGTGAATCCGGGATTAAACATGTTAAAGTTGAAATGTTTCCATTCCATGCTATATTTTGGGCAACATTATATTGCTTCTTATGATGACTAGTCTATAAAACATTGGCTTTGCAAAAATGTACTTGTGTATTGAATAGAACGTTACTGAAATTAAAGTTCTTGTAACCCACAGTATTCAAAGTTATACTAGGTAATTATTCATTGGGTTTCAAATAGGTAGTCACTCTAAGAACAGTGAAAATCTTTGCATCATTTCAAACACTATGGTGCATTGTGTCCAGCTTCCTGTTCAGAGTGGATTATAATTGCTGCAATTAGCAAAACCCCTGTAGCTGTAAGACTTCCTTATGGATCAGTGATGTCAAATGAGAAAATGTACTTGTCTTTAAACATAAGCCGTCCAACTTGTGTATAAGCATTGCACATGCATATTTGTAGAAAGCCCAAATTGGAGCTTCTCATAGGTAATTGTTGCACACAGCCCAGTGTTCATTTTAACAGTTTGCTTTCCAGTGGCAGAAACTGCACATGCCACTAGTCAAACAGCAGACAGGATGTTTGGGGGTCCAGTTTTGTAAGTTTTCATATTATCATAATTTTCCTGAACTTCATCAAAACATTACAGCAAATTCAAGCAGAAAACATTACTTTTATGGTAGTTAATTCTTTTAAAGGAATGTGCAAAATTAAAGCAAGCTTATTTTCATAGTGTAAAATTGAGCCTGTCTACAATTTGCAGTTGAATGGCATAACTATATAATAATTTATTTTGTAGCTGGGGAGTTACTGAATTAGATTCTTCTGCCCAGGAGAGATGATTTTTTTTTCTTGTGTAATGTGTTGGGTTATGAAGCAAAGTGTTTCATAATTCATAGGAGATATGTTTGTTTATGAATGAAAATCCTAATTTAAAACACTACATTGCTAGAACACTAGTTATACATGATGACTTTTCTATGACTGGCTTGTTTTTATACCATATAAATTAATTTGCAGGGTATTCAGTATGTGTCCATAATTGCTGTGGCTGTAAGTTGCTATGTCAGTTGATTAAAGCCAGCTGTGTAATGAAATGTCATTCTATTACCCTGCAGGTACTACTATCAAAGAGGGATCCTTGCAAAAGTGGAAGGACAGAGGCTTGTGTACCAGTTCAAAGAGATGCCCAAGAACATTGTGGTCATTGAGGATGATAAAGCAGAATCCAGCAGTGAAGAGGTTGTTTCCCCGGCAGATGAAAAGTCTCTGGAACGAGTGTCTATTCCCACAGAGAGCATCCTGAAAATGGCAATGCCTGGCCGATTGGAAAAAAGTCATATTCAGCAGAATTCCAGGAAGCCCAGATTTGTCAGCTTAAATTCACCTGGGAATGAGTCATCCCCTAATTCACCCACCAGCACCACACCAACAGGAACTCAAAGGTCTGAATCTGAAATCTTACTTGCTATAAAGCATTCCTTATCAACAGAGCATACAATTATAGTTTTTTTTTTTCCTCAACATCCCCTTGAGTACTGATGGAAAGATAGGATCTTCCTTTCTAAGGTGCTGACTTAATAAAAAAATTAATTCCTCCTCGTAATAAGGTTGTGGAGGAGGGGTTGTTCTCCTGTCAAAATAGGTAGGACTTAACTCCTTATTAGTCTCCTTCTGAGTTTTTCAGGCGTTACACATGCACCGCATGTGTACACTGGTCAGCAGTATCTCAGGCCAAAATGCTTTAGTGTGTCTATCCCCAAGTTCATAGACTCCCCAGCATTGAATTCATGCTTTTCTATTCTGGCTGCAACAGGAAGAGTCACTGGAGGGGTGTTAAACCCAGTAATGTAAACATTGAAGTTTCTCCAAAACGACAACGTTTTACATTCTAGGTTTAAACCTATAGGGCCACTGCACCCAGGCTACTTCATTGTGATGGCTTTAGTGGTCCTTGAGTCTCCATTTTATTGACCACCATGTATTAAAGAAGATTCTGCCTGGGGTCTGTTTTATTTTGGATGGTATCTTTAAAATAGACTTCCTGGCAACTTTAAAGATGCTTTTATTTTTTTATAGGTGACTGGAGCAACATAATTCTTAGTTTTATATTTTTATAGATCTACTTTCCTGAGGTTTACTGCTAGCTCCTCCAATTAACGTAGTTGTCAGTTGCATGGATCATAATGATAAGATTTGGAATTTGGCAGCTATTCTTACCCAAACTCATTTAATTTGCCGTTTGCGCTTTGAGTTTACTGGAAAAAATTATATTATGTCAAATGAAAGTGTTACTACAAGCATCATAACCACTGCAGCCTGCTGTATGGTTATGATGCCAGAAGTACCGTGTCCTTTACTGTTAATGAAGCAACAGTTTGCCCTCCGTACCTGGGTCCCTGACGGACCCCAAGGCTCTTTCATTTCTGCTGACGATACTCTGCAGAGTTGCGTAAGCTGATGCAATTGCTATCCATTGGCTGACCACTGTTAACCCATAAATGGCACACTGACAATTTGCACAGAATTGACATAATGGAGCCCAGAACTCTCGTTGGTTACATCTCCAGCAGCAAAGGGGATGAACGCCATAAGTGCCATGCACAGACAGACTCCAAGAACCATGACCACTTCAAATCACTGAAGTGATCATGGAGCTTGGAGGCTTTAAGAAAAGTTGAGTGTGTTTGCTAGGAATATAAGCCTCTTTGCCTGATAAGGAAAGTTTATGCTGCATTGCTACAATTACTGTTGCCATAACGAGAAGAGAATATATGTGTGTGTGTATTACTGCTGCAAAATAAAATTGAAATTAAAAGGTTTAAGGATGGTCATATGAAATAATTACATAGGGAATTGGCTAGTAGAAGATAAAACTGATTTTAAAAAAAACAAACCTGAAATTGCTCTCTTAAAGGAACACTATAGGGTCAGGAACACAAACAGGTGGGCCCCTCATGCCTCCCTAAATATAGCAAAATCTTACTTGTATTTAAGCCTGAAACTGTAACTCTGCATGCTGTTTGCCTTAAAATAGCAAGCTATCTGCTGACATCATCAGAAGTGGTGGCCTGATCCAATCACAGTGCTTCCCCATATGATTGGCTGAGACTGACAATGAGACAGATCAGGGGCAGAGCCAGCACAATTCAAACACAGCCCTGGCCAATAAGCATCTCCTCATAAAGATGAATTGAATCAATGAATCTCTATGAGGAAAGTTCAGTGTCTGCATGCAGAGGGAGGAGACACTGAATGTTTGGATGCATTTTAGGCAGCCATGACCCAGGAAGGATCTGTAACAGCCATCCAAGGAGTGGCCAGTGAAGTTATCACTAGGCTGTGATGTAAATACTGCCTTTTCTCTGAAAAGACAGTGTTTACAGCAAAAAGGTAATGATTCTACACACCAGAACAAATTCAGTAAGTTGTAGTTGTTCTAGTGACTATAGTATCCCTTTGATGCTTTCGTAAAGAAAAGTTGGATATTATGTAGGACCGTAATTTTCTTTTACACTTTTAGTTAATAAAGCTGTATTTTTTCTTTTCCTGTCATAGAACGGTCCGGGTGGCAATGCAAGTGCCTGTTGTGATGACTTCTTTGGGACAAAAAATATCCACTTTGGCCGTCCAGTCGATGAATCCAGGGTCTCCGATAATGGCCAACACAAGTCCAACAACCACATCAGCCCCAAAAGTAGTGATCCAGACAATTCCCACAATGTTGCCAGCATCCTCAGATAGCGACAAGTACACCATGCAGCCTGCCAAAATCATCACCATCCCGACCTCTCAGCTCACCCAGTGTGCACTGCAGGCAAAACCTAGTTTGAGTGGGTCTGGCCAAGTTAATCTGGTTGGAACCCCTCTAACCGTGAGAGCACTTACTCCTGTATCTATAGCGCATGGCACACCAGTAATGAGACTAGCAATGCCAGCACAGCAAGCCAGATGCCAGACTCCTCCTAGGGTTATTAGTACGCTGTTCAAAGGACCTGACGTGAAATCAGATGGAGAGCTGAAAACGTACCAGCTGGTAAAAGAGGAAAAACAGACAGAAGGGGGTAAAACTGTTACACATGTTGTGGTTGTTAGTACCCCGTCTGGAATCACTTTGCCAGTGACTGTAAAGCAAGAAGGGGATGGTAGTCGGTGAGAAGTACGGAAATGGGTCCATCGATGTATAGTGAGCTTTGGGTCAAACTGACGTTAAAAACTGAAAGGACATTTATTTTTTATTTTTAAATTTTATTTTTAGGAAAGAAGTGTTTGAGTCTAATGGGACGTTAAAGGGACATTATTCTAAATGTGGAGTTGAAATGAAATGGCCTTTACTGGAATGTGGATAACATGCCCATATTTTTTGTGGGAAACCTGTTCATATGCTGATGGGAATTTTGCTTATTACAAAATAAATTTAAATTGACATCAAGGATAAAGAAACTGAAAGGGACCAAAGCGTTCATTTATATATATATATGTACATTATTATTTTTTTAGGTTACACTAAATAGAACGTGGAACACTAAAAATAACTGCGTGCGGCTGTTTATCCTGAAATGCAAAGTAGATGACCAGGTCAAAGTGGCAATTGTAAATTGTAACACTTTTTTGCTTTTTTTATTTTATATTATGTGTGTGTATGTATGTATGTGTATATATGTCTATATATATGTATATATATGTATGTGTGTATATATATATATATATATATATATATATATATTTTTTTTTTTTTTTTTTTTTTTTTTTTGTACCAGCATCATATACCACTGTGTACCTACAGTCTTCACTTATCCGGTGCTATGTGAAAGTTCTGCTAGATGGGTATATCAGAATGTGAAATGCAAGGATGAAAATTAGATGCCCACTGATTTTTATTTTTTTTTAATTTTTTTTATTTAGAGATTTAAGCAGATTTCATATGGAAGCCTTAGATGGATTCTCAGTTTTTATTTTCCATTAGCAGGTTGTAAAGCAATTTTTATATATAAATATATTGAAAAGAAAACAATAAGAAAAAAAAAAACTTGTACCTAGCACAGTATTGGCATAGAATTACATGTAACATATTTTATATGGTAATTATTGTTTTTTCTATTATTATTATTATTTTGTTAAACCTTTTATGTGACTCTTGATGGTCTGATTTGTGGTAAAGGCTCTGTTCCAGCTAGATAAAACATTAACGCATTAAGGACAATTAAAGGGATTTCACAATTTTACATTAAAACTGACCATGTACATGCTTTAAAGCAATAGTACAGTCTGTCTTGTTTTTGGAAGGGGGGTTAACTTTCAGTGTTATTCATGAAAGAGTGAATTCTAGGAATTGAGTTTCAGGTCACATTAATTTTGAAAAGTAGCCGATTTAGGAGCATTTTTCCATTTGGCTGTTTTGGCTTTTATTTTGAAATTCACTTTGAATTCTAAAACAATGCACGCTTTAGTGAGATAATATACAAATCGTTTATCTTCCTTCCTTTAATTAGGCAATTAATCCATTCAATCTTTCTACATTTTGACAACAATTGGTCATGTTTTTGCTCTTAAAAGCATAATTCAGACTTTTGGCAATATCAAACCATAGTAAACTTTATTTTGGCAGATTTCCAGAGAAAGCATAACATGCAGTCATCTGCACAAGATGTGTACAAAACAATCCTAGTATGAAACAGATGTCAGGAGAAGGTGGGGTTACAAATATTTCTCATTGCACTTGCAGGCTAAGACACACATAGCCAACATGCAAGTCATACAAGGTTGCAGATGTTGCTGGCAGGTTTACTTTCTGGAGGGAAACCTTTCTAACGGTGCACTTCTAGTGCATAGTCTGCATTTCCAAATCAAATGAAATTGCTTTAATTTGGTAATGTAAGAGTTAGTTTTTTTTGTTTGTTTTTGTCTTTACATTTTCAGTATATTCTTTTGAGACAAAAATATCATAGCACAAAATGTTTAGACCAGCAACCTGGTCTATTACAAATCCTTTCTAAAAATAAATGTCCCAATGGAACTGCATATACTAAATAGGTACCAGTATATTTTCCTTTTTATTGCTCTGTAGAGGTGTGTGATGACTGCAATGAATGACATTAAAGTGTGTCCCCGTCTTAAGATTTTGCTTAATTTGCAAAGAACACCGATGGTGACATTGCTGGCATTGGGGCTGAGGGGGACAGGCAAAGGTAAGTTGGCCTTACCTGATCCTGTCCCTAACAGGTGCTACCATCTTCTGGCCAGTCCTATCCTGCTCATGGTGCTTTGGCATCAGGTGCCGAAGTCACGAAGTGTGTTGGAATATCAGTGAAATTCCAGCACAGTCAATATGAGTATTTAATAAAGATTCCTAAAACTCTTCCAAAATGGCAAATAGCCTTTATGTGTGTCACATGACTATTGCCCTGACTGGCCCTGAGAAAACAGCAATTTGAAAAGAATCCGTTCCGAGCTGACTTTGGGCATTCATAGGCTTTTGATTTGAGAATGTTACAAATTCTGTATTTAGTTATAAAATAAGTGCTATTGAACAGAGTAGGTGGAACATTATCTTTAAACCGCAGACCTTTTTTCCAAGGAAAAGTTAAATTGTGAGCACGTTTGCAGCAGGCGAATAAGCTTTTTTTTTTTTTTTTTGGACAGAATTCACAAGTACATTTCAAGTTCTGCTATAACTTTTAAAGGTCACCATAAGCATGGGTCCATATTTTCTGAGGGAGTGGGGAGGGGTTTGACGCCTGCTATACATTTTTATTAAGTTAGTTATGAAAGGGGCAGCAGTTAAACGTGGGGGGAGGGGGGAGATAAAGTACAGTGTTCAGGCTGAACTGTAATAGTTTGTATATTCAACATTTGAAGTATATTCTATTTTGTTGTACTCTTGTTTCAAAGTGTATTCAAGTAGATTTTACTGCAATATAGAAAATGAATTTGGTCTGTGTCCTGTCCTTGTTTTGTTCTTCCACTTAAAGTGTATAAATCTTTACGCCAAAGTTCCTCAACCTGTGGCATGTACTTTTACCCAGTGGGGGTCTTATGAAGGGATTAGGGGGACCCTTGCTTAATATTATTGCAAATTTTTATTTTTGCTACAGTAAGTATTAGGAGTTTCCATTAAAGATGGATGTTTGATTTGTAGCAAGTGGTATTGAGTTAAAAGTTGCATTATTTAGTCTAATCTAGTGGTTCCCAACCCCGTCCTCAAGTACCCCTTAACAGTCCAGCATTTAGGGATTACCCAGTTGTCTAAGGTGTTTTCAGAAAGTAGAAAATAAATACTTTAGACCCATCAGGGCAATCCCTAAATCCTGGACTGTTAGGGGTTCACTTCAGGACTGGTTTGGGAACCCTTGGTCTAATCCTACACTTTCTGCTATCACCAAACAGAACCCATATAAGCTACTACATCAATGATCGTTTGACTTGTCTGCTCTACCTTTTATTTTAAGTTGAATACAATTTAAAGACTGAAGCACGGTTTGGAGTGATAAAAGGAAAAAAGTAATGAAATTTAAAACATTTTGTTTTTTAATGATTTGAGATAAGCAGTGATTTAGATTTCAAACACATGGTAAAACTACTAAATATTAAAAGACCCAGTTGCGCTAGCAGTCGCATGCTATAGCCAAGCAAAGGTTTGAGGCACTTCATAACAATTAGTTTTTGTTGTATAGTTATATCTATATATTTTTTTAAGTTTTCTGAAATATCTTGGAGTGAATACAGAACCTAGTATTCTGTTGGTAATATCCAAACCCGTCTAACGCTTTTTAAGTTTGTTGCAGATTTAATGTATGTGCTGTGAAAACATTCTGTGGAAGTCATAAAAAAATATGAAATATAAGCATGTATTTCCACTATAAACCACCTAATGTCCCAATCTAGGTTTCCTGTAGTAAACAAAATAATTAACAGTGCTGTATTTGTTATCTCGCGTCTGTGGCAATTCTTTACATTTATGATCAGACTTTATGAATTTATGTACATTTATGCAGAAGGAAATATTGCAGATATTGACTGTGACACACATAATTAACTCAATTAATTCAATTTTGGAGGGGGGGTGGTGGTTTAGGTGCATGATACATCATGAATATAAGTCAGCTTTAATAATAATAGATCAACAATATTCAGCAAAGGTCAAACTTGGCACTGGTTGCACATTTTTAAGTGTTAAAGACGTAAGGAACATTGCTCCATTATGCCAGACAGGTTAAGAATGAAAAGGTATTAGTATTGAACTATAGATAGGAGCAAGAGGTTCATACCACCGGTATATTTTCTTTTTATTGCTCTGTAGAGGTGTGTGATAACTGCAATGAATGACATTAAAGTGTGTCCCCGTCTTAAGATTTTGCTTAATTTGCAAAGAACACCGATGATGACATTGCTGGCATTGGGGCTGAGGGGGACAGGCAAAGGTGAGTTGCACTGCTGCTGGTGGTCATATAAGGGCACAGAAACAGAAATAAAAACAAGGAAACGATACAAAGCAGAACATTGGCATATATAGCATTGTGAGTTCTGTGATATAACCCCCAGTTTGCTGCTACAGCTTGTAGGCAACTCAACCAATGCCCAGAGATGGAGATTGCCCGCTCCCATTACTGTCAGCTGCTCCGGCGAGGCTCTTCCACTGAGCCGAGTCCTCCAGACTGTCCGGCTCCATCTTCTCCAGGATAACATCCCTGCCTTTGCCAGGATTTGTAGCAGTCTCATAGCCCTGCATACCCAGCAACATGAGTTGTAAACTCCTGGATCCTGCAAGCTGTGTTGAGGCCTATAATTTTGCAGTCTGGTTGACTAGGTGCAGGTTTGGAAATGCGATCTGCAAGAAGTGTGCACCTGCCACGGCAGTCTCTTACGCCTTTTCCTCCGTAACGCCAGCCTGGAGACTTGCTGGAGATTCCCTGACATGAGACGTTGGCCAGCAGGATGGCTCCGGTGCGCCATTGTCAGTCATGTAAGAGCGGAGGTAAGTCCTTGAGCCCAAACCCTCTTTCAGAATTTCTTGCCTATGCAATCAAATGTCATAAGTATTTGGTCCACGTATGTGGATGGCAGTGGAGTGGTATACATGGTTGTAGGCCCAGGTAAGGCAGTCATCTTGACGGTGAGGTCAGCACTGGTAAGCTTTATTTCTCGTGGAGATGACCACCCAAATAGTCCAGCTGGAACCGGGATATCCCCACAGATCCAGAGATGGAGGGGGGAGAAAGGGCTCAAAGCCAGCAAGCTCCACTTAAAGGATGGGGATCGGTCGCCTCCCCCTCCTCGAGCATGACTACAGTCCGCAAGGGAGTTGATAAGTGGCTGTATCCACGGGTTTCACGTAGAAAAGTAGCATGTTGTCGGCAGAGTGTTCCTCAGGGAGTAATGCAAGATTTTGACCAAAAACAAGAACAGTAAAGTCCAGTTTTTGGGTGTATGTCAGGCAACCATCCATGTATTCAATTTGGCGTCCTTCCTTTTCTTACTCTGCAAGGTCTGTTAGACTACCAAGAATCCCTATTTCAGGTCATTTGAAATCTTATGTCTAATCCGACTAATTTAGTTCTGGAGTGCAAAATGTATTTAAATCCCTCTAAAACTAAAATGGCGCATGTGTACAAATGTTTAATAAGACCCTAAAATGCTTAAATTATATAATTTGTTTCTAACATTCTTTTTATTGTACAAGCCTCCACCTTACTCATTCAGATGTAAAGTAGAGGAATCTATAATTAGTTGTTCAGATGTGGTTTCCAACTGAGCTAAAACAAAAAAATATAAACTAGGAGCACCATCCACAGTCCACGTAAAACTTTTTTTTTTTTTTAATCTGTGGTTCCTGGTTTGGTTTTATTCCTCATTATTGATAACTGTGCCAATGGTTAAGTTGGTACCAAAATATGTATTCTTCCTCTCTGTGATATTCTTGAAAATTTGTCAGTTTGTATTTGTTTAGAATTCTATCTAACAATTCTTAGTTTTTGCAATGACATTTGCATAAAAATGGCTTACTGTAGTCCCTTCTAATCTTAAAGAGACACTATAGTCACCGGGGGTGGCAAAGGTGTGTCTTTCTTACCTGATAAACAACTTTTCATCTCCTGATTGCTGCTTGCCTCTTTGTGTTGATGGGATAGTGAGTAATTGGTCTCTGTATGATGCAATAGCAGATACCACTTTCCCTGCTACATTTGTACATAGCAAAAAGCAAATGTTTTTGAGCAGCAGCCCTTTCTCTGTGTGTTTCTGCACAGCATCTTTACTGTGTCAGGAGATTGTGAAGCTCTACTATTGGTTCACGCAGAAACAGCCCCCAGTCAGTGCTGCTGACCTTCCTTTCTCTGTTAACTTTAAAAGTGAGGGTAAATAATTATTAAACTGTGAGAATGTGTCTGTGAATTAATGTGTTTTTGCATATGTGAATGTTATTTGATTTATACTACAGACATTAGTTACTAAAGATGTATTTCCTGTATTTTGCTGCAAATATGTTGTGCTGCTTCTGCCTTGAGCTCTCCCCAAACAAGGGAGAGACTCCATATTGGTGCTTACTTTTGACTTTACAGAGTATGTCTAGGAGTTGTAGTTCAATTATCCACTTTCTATTATAGAAAGAAAACAGCTGAATTACAACTCCCCAAAGACAGGAACTTGTGATTTCAGATCTTGTAGAGCTATCCCACCATTCATGCTTGCAATCATTGCTGTCTAAGTAAGGTTGGTGGGATGAAAATGTTCATTTTAGGCAGGTGGGTGGCTGGGATTTAGTTGCTTTCTAAGAATAAACCGTTTTTACAGTGTGGTTGGGGTGATTTTAGATGGATGAAGTAGATACCCACTCAGGCACTATGAAGTAGGTACCGCCCTCAGTTTGCCCTAAACCGTGCCAACATAAACATTTTACTTAGTATTAACCAGAACAAAGAAGATTCGGGATATGGCTGTGTAAATCTATAGAGAAAACATAAAACAAAACATAGTGTGATATTGTTATAAAACACAATATTTCATGCGCAGTAATCTTGTGCACTCACAGGATGTAGACAATTAAAAGCGCTCTTAGGGTGCCTTCCCCAATGAATTGGGGGGCTAGCTGGTATTCCTTATCACCTCTGGATCCTTGTTCCACCAAACGACATCCACAGGTCAGGGTTCAGTAATAAAAATTTTATTTAGATAAAGTGTAGTCACCATTTCAGCATAGGATATAAATAACAAAAAAAGTTGTCCTACGCGTTTAGTTCTATAAGAACTTCCTCAGGGACCACAATTAAAAGCAGTAACAATGTATCAATATACAATACATAAATGAACATATCCTATACAAATCCCCCCTCCCTGTGTCCTTAAATAGGGCTAATCCCTAAAGTCTATTGGTGGATCCAGTGGGTGTATAAATCCTCCTTGTTCCTGATTGGAGGAGTGATCTTCCTGTGGCAGCTGTTTTTCATTTATCCATATTCCATCATTTGTAATTCGCGCCTTTTTCGGCAAATACCGGAAGTGGTCATAATTTGCCGAAACCGGAAGTGACATCGCAGGAATGTCCGCGTCCCACATGCGTTCCACCGGTAACGTCTCCATGGCAACCAGACGCGATCGAGTCATTCAGAGATCATATGAAACCAGGATAAATAAAAAGCCCCATTCTGCTAGAGAGAAAACTGTTAAACATGCATAATATATTCAACCATTATTTACATATATATCTGTTAAATATCATCCTCCTCACTAATCCTATCACACAAAATAATATTAATCTTCATATTTCGCCCAGTGATCATAATACCTCAATATATTATAAGCCAAAGGCTTTATATTATAAAGTGATCATATTTCTTATATATATTATTTGAGTTTTTTTTTTTTTTTACACATATATAACTTTTTACACTATTAATAAAAATGGACACCACAATCAATTCATCACCATCTCAATTAATCTTCAATGTATCACATTATTGTTTGTGCTCCTCATAAAAATCTTTAGAACAAACCTATTTAACACATTAAGGTAGTCCATTATTATGATTACAAAAAGGATAGTGAATTGTAACTTAGGAAATAAAGTGCATTAAATAACTACTTCCCATACAGACTCTATTTAGTAAATCTACCACATTTAATTTGTACCAGCTCCAAAGATCCTTAGAGCAAACCCATTATTTACATTAGAACAATCGATTATTGTATTTTTATTATAATTTTTTGTGATTCTTGATCATATAAAACAATAAATCATAACATATAAAGAAAAAAAATAGCTGCTTGGCATTTCATATATATATATATATATATATATATATATATAATAAATCCTCTCTCTGAATGGGGATTAACCTTCAACTGTAGAAAAAGCCCCAAATTAAAGGCAAACACACATATCCTTATTATCTGTTCTAAAGTTTTTAGGCCATATTAATCTAAGAAACAAGTTAAATCGATATCTATATTGAGACCCTTAGGTGAGAGAGTCTATAATTTGTGTATTCAGAACGTCTCCCTTTGGGCTAGTCTTTGAACTCTATTACCCCCACGCCAAAAGGGGTGGACTCGTTCGATTCTCCAACATCTAAAATCCTTGAATGAAAAAAAGGGACATGATATACAATGAGTTGGGACTGAATGTGTCGTCAGTCTCTTTCTGATATTATTAAGATGTTCTAATAGGCGAACCTTCAAAATCCTCTTAGTCCGTCCCACGTATTGCATGCCACACGGACATTGCAGCAAATATACCACAAAGTATGTGTGGCAATTTATATTATCTTTAAGTGTAAAGCTCTCCCCCGTGGTGGAACTAAGAAATGAATGTGTATTTTTAACAGACACCGTGGTACAGGCTTTACAAGTACCACAGCCTCGAAATGAGCCTGAACGAGCAGAGGTAAGACCTGATGGTGGTTTGATGGCATAACTAGGTGCCAACATATCCTTCAAATTTTTATTCCTTTTGTAAATCACCACGGGATTGTCCGATAGGTGTGTCCCCAAAATGGGGTCTTGCAGCAGAATAGGCAAAGAACTTTGAAGACTTCTCTTAATTTTGTTATGATCAGTGTTGTAATGGGTGATAAATGCAGAACGAAAACCATCCCCAGTTCCCGGAGTATATGATATATTCTCTAAAAAAGTTTTCCTTTCTATATCACCAATACGGCGAATCTCTTTCTCTAATCTCTTTCCATTATATCCTCTATCTGTAAGCTTCCTTTATTTATTTAGATAAGTGAAAAAAATATAGATTGAATGACTGTTTGAGTAAAGAGTAAAAAAAGCATTTATTACTTACATCAAAGTAAATAAAAGCAGGTAAATCAGTCCAACGCGTTTCTTCCCTGTTAGGGACTTCCTCAGGGGCAATCTTTCACAAAGATGATGAATAAAAATACATATAAACCTAGTTACAAACATTTCCCAATATATACCACCCCCAATCAGTCCCAATAATGGTTCTGCAGGTGATTCCATTTCTCTTCAGCTGTTTTCAATTCAAATTTGAGTTACTTCCGGGTTTCGTGTATCCTGTGCGGTCACATGATGTGCGTGATGACGTCATGCGTTCCAGCTATGCGTTCCACCTTCGTTTCGGCTGGCACTCATAATTACAAACTGAGATGTTGAAAAAAAGTCCCAAAAAAGACTGTTTCTAAATAGAAATACAAGTAGGGGGAGTATACAAAAGGGAATGGCAAAGAGGTTAAAAAGATATTGCTAATTTAAAGGTTTTTTGAATAATCTTTATTTATAAAAAGCAGGTTAAAGAGATATTACTAATTTGAAGATTTCTAAACAAACTTTATTTATAAAAGACAAAACAGACACACTAGTAACCTGTGTTTCTTACATTAATACATTTGTATGTCAGTGTGCATGAATGCTCAACTACATAAGACAACATGCACACTGCATAATGTGATATGCACAAGCCAAGATGTTCTAAATATTGCCATAAATGCATTAAAATATTAATTCTGCAAAAAATAAATATATATATAAAAAATGATAATAAAAAAATTGGTAATAATAAAACATAGTAGTTTATCTACCTTCAACAGAAAATCTGTAATTTTAAAATTAAGATATATCTAATAATACTGGAAGACCAAGTATTCATAGTTCCTTTATATTCAACGGTAGGAAAAAATAGAATAGATTCTTGGCTTGTTCAATGCCAAAAAACATATAGAGGGATATATGACAATATACACCACCCACAGAGAGCAGAGGAAAAAAGAATTACTCCAAAAAGCACCACAGATCTATGTCTGCATTTAATCCTCCTGGTTGGAGGGTTTTTAATATATTGATCCAATATGTTTCTCGCTGTGCTAGTCTTTTAATAAGGTTGCCACCATTCCAATGGTTGTCAATTATTTCTAGACCTATATAGTGGAAATGTTTCCAACTAAAATTAAGACATGTATTGCAATGCATGGGAACCGAATGTTTATCATATTTTTTTCTAATATTATTTTTATGTTCCAAAATTCGTTCTTTAAGTTTTCTACACGTACGTCCCACGTATTGCTTTCCACAGGGGCAGTGTAGCAAATATATTAAATTTTTACTATCACAGTTTATATTAGTCTTGATATTAAATTCTCTACCTGTAACTGTACTTTTAAACTTTGTTACTTTCAAAGGCCTCTGTGTCAAACAGGCTTTACAATGATTACATGAGCTAAAACCCTTTATTCCACTTTTCTTGTTTTCATGTTTATTTTTTAAAGCATAGCTAGGAGCCAATAAGCTTTTCAAATTTTTTGCTTTTCTAAAAATCATGGGTGGCTGTTTGGGTAATGTCTCTCCTAAAATTGGATCTTTAAGCAAGATGCCCCAGTGCTTATTCAGAATATTTCTAATCTTTCGATGTTGGGTATTATACTGGGTAATAAATGCATATTTAAAATTTTCCCCTTTATCTTTGACTCTTTTCTTCTTTTTAATTAGATCCTTTCTGTCTAATCTTCCTGTCTCTTTAAATTCCTTGTCTAGTACACTTTTTTCATATTTTTTGGACATAAGTTTATTGCATAAATGTTTCGCTTGTTCCTTATAGTCATAATTGTTGGTACAGTTTCTTTTGATTCAAATTAATTGGCTTTTAGGTATAGAATTTAACCAATGTTCGTTATGGCAGCTCTTTTTATGAATAAAGCTATTTCCTTCTGTCTCTTTAAAGTAACACTTTGATTGAACCTTGTTATTTTTGATATAAAATGTAATGTCCAGAATTATTGGACATTACATTTTATATAAAAAATAACAAGGTTCAATCAAAGTGTTACTTTAAAGAGACAGAAGGAAATAGCTTTATTCATAAAAAGAAAAAACACACAGAGGTGGATGTGGATAAAAAGGCGCTTAAAATATTATTAGGTGTGAATTATATAAAATATAGCTGCTATGTGCACTTCTAGTGAATACTCCACAAGACACTATAAATATAAACCATACAAAAAAACAATATCAAGTAGTGAACAAAGTGCAAAAAGACCTCAAACACAGCTTGATGTGAGTGCAGCGCTAAAAAAGTATTTTAAATTATAATACACTTACCCCTCACAGTATATATGGGGTATATATGTGAAAATAAACAAAAAAAGATATATAGAGTAGTATTGTCTGATGCGTTTGTAAATATATCCAATAGATAGAAAGAATAAAACTCACATTTGAAAGAGCCTTTTCTGAGGATATAGGCTCTAAACACAACAGCTTCTTTGCCTTTAAAGGTAGGCAATAAAACCTAGGGACAGGAGCGTTCTTCTTTTCTTTTGTTGATAAATTATATCTCCAAATAAAACATAGAAAAGAAGAATTCTTTGGTGCAGATGGTATAATCAAAGTAAAAAAGCAGTCAGATAGGATATATAAGCTCAAATTGCTCACCTTATTTAGAGCCTTTTAAACTGGCTCTAAGTATTGTAGGCATGGATGTCAATAACCAGATAGCACTTCCCTCTTATGGATACCACAAAAATGGAGAGGAGATGGAATAAAAATAGCTAACAAAAATATTTATTAATACATAAAATAAACATAAATAAAATATACATATGAATAAAAAGAATCCTCTCTCTCCTTTATCCAGAAACGCGTTTCGCCGTCCTTTTCGGCTTCCTCAGTCTGTGTTTGTGGATATCCTTAGTGTTTGTTTATATATCTTCCTTTTGCGCCTTTTTCGGACGTCACTTCCGGTTTGGCGTCATGACGTCACTTCCGGTTTGGCGCTGTGACGTCACTTCCGGTCTGGCATTGTGACGTCAACTTCCGGGTCGGCTTGAAACCGCCGATACGTCACTTCCGGTTTCAAATTGATACTACAATTCCCAGCATGCTCCACTGTTCTTCATACAATCGAACTCATTTTTGCATAGTATATGAAATAGAAAAGTCCAAAGAAAGCCATCTTACATAGCTCAAACATAAGAATAAAAGGGGTATTAATAGCACAACAATAAAAAACAAATATAAAACAAATATATAAATCCTTATTTTAAACCCATATTAAAATGGAAAATAAATATAATATGTTCCTAAAATCGGATTTCTAAGTATAAGGCATATATAATAAGTTCCTAATTTCAGAATTATTGGACATTACATTTTAT